TCCATAATGATCAACTCGCTCTTGCCACGCCTCGATATACAACCCCAGACCATTATCGATATCTCAGCCTTCACATGTTCGCCGTTATGGACTGTATCTTTCTTGAAATGGTCCTCCGGAAGGCAAAAGACCCAACATAGGGGGTGCGGCCGGTTCTGGACGCTTGATTCATCGGAAAACTCGATGTCCTATACGATGAGCGATTAGCGGGGTAAAGCAGGGCTATAGCACAGTTAGACTAGCAATCAATTGCTCGATTTTAGGAAGCCAGTACCTTGCGAATTCGAGCCGTTTACGGGCTCCCTCTTCCGTTAATTGGATCTTCTTACGCATACGCCATTTGCGGTATTATTTGGACCCCCGGAGCGCGGGTTTGACGGTCGACTTGGACGGGGTGCCTTGGTCAATTGTATAGTCGACGGTTGAGGGCGAGCATCCGACCTCACGCGCAATGGCTCGCTTAGACATTAGGCCCGCGTCAACCATTGCAATGATTGCGGATCGCTGTTCTGGCGTAAGATCTGCATGCTTACGCCGATTGCCGCTAATTTCACCCAAAATTGAGCGTTCCATCATCAAGATTAATGAAGATATTGATCATCTAAGATCTAGAGTCGTTTTGACGCGTCTCGTGGTTGTTAGGGCCTGTACACGATTTGACCGGATTACTCTGACCCCACACAAGTAAGATGCTACAAATTGTACAGCGGGACGTCGCTCCTTTATCGGATGTGGACCGGTATTTCGACTCTGGAGTTGCGCAAGTCGATACGGATCATGATGAACAATGACTCTTTAAGTGGTGGGCACGACATGTTGCAGAATATCTGGTCATGAGCGCGGCAGCACGGGATTATCTCGCGATTCTGACATCCAGTGTGGCAGTCGAACGACTCTTCAGCGGAGGGCGGGATATGCTGGATATACGGAGGCATTCTCTAACTGCTGGAACTATGAGGATGCTCGTATTGTTGGATTCCCATTACTCTTCATGTAAATAGTTATAAATAGTCGATTTTACCTCTTGGCGGATCAGACGGATATCCGCGAATAATCAGATCTATATCCGTATCCGCAACGATTTGACAGATAATTATCCGGATAGGCCATATCCACGAATGCTCCGCGATATCCGTGTATCCGTGCCGAGCTCTAGATGCTCTCTATCTTTATGCTGCCCGCTCTCCTTTTAAACGCTGCATATCGCCTTCTAAGACCCTGATTTTGCTGCGCAACCCAGCGATGGTCTCTCGCAACTCTCCACAATACTCTCCTTTGCATGTGCAAGTCTTTTCCGTGCTGGCCTCGTAACTGGCATCGTTGCCAATGGGGACGCAGTTATCCTCAATTTCATCCCTTTCATAGTACAATGCATCAGTTGGGCTGGCAGCATTTGACCGTCCACCACCGGTAGTCAATGACGCGAAAGGTGGCGTATCTTGCGAAGACATGCGTGGAGACTGCCCTGATGACGTGCGACGGTATTTATGTGTGCGGTTGGATCTTCTCTGGAGAAAAGACGTGTGACGAGTATACCCGGTTTCAGGATCTGAGTCAAGGTCAGTGAGCCAGAGGTCGTCGGATACAGGAGGAGCTTCTGGAGGACACGCGTCACGGCCGTTATGGAAAGAGACGGTGGTTGACTGCGGTCTGGAAGGAGGTAGAGTTGGCACCAGAGGGCTGTTTCTAGAGCTACTGGCCTGTGAGACCCGTCGTTCAATGTACGGAGCGAAGAGAGATCGACTACTGCCCTCGCCAGCACCGGCACGCCTTAAATCGGCGAGGATATTGCTAGTCTTCGAGCTCACACTCGATCCAGAGGGCTGGCTGCTTCCCGAGCTGACATATCTGCCCGGTACGCGGTACGCGAGGGTCCGCTTGCGATTGACCTTGTGAGGTGGCTTGAGGGGAGAGCCCTTCGCAGGTGTATTTCTGATGGGAGAGGGGATGGGAGAATACTTCAGGTTTGTACCATTTCCGGTAGCTGGACCAAGCGCTATTCGATCGGCATTACTTTGGCTCGGCTCGTCTTCGTCCAAAAATGTGGTGCTCGAGATCCGTGGACGCGGACGGGCGCGGCTGCTTCGTTTCGGAGGCGATTTCGATTTACGCCGGACGACCTCGCCTTTAACGGGCGAGAAGAGGTCCATGTAATGGTTCCCTGGCATAGGAGGAAGTAAAGCGTGCATGTTCGCACTGGTAGTGTGTTTGATTGTTGTATTCGGTTCTGGTAACCCAGTGGTTTCGTCTTCTAATCCAGCTGGTGCGGCTGCCTGGAGCTGATGACAGCCAGGAAAGGGGTTCGAAGATGTATGGGAGCCAGTCGGGGACCGTACTATAGTTCCGAAGCTTTTCGTGTTTTCCGGAGCAACCGTAATGTCGACTATTTCTTCCGCCATGTTCTGAGCACGTCGTGCCGATCCTGGAGGAACCTTTGCTGACTCCCCCTGGATCCATTCCACATCGATGATCCTGCCGCCATCAGGGTTGATGACCTTCTCACAAAGACAGTGTCCATCTGAACTGAACAGCAACACCTTCCCATCTTGTCGCCCGACAGCAATCACCATCTTTTCTTGAGACACTCCATCACCGATGGTCCTCGAGCCTGTTCTCCGAGTCGAAGCTGCCAAGTGCCTTTTCTCGTCCCACTTCTCCGGGAGGAGTGACAGCGACGTCCCCGGTCCCTGCACATGCCAGGTCTTCAATATCTTCCCACCGTAATCGAAATTCACTATCCTGCATTTTCCATCGCAGCCGACCGTTACCGCACGACTCCGATGCCCCGGTAAGAACTTCACGCCCACGATACCGGAGAGCGCACTCCCATGCCGTGCGACAGTGTGCAGCTGGGCAAACCGGCCAATCTCTCCTCCACGTCCTTGCTTGGCTATATGAGACTGCGCGGATGCGCGGGCATCCATGCGGACTAACCGGGAAGCGTCATATGCCGCCAACGAGCCGTCTTTGAAGGAAAGGAGGAACACCTGCGGCCGCTCAGGGTGGAATGACGCGGTGGAAACCGGAGTATCTGATACACCGGGCTGAAATAGGAAAGGCCGTCCTCCAAGGAGTAGGTTCTGCAGGTATATCGTCGGCGGAGACTCGGATGCCGATAGCAGGAGCTGGGAATTCCGCGACAGCGCGAGGACGGTCGGCGGGGACGGATGGGTATGCGCAGGGGCCAGCAATCGCGACTCCTGGATTGAATAGCACTCCACCGCATTATGAAGATTCGTCGTGAAGTAAAGCTGTCTTGAATTTTCCGCAAATTCTAGTAGACGGATATTGCCCTGCCCAACTATTAGTCAAACTGGCCTTTCTAGTTATGATAATGTGCTCGACATGCCTCTATCCCTTTTGGCCGATAACTGCGCTCCGTCTGCAATACCAGTGACTGGCCGTCAGCGACCGCAAGCGTCCCACTTCCATCTCGCACTTCCTTGGCCGCGAAGATCCCCGAAGATTCGGATTGGAAGATGCTGTTGATGCCATCGCTGTCCCAGGAGAGCACGTTCCGCTGCGTGGTGATGACAAGGTGGGCATTCGAAGGGAACTGGAAGGCTGACCGGGGGTCGGCGTGGTCGGGCGAAGGGTCGCCATGCGCAATGCGCGAGGATGGCATGAATTGTCGAGGCTCAAGGAGGTCATATATGGTAGGGGCTGCTCATTGGAAATGTACTGCATAGGCTACGCAACTTAAAACTTGATGTTGGAGGAGTTCGCATTTGTTGTTAAACAGAGGTTGGCAGGGGATCAATGAAGTACGAGTCATGGATAAGGTATCGGGAGGGGTCCGACGAGTCAGTCAGACCTCTCCCATTTAATGGTACGGAGAATGACGGTCAATGGCACTATCAATTGGGGGCACTAGGTACTGATGATCCTCCATGGAGGATTATCGAGTGCCAGACTTATGCTTGGTCCTAATTACTAGGCTCCTGTTCAACCACTTTTCACACTTGCATGGTTCTCACTCATCCAGTCAGGTACGATTTTCATTCTATAAGTGACGAAAGCAAAAAGTTGAGGATTTCGCTCTGGATAGGACGATTGAAAAAAAAAAGGAATGATCAATTTTGATATGGATTCACCGTATGGCCCCTTTGACCATTAAATATCCTGCCTGCCCCTTCCTTTCAGCGTCACACGGTGTCAGCGAACGGTCCTCCATTGCGGCAGAGGTATAGGAGATTCGACCAGTCATGCATCTGGAACAAACGGATGACACAGATGATGCAGATGATCAGGTCTAAGTCTTGGACGTATGCGATAGGCGTGCCTCAATGCAGTGCCTCCGTGGCTCTTATGTGTCGGCACGTTAAATCTATCCGGCTCCTCGTAAGGTACTGATCTGGCTGGCATCGAAGTTGAAGCATCCGGATGGAACGCGATTTGTTCAACAGCCTATAGCCGTGGGCAGTGCGTAAACGCCCTGAAGCGAAAATGGTCCATTCGAATAAAGTGTTTCGGATCCGAGACAACACATGTTGCCTCTTTCGGGGCGCGATTAACTGGGATCCCAAAGCAATTGTCGTCCACCGCGACCGGTACGTCCGGTGGGACGCGGTCGTGCATATGATTCGGGGTCGATCGGCTTGGTCAAATCCGTGGGAGCAGGGGGCCCGGAACGAGAATGTGGACGAGACGAGAATCCACTGTGATTCCGTCCTGCTCCGCGACCGCCGCGGCCACCGCGAGATGGCTGGGGCGCGCGAACAAATGCGTTCGGATCGAAAACGCGGGTATTATTGCCGTTGGATTGTTGCGATTTCGGCCGTTTGAAGAGCACGACCTCTTCATCGTCATCGACGGCTGGCTCCATTTTCGCGGGCACTTTCGGTTTTGCGGGAGTTCGTGGCAGTTTGTTCTCCTTCTTGTACAAGGCGAGACGGTTCTTGTAGTCTCGATCCTCCCGACCGATGACTTCGCGAAGCTGTTCAAGGCGCTTGGCGCGGATGCCGAAGCGCTGTGCGAAGTGAATCTTTTGTGCATCGTTGGTAAGCAGGATGTAGTTCGCGAGCGCTTCGTCGGGGTTGCTTTCTCTGTGGATGCGCCAGAGGGCGTGGTTGAAGAGGGGTCGGAGGCGATATGGGATGGTCGACTTGTAGTTGTACTTGCGAGGCGTCACTGTTCGCTTTGGGATGTCCGCATCCGCCAATGGTGACACTGAGTCGTGCTTCGTTGGCGCCTCCTGGTGAGGTGAGGCATATTGGACCTCTGGGCTCGTGGAGGAATACTGGGACTTGATTGAAGGCGTCTTCGAGCGCTGGCCTGCGCTCAAGACAGAGCTATCGTACTCCTGCTCAGACACGCCATCAAGTCTCAGGCCGTCCACATCCGATGTGAGCACGTCCGAGTCATAATCTTCTTCCTCAGTTGAGAGGAGCGTTTGCGGCAGCAGGAAATTCTCCACTTCCGACCATCGTTCGAATACTTCGAATCCACCTGATTGTGTCAGCCCCCGAAACCTCAACACATCTGCAGCCCAGTTGTACCTTGTAGTTGGACGGAGCCCGATGTTTGCACAGAGGGAGCGGAAGTGATCTCGTCGAGCCAAACGAGGGTATCCTTAGCGGCGACCGCAATCCTACCGTTCTTCTTCTTCAGCTGGTCGAGAATTCCCAATGCTGTCACTGTCAGTTAGCGAAACGCACGGCCATCATCAGCCAGCGAGCGTACTGTGAAGTGGCACATAGAGTCGGATTGCGCCGATGCTGATCCATCGCTGTATTCCATCTCGAGTGCCTTTCTTGACGCCGGCAAGTAGAGCGGTATCATCGACGATGCAATTGAAGACCTTACGCTCGGGGAGTTTTACATCCATGATGAGGTGCGGGTGAGATCTTCCGTCGTGTGGTGTCCGAAGGCGGTCGAGGTCGAGCGGGGAAGTGTTATCGCGGTGTTCTGCGAACAATGAGTTTTCGAGCCGAAGAAGCGATACGAGCGAATATTGGTTTCCATACCGTTGTTCTTCTGGGAAATAATTCGAATATTCACTGGCTCGCATTGTCTATCGCAAAGCGAGCGTGTAGGAACCGTTCAGCGCAGGCTGTCAGCGCCGACGGAGTGAAACGGTGCAAGAAGCGCTTCGCTCATTGTTCCCGAGATGTTGATGAGAGACTTAGAAGGATAAACGCCGGTCATAGTCTGACGGGCAAGGTGAAAGTTGGTAAATTCACTGAGGTGGTCGTTGTGTGGGTGAACCGGAAGATTTCACCATCAAGGGCTGGTGGTGGAACTCCCCAACCAGAATGCCATCATCAGCAGCGATATTCGGTCAGGTGTGGTGGGGGATGTGTACCGCACCAAACAAGCCCTGCACAATATGATATTAGGATTCCATTCGTCCGACTTAATCGATCATATATCCTTGATATTTATACACAAAGTACCCAGGCGGCCAGGCTGCAAGAAATAAGAATGTTACCTATTCAGAGTGTCTTTCCCATTGCAAGATCCCACAGCCTTGTTTCCCGTACCAAGACCTGTAGTGGTCCATACCATTGCGGCTATGCGCACCATCATCCTCATTCAGAGTTCAGCAGCATCTGCTGAAAGGCTGGAAGAATAATCTCGAAACATGATAGGGCTTAACCTCGATTCTCCAACCTTTCGGCCTCATTGATGTCTGGCATCCATCCTGTAGGCCTTTCTGCTCCCCTCACAACGAGCCCGTACAAGGACTTCTCGACCTTCTCCACACATGTTTGCATCACTCCCATCTTCTTTCGAACCTGGTTCTCGAGCCACGACTTCCTCGGAACATCTAGTGCCTCTAGAGCGACTCGGAGCTGTCGGAGGTCCGAGAGGACATTCCCTTCCTGCTCATTATCTCCGACATCATCTCCGGCACCATCGTCTACATCCATCCGATCGGAATGCTGCAGCGTGTTCTTGCTAGTCGATCGTCGAGGTTTTGATCGGGCTGGAAGTTTTCCTGTCGATGCCATTGCCGTAATACAGAATCTCATCAATTCGCCGACCATATCGAATATGCCCAGGATGTAGTCGTCGACGGTTAATGTGATCTTGTTTGCCCCTTCGACCAAGGAGTTGAGGCTGGACACCGCCGTTTCATAAGGGATCAAAGCTTGGTTCTCGAGATAGTATTGGAAGGATAATGCCTCCATAAACTCCTGATGGCCTCCTGATATATTTGATTGATATCGATAGGCATTGAGTCCTTGGAGGTCTGAACAGATACCATTGTATTGGGCCTTGATATTGTCCAGGTGCGGGTCAATGGTCTTCTTGATTGGGGGAGAGATCGGTTGGTCCAATTCCCGTGTTCTTCAATCGTCAGACTGTATCTCAAACGGAGAGATAAAGACTGCCGCTGTAGAGGCATACCTTTGTAATGAGAATATACTAAGTTCAGTGTCAGCGCCTGTACCAGGGCTTAGAGAAAGGCAACATCTTACATCTTCTTACTCGCTGCAGTAACATCTCTGGAAGCTTTAATCACTCGTTCTCGGCGCGCATGGTGCTCGTCTAGTTCGACTCTGAATGTCTCGAACATGGACTGGAATGGGCCGTCAGATGTTGAATCCATGCCGGCTTCGTCACGCGATCGCTTGTTCGACATGGAAAGTGCCTGAAACAATTTGCTTTACTGAAGGATGTAGAAATGAGAAACCCGGGATTTAATTGATCGTAAACGCTCCGAGATGAAATGAATCTGTTGGAGAAACCGAATCAAGCTCACGAGGAACTGATGTATTCACGTGTGGCGCTCGATAGAGAGCTGGAGTGCCACCTCAGGTGGTTCAACAGTATGGCCTGGAGCCGATTTTCTCCCAAACACCTGACCACGGTTGCAATTGTTGAATTCAATGCTGATAGTATGAACAGTACCTTCGAGAGATGGCCGACCTCAAACGAAACAATTCCAGACAAGGAGGTGGATACGATACGGGAGGCCTCAGGCAGCCTTGACCTTATTTCAACGTCAACAGAACTCGGTTCTTTTTCTATTATTTCTTTCGAGTATCGACATCTTTGGGTGGGAATACTGTATATCGACACCTATATAAGCGGTGTAGAATCATTCATCCGAAGGATAAGTAGCATCTAGCTGCAAGATCCAGCCACTGGGCTTGCAGTGTCTCTGTGGAACTAACCCTCTGGTATGGCACAATGAAGCCTTGGGTTGTTTAAGTCACCTTCCTTTGTCTCAGTCCCTCCAGCTTTCAAGATGTTCATGCATTGCTGTTAAGATTATGCAAGGAGAGTGGAATGGCGCCTGGAATGTTTGAAAGCGTTGTTGCCGCTCGACAATATGCTCAATCAATCGGAATCACCAAGGACTTTGCTCATGAGAGAATCTCTGAGGCTCGATATCTCCCGTCTCCCTCGGAACGCGAACTTCAAATGCCAATTAATGGGCCCACATTCGACGAGCTATGCAGCAATGGTACCCTCAAGGAACGCATATCCTGGGACAAAGACTCCCTTGCAATGTTCAGAGACTCGATTCATCAACCAGATCAACCCAGCGAAATGATCCTTTCGCGACCTCAGCACAGCATCTTTCAGCAATTGATGTTTGAGTTGCCCTTACTAACAACCGACAATGACCATGATATGCTATGTTTTTCCAGAAAAACGGATCCGGCCTTCTCGGAACTCGATTACCCACGGCGACCGAAGGATGACTGCCAGGATATGCCTGAAGACATCGATCCGGAGTCCAAGGCGAAGCAGACGGTTTCGAAGATTATGAATGAGAAGTTGGTGGTCGACAAAACTGATTTTCTTGCATTGAGAACATATGTCAGCAAGGAGCCCTGGAGGCCAAATGAGGAACCTTTCGATGTCCAGCGATCAACCATGGTAAGAGGGAATCAAGGTTAATTCAATGACCAGCTAACATGTGGTTAAAAGGGATTGAAAAGCCCTCTAACTCCGCCACTCTTGCCGCTCAGTCGATCCCCTTCGCCATATGTACCGTCATCTCCTGCACGCGATGTCCCCATTCCGTCTGAGCATAGCACCAATTCTGCGGCAGAAGATGCGCGAATGATTGAGGAGCAGATTCTGCTGAACGACACGATCCTTCCAATGACGCCTGAGAATCAATTTCTCAAGTTCAAAGCCTCGAAGGCAAATGATGGACCTGAAGAGCTGGACTGTGATCCATCATCTTTCGGGCTCTTAAGCTCTCCGGCTGCGAAAAGAACGAGAAACGACTTATTGATGGAAGTACCTCTGACTCCTGGATTCTCCTCAGAACGATCACCAAAGAGACTCAAACAGATCACTCTTGCAGACGTCGTTCCTAACCCAGATTTGAAGTTGCCGTCAGCAGCGATAAGTCCTATGGTCGCTTCTGACGAATCACCATTTGAAGCAATTCTGAACGAGCAATTTCAATCCATAGCCGACGATGCGAAAAGGATGACTGAAAATGAGCGGCTTATCGAAGCCGATTCGACGAATAGGATGTCCGTTCCCATAGTTCACGATGGGAAGCACTGTGCCCCTTGGGAGGAGTACGGCCTGCGCAGTTGCAGAACAGGCGAAGCTTCCGAGCTTGCTGCACAATCGAAGCTGCTCAAAAGCATCCAAAAACAAGCTCCTGAGGTGTTGAATCCTTGGCACGGTGCACATCTCACGGAGACAAGGCTGAAATGGATACCATTTCTAGGCAGAGCCTCAAAAGTGACAATCGACGAGGGAATCACTAGCAAAGTGAATATTGAGAACTACTTGCGACAGCTAACGCTTGGTTCTGCCTGTACGAGCGAAGAGTGTACCTGGAAACCAGAAGTGCCAAGTTTGCTTGCAATGAGCTGGGGAGATGAAAACGTCTTGGATCGTTGCCAATGGGCTGCAGAAGATGACATCAATTGTCTGACATCGCAACGTAAAGTGGAACTTGATGGACGCCATCAGGACCATGACAGCAGGAAAGGTATCGACAATGTCGGAAAGTCTGCTACGGGAACGGATCGTCGGAACTCCGGGATTCGAAATTCTCAAAAGAACATGAAAACTACGATACACTCGATGTCTACGAGAAACTCCGCCAATAATTATTTCCAGTCACTTGGGGTCTCCATCCCGATCTCTGCAGCTGAAGTAGAAGCTCAAAGTTCGCCGAAAACGCGTGGTGGCGATGCGTGGCCACTGGGTTTTCAAGAGGATGAAAACAGAGCGTTTCATGGGGATAGCGAGCTGGGTTATCAGTCACTGCACGATCCCCCTACTCCTTCGGAGCCTCGCGCTGTCATCGTTTCATCAATCCTCTTGTCAAAGCGAGGCCTAGTTCGTTCGATCCGAACCCTTTATCCGTCTCTGGTCATGGTCCAGCGCGATTGGTCCTCACACTTGACCTTGCTTGACCGCGACCTTCTCTCCTCATCGTCACCAGTTCGGCTCTCCGACGAAGCCGACATAATCTATGGTGCAAATAGAGCCGTGATTCTATCCACTGTGCTTGAGATCAGTCAACGAGCGTTGCCCGGCGCCGAGCTTACTAGCCGGGAATCTGGCATCCATGGTCGGATCTCAAGAGTAGCTACCCGATATGCCGAAGGTGAGCTTGTGGTTCTAGTGCATGAGACGATCCACACTCGGTCGACCAACGAGCCCCAGGAGCTGGTTCGGTTGCGGAAATGGGCAGTGCAAGAGCAGAGAGGCATTGGTACTCGGATTTCCATTGCCTGGATCTGCGGAAGCAATGATGACGATACCGCCAGAGCGATAATAGGCGAGGTAATCAAGACTAATGATGATTGTCGAAACATACCTATCCGGAAATTGGAAGAAGAATCAGAGGTAAGAGCAGCTTAATCTGTTATTGAATTTAGGAAGTACTTATCGCACACCAGGGAGAACTCGTCCTTCGTCGTGCCGGAATCAACGCCCTTGCCGCTCTCTCCATCCTGAACATCCTACAAGAACGCGATACGACATGCGCGTCGGACGACATTGCTCTCGACACACTAGCACGAATGGGCCATCACGAACGCCTACGTGTCTTCGGTCACCTCGTCGGCGCCCAGGCACTAGACAAACTGAGACTATATTTCGGATAAAAAGCAGACGTAGGACCACCCATATTCTAAACGCACAGGAAAATGACCGACCTTTCCAACCACATAAATCGTAGACTCCTAGAAACAAGTGCTCTAATCCGCGGACGACGCCGAAAACCTAAATCCCCGGAACCCTCCCCCCTAGCCCAGCATGCGCGTGGTACGAACACCCACCTACGGCCAACTTTTCCCACACCTTCCGCTGCGCGTTGTCGACGGACAAGCCGTTGTCCTGCCAGTCGACTCGGGAGCGCGACTTCGTCCCGCAGGTACAATAATCGTTGTGATGGTTGCTGAGGAAATTCGGTTCCGAGAGTAACTGTGGGTCGGACGAGTGGTCGTTCGCAGGAAGCGGTGTATGATTAGTCAGGAATGCTGCGTTCGATGGCCCTGGAGCGTGGTGGTGGGGGATATCGGGTGTGGTCGTGAGGGTTGGGAACGAGAGCCCGTGCTCCTCTTCGTCCAGAGGGTCGCTCTCCGTGTCGTAATGTACGCTGGAATTCTCGTCGTCAATGCCGTTGCTCTGATCGTCAGTTTCATACGAATCGTTATCATAATCGTCATCCGTGAGCTCGTCGTCGGTGCTGTCATCCGAGCTGACCAACATCCACCCATTGGGCGCAAATATTCCATTGCCCCATGTACCCAGATCGTCCTCCGGGTCGCTGATGTCAAAGCCGCGATGGGTCGCATCCCAATTATGCGCATAGTCGATGCGCCGGAGCGAACACCATTTGAGATGCTCCATATTACAGCGAAGGTACTGTAGAATGAACTCCCACTTCGTATCGTCAGACTTCGTATCGAATGGCTGTTTGTCGCGCTGCCTGAATTGATCCTCGTATGTCGGGGTGTAAGATGGCGTGTAGGATGGTGTGATGCCCGCTGATCCCTGCACCACTTCATCCAGCTGTTGGCGAGGCCTCATGAGCAGCACATCGCGGAGTCGAAGACCCTTCAGACGTGGATGTCGAGCCGCGAAGTCGCGAATCTCATGCGAGTGCAATTTCCAACTCTGGATCCCAAACGCGATGAGGTCGGGCCACGTTACATTATGAAATACTGACTCTAGGGCTATCGTGAGCGGCCTTGTCGAGGGAAACCCCAGATGTATGGCGCGCATCGCCGTCGCTGCGTGGAAGAAGTTCTTGAATAGTTTCGAAAGGTGCTCGATCTTGGCATCCAAATCCAATGGGAAATGCACGGGTTGTCCGTTCGGCACATCGGGAGTCGAAGTGACGTCGGTTGCGTCGAAGTGCAATTCAAGACTGGTCAGTCGACTCAGTAACTGCCCAAGATCTTCGGGGACGCTCATGTTGGTCGGGTCTTCGCCAACATATTGAGACAGAGAGATGGCACTTTGCGGACTCAGCATCGGACTGCTCAGTGTTGAACACGGGTTCTTTGTTGCGATCAGAGCCGCGCCAATGGTCTGCGTTGAGTGCGAGCAGGCTTCTGCCCAACGTAGACCGATGTTCAATTGGGGATGCGCAGTCTGTCCATGGATGCCGTTGAGCCCATTGGGCGGTCCGTTGATTCCTAAAGGTGGCCCGTTTTGAGCACTCCGGAGTCGAGCCATGAGGTTCCGATCGACCTGATCCTGAACGCGCAATATTTGGATCTGCTGCAGGCTCCTAAAGTTATCCATTGCCGTACGAAGCACATACTCGTCTCGTCTGGAGTCAATGATGTTCCGTTGCTCCTTTAGTCTCGTCAAAAACGGTTCGGTTGCGATGTCACCTAGATCAAAGACGTTCCCTGCGCCATCCACTTGGGTTGCGAGGGATGAGCGCGATAATTCAGAGCTTGGGTTGGAAGAATCTAACAGAGAACATTTAGTCTCATGGTTGTGATAATCGCATTATCTGCGTCAGGGAAAGTGAATGCATTACACACCGAATACATAGAAGTATGGGACCATATAACTGAACTTGATGACATGTTTGGCGACATTAGGGCTCCGCGCAATGGCTTCCAGGCGATTGAAACCCGCTACGGTGAACCTGGTCGTCACACGGGCATACTGACGGACCGCACCTAGTTCGGAGAAGCGCCTACAAGTGAGCCGAAATGCAGCTAATGTAGTAAGCGCATCGGGCTCCCGTGGCGGCGGGTGACTGAACGACTCCTGCGACAGGTATGCTCGCTTATCGAGCTCGATAAGCCGGGGGCGGTCTGATGCAAGAAAGTCCAAGATGTGGTCCAAAAGCTCCGTCGACAGCCGTAGGACGGGCGCTGGATCGTCATGGTTATCCAGAGCTTCGAGAGCGCGATCCTTCATATTGAATCAAGTGTAGGTCAATCAAGTCCAGACCATGGATCCAGGGATATCACCAGGAGTTGGAGATATTCTGAAGCGAGTGACTGGGAGAGGACCAAAATCGGAGGAAATAGGCAATCCAGCGAGGAAGCAAACTCGAGGTCCGAATCGAATCTTTCGTTGCGGGGAAGAAAACCGTCACGATGATCGAGTTCCGCGGAAGGGTTGTAATAATCGATACTCGAGATCAGTCGGAAAGCCCGTGGAACCGCCGCGCAAACAGCGCTGATGCCAATGTTGTACAAAATCTCGGTAGGGCACAAACCATGCTATGTGGCATAGCGACCTGACACTGTCGGAATCACTGTCATCTCAAGACACTGAAACAAAATCGCACAGTCCGGGCCCGATGCTGCTGGTGGGACCAAAAGATTCTCGTCAGCGGCTGGATCAGTGCAGACACCAGATTCGAAGGTTGGAAACAAGGCAAATCTTACAAAGAAGCTAGCCTCCCGAACATGTCATACTTTCAGGTGGACATTCGCAACGTGGAAGCTCCGTTGCCAGGATCCCCTTAGGCACAGGAGGCACAGCTATGTGTATGGGCAACAACGGAGGGCGAGAATCGGGGCAATCAGACAGACGACACGTGTTGGTGGCGTTCCCAATGGCCCAGCGTCGCAAACGGACATTAAACTCCTGGCCTTCTCAGTTGCTCGAGAAAATGGACAAGAAAGCAAGGTCAAGTGGGAGAGGGTCGAGAAGAGGGGAAGATGGCTCCCGTGCGAACTGATGCTAGGCACGGAGAGGGGATAAAGAGGTGTTGAGATTCGATTTGCAGGCCTTTCGCGTGCCAATCAGGACAATGCCTCTAATCACATGATTGTTCCCGTATGCGTGTATGAGCGGGAGGGCCTGGCCGTTCCGCAAGAGCCACTGGACAAAGAGTCTTGGATGAATTTGAGTGGTGCAGTACATCAACGTACAGACAGGGGTTTCATCCAACGGGGAACAGCCGGTGGATGGGCCGAGAGGGATAGTGTGATGTCGTCGTGCCAGCGCCGGGTTGCTGCTAGACCGGTTAGAGATGCATCGATCCGCTAGAATGGACAGCGATGAGCGAACGAGAGGATTTCACGGGCCATTGCCTCTGGAGGGCGCAAAAGGATGGGAATGCGAGGAGTTGATGACGAATTTGTTGAAGAAGAAACATGCCCTCGACCCCTCAGTCCCCTGCAAGACCGTAACTGTATGGCGGGGATCGTCGCCCGAGATGGGCCACGCGGGTTGATCGACTGACCTTAATCCATCCTCTTAATTCCGATGCCAGCCATTTGTGAGCGATTTGACCGCCGTTATCGTCCTCCATCTTCACTCCATCCCACCACCTGCGAGGGGATATTGGCCGTTGCTTGCTTTTTAGCATCCACGAATGGTGGTGGCCGAAACCGCGAATTCCAGCTCTTGACCTCTCCGATCCCGTCGCCCCAAGCCGCGAAGGATATATTTTTCGGAAAGCAGTGCAGCAGCACGTCATGCACTTCCACCCAAACTTGCAGATACTATTGCTCAGAACTAACGGGTTGGCTGCATATGCCAGTCTGATTCCCGTGGTGCCATCGTCTCTCTCGATTTCCAGGTGAGCCGTCCCAAGTGAGCCGTCCCAGGTAATCATTCTTCATTCTTGAGAGACGGTGAGCGGTCGCCGAATGGGCCGGCGGCGAGCATTTTGCTGCTCCCTGGCTGCACCGCTTCCGTGGCAGCTTCTTCTCCAATCGTGAGAGTTGGCTAAGGATGCTTTGGTGGACTGGGGTCGCCTTGGGCGGCATGGTCGATTGTAGATTGGGTGCTGATTGGCTATAAAGATGCGCATCCGCTGATAGTCCGATGATGAGAGATCGATGTGTCGGATGGAGGACAATGGCAATCTCATCAATTACATGGCTCCACGAGAACTATTGGAGATTTGCAGGAATCGTTGTGCTGGTGACTGACGGGTGTGAAACGTGACAAGTTTGACATCTAATCGGATACGTAAACAGCTTCAACTTGTCACTGGTGGTTGCACAGTACCGTATTCGGTGCTGTATTATTAAATAATAGGTCATTTAGGTGCTGTATCAAGTCCCCTCTATAAGGAATGGTCTGGTCTGGTCGGCCGAACTCGCTTATTGCGGCCTTGTCGCCCGAGGAAGTGGTAATTGTTGCCTTAGACTGCATTTCCTGCATTCCCATGCTTCCCCGATGCTTTGATTCCCAGCTGTTGAGCGTCGGCACATCCTTCAGTTCCATCCAGAACATCCTCCTGCGAGGCTAAGGATGTAGGTACTCAACCAAAGTACCACCATGCAACTTCGTGTACGCTTATGTCCCGACTCCACAGTGAAACGAGAACTCTCGAATGCCTCGGCCGCCCCCATTCAACAGTCCATCCCAGCCAGATGACATACCGCATTGCTCCTCTTGCTCGCTCTGTTGGGAAAGATACACCATGCCACCACCTATTTCGGCAACTCAGCATCGTATCTAGTGGAATGACCGATCAATTGTGTGCGTTCCCATCCCAGCTACTGTAGGCTATACCTTGCTCCTCCCCCTCGTCGCCCTCTCCTTTCGTATCTCGGTGCTACTCAGCTTCCCCTCAAAGCTCGCCCGCATATCTCTCCCGCTCGCATCCTTATGTCGCCCATCATCTTCAACCTCCCCCGAGTCCAACACATCCACCTCGAGCACCTCCATGTCCGCCCACCCCTTCTCCCGTCGTTTCTGGTTGACGGCCGCACCTCCCGACCGCGTCTCGGCAGAGATCACCAGCACGCTCACGCCCGGCTCGGTGATTGTGGGACCGAAAGGATCGCCGATCTCCACGAGTTTCAAGGTGATGTCTCCAGCGGGTTGGGCTGCGTGGGTTGGGGCGACGAGAGTGACGTTCCATGCGTGGCCGTTCGGTCCGGGTTGATTGATATGTTGGACGTGTAAATCGCTGGGCGACTCCGATAAGAGCGATGCTGGTGATGTCGGCCGATAGTCCATGATGCCGATGAGGAACCGTTCCACCGCGACCCGTCGGGCATCCCAGCTCTGTAATAGCTCTGCGTACTTCTTGTTCGCCAGCAGCGCATCATTAGTGATGCCGATCGTAACGCTCCTCTCGGTCTGTTGATCGGTATCGAGCTCGTCGACCATGAACGCGGTCATGGTCAGTAGAAGCTTGTGTCCGATATGAATATGATCGAATGTTCCCCCAACAACGGACGCATAGTGCTTCCGTCGTTCGCCCAACCCAACTCTTGGAGCCTCCGCTTCACCCGTGGATGCAACTTGTACTATCCCCCCCCCAACTCTTCTCACGGCAAATCTGGAGAGCTCCCTCCTCTTCTCAACAAACCGGCGCAATATCGTCTCTCCATCCTCGCCATCAACTCCCCAAACCACTTCCCACCGCCTTCCACTGCGCGCCAGAGTCTCCAACTCCACCACTACCCCAACCTCCCCAAACCACCCACCCTGATCCCTCGGCCCCGTTCGTCTCGGCTCCGCAACCAGCAATATCCGCACATCCACTCCCCCCTGCCCCTCCCCATCGCCATCCACATCCGGATTGATATCCACCCCTTCCTGTGCCGCAGCCACCACGATCAGCTTGTAGAGCCCCGCCACCGCATCCTGCGTCTGCCGATACAGCACCGAGCGTGGCGTCCGCGACGCGCCGTAGAGGAAGGGGAGGGGTAGCGCGATGTCGAGAGTGGAGGTGCGGGATGGGGAGTTGACAGAGCGGAGGACTGATTTGAGGGACGTCTCGTAGGTGGCGCGGAGAGACTGGAAACTTGGTGGTTGAGGGGGAGGGGGGAGGAGGAGTATGGAGTCGCGTGCGGGGAAGGCTGGGGCCATTGGATTGTGGTGGGGACCGCTTCACGATTTCGGGTTGATTTAAATCGTGAGGTCGACTTGCGTGCCCTCTTTTACGTTTAGGCGAGGACTATGGCTGTTGAATAACCACAATCAAGATATTCTGTTCTTTGTTTACACAGTACAAACTGAAGACCGAAAGATTGGCTGGATCCTCGGCCCGTTCACATCACCCCGCGGATTGGGGGAGCCGGGAGACTCCTTGGGATGACTAAGAACCTCTTCTGTCTCTCCGAACACTACTTCATGATATCTATTTCATGATATCTACTAACTAGTATATATCGATAATTAATTCAATTAGTAATTGGTCGATGACGTTTGACACGGGCTAATATGATATGGTGAGAATGCGATGTTCATTTAAGGTTTCAAGTCTAAGAGTACGGCTAAACTTCAGTAGAGCTTCTGGCATTGACATATACTATCTGAGAGAGGTAGAGACTGAACGCGTTTTTAAGAGAAGGATATTCAAGTCATTATTTCCCCTCCGTTCTTCAACATGTCCAAACTCTCTCCCGCCCTTCGGACATTGATCAACGCGCCCCATGCCCGACCAAACATCATCCCCGCCCCGTCCCATATCCGCTCCGTTTACGAAGACATTGCGCGCGATGCGGCGCGAAAAAACGTGGGTCGGCCATCGTGGCTGGCGCTTGCAGTGAGTCTCCGTGTTTCAATATATGCAGTTCCGCATGTGGTTGGGCTGTTGGGGCTAAGAGGGGCTGCGCGATGGTAGACCGCGGCGACCATGACGATGAACTCCCCTGAGAGTTTGACCGCACTGTTCGAAGTGGCGACGGAGCAGTCGCCGAGCTCCGTAAAGGATAAAGTCAACACCGCGGAGTTCATGCGGGAAGTCGGTCTTAAATGCATATCCTTCAATGGAGTAAGTCTCCTCATACTGTCGATTAATCGACGCGGTGGACGCATTTAAAGGACGTTCTCTAACCGAGTCCTAGATTCCACGGACAATTAACTTACTAAACTACTTCCACGACTTCCTCCCGGACCAAATCTTATCTCAAATGACCACGTCGTCTTCCCGCACCCCAACGTCTTCCAACATCGAGCAGATTCGCGCGCGAGGCCTTGCCCTCTGGTCCAGCATCTACGCCGAGCTCGACAAGAGGCTCCTCGACAAGCTTGCTGCCTCCCATCCGGACCTCCCCGTCCACATCATCAACAGCCACTACGGAGCCCTGCTGAACGACCCGCCCTTGGAAGGTAGAGCCGGCCTCGGGCGCGTGGGACGAATGGCCACGTCCATCGTTGCAATTGCGGCATTGAGAGCACAGGGAGGAGTGGCGCCGCAGGTGATTAGCCACCTGTTTGGACTTCGGAAAGGGTGGGTTGATGGGACGTGGAAGGGTGACTTGCAGTTAGCGGGGGAAGGGGATAAAGCGGAGGCAGAGAGGCGGACGAAAGGGGTCGAGTGGCTGGCGAGTGATGAGGGCAATATCTGGGTGTTGGATCGCGTGGATCAAGTCGTGAAGGCGATTCGAGATACCCCAAGTGGTAGTCAACCGCGGCCACGTTTGTGAAACCATCGATTTATGCACAAGCCATCTAAACATCTAGTTATACTTCTAATTTGCTAGACGCTCCAAGTAGCAACAGGGAGCGCAAGTGAGCTCCCAAGCGTTGGTATTGCTACGCGTTTCGCGATGATCAACACCATTTTACACGTGTCACAGGCTATGGATGTTTGCGCTTTGGAAATACGCGTATTGACGGATGTATTTGGGAACTTCTTAATGAATAGAATATTGCAATGAGCTTGGAAGGTCGAACTGGGCAGTCTCAAAGGTTGGTCTATGACAAGGATCTGGCCAATCACAGCGCGCGATTTTGAACTCCCATCAAAGTCGTCACTCCAACCCGCAGCTTGAATTATTTCCCTTCACATACTGCTTCACTTCCAATACCCTTATTACAACAAATAAGATTTCCGTCGCTGCGAAAAGTCAACCGAATAATCCCTCCGGGTTGAAACCATGGCCGACGTCGACGTCCTCATCAAAACATCCGCGAAGCGTACCCGCGAACTCTTCGCCTCAGACTTCGCATCCACCTCCCAACTCGCCTCCTCCCTTCCCACCCCCTACTCCGTCGCTCCCATCATCCCTAGCGCACAAGAGCAAGCCGACAAGCTCTCCATCACCTCGAGAATACGGTCCGAATATGCCAATGCGAAAGAACTCCCTCCCGCGCTCGCCGCGAAGCAAGCCAGCGCTGCATCAGTCCGAAGAAAGAAGCCGAAGACGCAGGCTGGCGAGGGCGTGCCGTCGGACCCCAAAATGGCGCAGATGATCGAGGGGATTACGGAGCGGGACGAGAAGGTATCGGGGAGCGCGTCGAACGCGTTGATAGTGAGGCAAGGCGGCAACCGACCGAATATCGCGGGTGGTTTACCGACCCGGGACGCGCCGTCGTCGAGCTTGATTCGGCGGGAGAATATCCGTCAACCGAAACCGGAGTGGCATGCGCCGTGGAAGCTAAAGCGCGTGGTGTCGGGGCATCTGGGATGGGTGCGGGCGCTGGCGGTGGAGCCGGGCAACAAGTGGTTCTGTTCGGGGGCGGGGGATCGGACGATCAAGTTATGGGATCTGGCGAGCGGGACGCTGAAGCTCACGTTGACGGGGCATATTTCGACGGTGCGCGGGCTGGCGGTATCGCCGAGACATCCGTATCTGTTCTCGTGCGGAGAGGACAAGAAGGTGCTGAACTGGGACCTGGAGACGAATAAGGTGATCCGCCACTTCCACGGGCATCTCAGCGGCGTCTATACCCTCGCGCTCCATCCGACCCTCGACGTTCTCATCACCGGCGGACGAGATGGCGTGGCACGAGTATGGGACATGCGCAGCCGCTCGAACATCCACGTGCTCTCCGGCCACAAGGGCACGGTCTCCAACATCCAAGCGCAAGAAGCCGACCCCCAGATCATCACCTCTTCGCTCGACTCGACCGTCCGCCTCTGGGATCTCGCGGCTGGGAAAACCATGGGCGTCCTGACGCACCACAAGAAAGGTGTGCGCGCCCTTACCACGCACCCCGAGGAATTCACCTTCGCCAGCGCCAGCACCGGCAGCATCAAGCAGTGGAAGTGTCCCGAGGGCGCGTTCATGCAGAACTTTGAGGCGCCAAACTGCGTCATCAATACGCTGGCCGTCAACCAGGACAACGTGATGGTCGCGGGCGGCGACGACGGGTCCATGTCGTTCTTCGATTGGAAGACGGGCCATCGGTTTCAGTCTGAGGACAGCATCGCGCAGCCGGGATCGTTGGCGGCGGAGGCGGGGATCATGTGCGCGACGTTCGACCGGACGGGGGCGCGGTTGATTACGGGTGAGGCGGATAAGACGATTAAAGTGTGGGCGCCCGATACGACGGCGACGGAGGAGACGCATCCGATGGACTGGACGCCGACGTTGGGGAGGCAGAAGTTCTGATTCCATCATGGGCTTTCGGGCAGACGAATTCATATTTGGCAAAATCGGCGTCGCAGGAACAGCGCTTCGGGTATATTTGGGGCTCAGGATTGATGAACTGTATACAACTAGCCCATCCAACATCCAACAATAGGCCAAGGGGCTTATTCACTTGTACACTAAGATACCCGATTCTGAAACAATCCACCACCATCCAGATTTAAAAACCAAACCCCCTCACCTCCTCATCGTTATGCAACGCCAACTTAATCTCCTCATCCCCCACCCCCAACCGTATCCTTCCCACCCTCTCCCCCCGCTTCGCCTCCAAACCCACGATCCCCGCCTCCAACAACTCGTTCGCGGCGTACTTTATCCCATGCATCCGCGCCGCCTTCCCATTCCTATCCGGCTTCTCCAGCTGCCGCGGCCGCCCCCCTCGCTTCCAGTTCGGCCCCTCGTCGTCCGGCTCGAACCGCTCCTCCGCCAACAAATACTTGTCGACGGGCGCCACTTGGTTCATGAGCCCGAGATTGCGCGCTTCGTCGAGCACGTCGCCGAGCACGGCTTCGTTGATCCCCGTCCGCCGAATGCGCGCCAGCAGCGCGGCGAGGAACACCTTCGCGGCGAGGGGCAGCGAGCGGAGGTATTGTTGCAGCGGACTGCTGGTGGCTTCGCTGATGGCTTGCTTGATCGTCGCGATGGTGACAATCGCCGTTTTCGTCGCTGCCGCGGTGTGTTTCTTCAATGGCGAGCCACCTACGGCGCTGCCGTTCGTCTCCCTGCCTCGTTTCCGGCCCGTCTTACTGGGTGTATCCGGCGCTTCGGAGTCGTCCTCCTGCACCCGCGCCAGCTGCTCTGCCTCTGCGAGCTCGACCGCCCGCCGGCAGATATCCAGCGCCCGTCGCGCGTCGCCGCTCACCGCCGCGACCTTCCGCGACGCGAACTGGATGGCGTCCGGGTGCACGATCTTCCCCGGGACGTTCGCGAGGCGCGACTCGACGATCTGCATGAGCTGATCGTGGGTGTACCCCTTGAAGGTGATCCGATGCAGGCCGAGGCGGCTGCTGATCTTGTTACTTAGGGTCCGCTCCGGAAGGTCCATCGTGTTGGCGACGGCGAGGACGATGAGCCGGCTGTGGCGTAGGCCGGGCCAGTTAAAGAAATTGTACATGACGCTCTGGTTCTTCGTGACGAGTTGGTCGAGCTCGTCCATGAGCACGACGCACGGGACGCGTCGCGGGCTGGGACTGCTGAATTCTCGCTCGAGCAGCTCCAACGCATGAGACGGGCTGACTCGGTCGCCTCGCAGCGCCTCCCAGAGAAGCGCATACGATTGGTGCGGATCGGTCACTTTCATACCGTTGATCTCCACGAATATGAAGTCGTCGAGCTCCTCGGCGAGCACCGACGCATTGAGTTGGGCGACCACTTCCCGAACCGTCGCCGTCTTTCCGGTGCCCGGCGTTCCGGCGATGTAGATGCAGGACCCGGTGCCTTCAGTGATGGCTTTCTCGAGATGGGTGTACACTTCGGCGAATTCCTCTTCGCGGCAGGGGAGGGAGGCGGGGACGGAGGAGACGTGCAGTTGGTTGCGGGCGAGTTGGAAGGGGGAGGAGAGGACGTGGGGGGAGAGGACGCGGGTTCCCAAGGGAGTGAATTCAAGGGGTCGCTTGATGACGATTCGCTTGGATCCGGGGGTGAATAGTTTGCGAGGTGTCAGTTCCTTCTTTCTGGAGCCTGGCGTGCTGAGATCCGTGTTCTTCTTCCTCCTCTTAGGGGTTCGAGGATCGTGGTCATCTCCATCGTGATCCACAACGAATTCGTCGAGATCGTGCTCTGCTTTTCCTTTGCCCCTTGTACGGGTCGCCTTGGTCTGGCTCTGAATTACGTGGATTAGGTCGCCGATATCTGTTGCACCCTTGTAGATATCTTCCCATACGAACTCTTCCGTGTATGTCGCTGTCCGAGTGTTGCACCCTCGACGACAGACGAACACTTTGCCGTATTCTTTCGCATTTCGTGGGATTTTGCCAGTAGGATATCGCTTATCGTATGCGCTTTTCGACAGGACGGTAGCTTTGCCATTGATCGTACTGAGAGGATTGTCGTCCCATGACGGAGTGAGGTAGATTTCATTCTGGACCTTGTTAGATTGCCTCGACCGCTGGAGAGGGATACTGCTTACCTCGAGCGCATCCGTCCTTCTCTTCAATTTATTCCTTATCTCCTTCGGCGTGGAAAACCACATGAAATTTGCCATCTTCTCGTCCTCCTCTTCATCATAATGGAGGTCGCAAATGAGCCCAACCCACGCCTCGTTCCCCTCGGCTTTCAGCAACACCATATCGCCCACGAAGCACTCAAACTGGCCCATCCGCGCTCCGATGATTTCCGGTCCATCATCGATCGCCGAATGCTTTCGCTTCCGCGGGTTGTCCCGCTTGTCATCATCATCCTTCGACTCGCCGTATATCCATTCCCAGGGGTAGTCTTCGACGCCCAACTCATCGTCAGAATCTTCGCGGACGACACTCCCGCCCTGCAGGAATTGCTTGACCTTTTCGATCTTGCTCCGTTTTGGTTTTGGTGCCATTTTTGATGGTGTGGTGGCTTTGGAAGTGGGTAACGTAGGCTGCAATTAACACTATTGTTGAAAATTTCCGGATGTCGTCAAGGAGAGCCGACGCGTTATTTGACGCGTTTCGGGGGATGACGCGAGCTCCCAAAGCGGAAGTCTAATTGAATTTCCACATCCCCCGCCTTTCCGATGCCATACGGAGTACACATAACACAATACACCTTCACCAAGCCTACTATACCGTCCTTACCGTACTGAGGTATGTAGGTACACTTTCTTGCAATCATATAGCAATCAAAATATTGCCTTAATGACCTACACTAGTCATCTATCAGCCAGCTAATCCAGCCCCCTCTCATCTCCAATGCCAACCCCCTCCTCCCTCTCCTCCCTTACTACCTCTCACGGCCTCATCTCCTCCTTCTCTACCTTCCTCACCATCGCCATCCACACCATCCTCTCCGCCCGTGCCGTCTACCCCCCCGCCTCCTTCCTCGCCGCCCGCGCCTACAACCACCCCGTCCGCCAGAACCGCCACCCGCGTGTCTGCGCCTGGATCACCGACGCCGTGCGCGCCGTCGAGGTGCAGCTGCGCACCGGCGACGTCGCCCGCGTGGTCGTCGTGCTGTTCGCGCCGCCGGGAAGTGGCAGGAGGCAGAGGGCGCTAGAGCGGTTCGTGTTTGATGTGGGGAGGTTGCCAGTTGTGTCGGCGGGGAAGGGAGATGCGGTGATTGTGCGGGAGGGAGAGGAGATGGGAGACGGGGAGGAGCGAGATGACGGGGCGGAGAGGCGGATGATGGCGGATCTGGAAGAGGAGTTCCGGGCGGTGATGGGGAGGTTGATGGGCTGCGGTCAGCGATTGGCGCCGATTCCTGAGGGGTGCACGTTTACGGTGGCGATGGAGTTGAAGACGGATGGGAAGGCGCCGGTTGGGCATCCGCAGGCGTGGATACCGGCGGAGGGGCCGCTGCAGGCGAGAAGAGAAGGGGAGGCGGGCGGTGGGGAGGATGGAAGGGTGGTGAGAGGGGGGGATTTGGAAGGGCAGAAGGTTACGGCGGTGAGAACGGTGGATGTGGGGGAGATGGCATTTGAGATGTGGATAGAGGAAGGGAAGGCGAAGTGGGACGACGGATAGGCACTCGACCAGGCCATCAGAGCAAGGGTCGATTCGGACAATGAACCAAGCAAAGGTGGGTAACAAGTTCCCATGCACCGGTTTTCTCGAACAGGATATCCTTCTTTTTATTAAGGTTGTCTGTTTTCTGTGGCATTGGCCAACAACTAAACGGTATATCAGATCTTCCGCCTCTACCGAAACACGGTATTATGAAAAATCCATGACCTCCTGCCGCGCCAAAGGGGACGTGCAATGCTCCAACCAGAACATATGACGGCGGGAACAGCCCGCGGGAACCGATCGCGGAGATATCTCGCGGCGCAGCGCTCAGGTGAAATCGGCGCAGTACGAGAACCCACGGAACTCCTCTTGCATGGCCTGGGTAAGGACTAGAGCAAACGAAGTCAGCACAGCGACCCTGTTCGCGGAACGGATGAAACATACCTGATTGCACCGGGGTCAACACCGGGGTCACGCTCGTGAACTCCTGATCGAAGTTCGATGTGTCCGTCGCCGACGAGATCTGCGGCATGAACGGCGCGGGGATGCGTTTCTGATACACATCGTCCCAGTTGATGTTGCGGAAGAACGCGTGGCTCATGATCTCCTGCGCGTCCGTGGGGCCGCTACCGAGCCGCAGCTCGGGCTCGCGCGTCAGCAGCTTCTGGAGGATCGAGACCGAGTCGCGCGGCATGTGGATCGGGTAGAGCGGCTCGTCGGCGAGGATGGCGTCGTAGATCTCGTCTTCGTCTTCGCCGCGGAAGGGGGATTGCTGGAGGAGCATTTGGTAGATGAGGACGCCGAAGGCCCACCAGTCGACGGCGCGGCCGTACTTCTTGTCGAGAAGAATCTATGCCGAAAAGATTAGCGAAATGGAGCGGAATAGAGTAGGAATAGAACTACATACTTCCGGAGCCATGAACTCAGGAGTACCGCAAAAGGTGCTCGTCGTCGAGCCGTACCACATATCCTCCTTGCAAAGACCGTAATCTGCAATCTTGATGTGCCCATCGAGTGTCAGCAGGATATTGTCCAGCTTCAAATCGCGGTAGATGACGCCATTTTCATGGAAGTACTTCAACGCCAGGCACACCTCCGCGGCGTAGAACTGCGCGCGCTTCGTGCCGAACTGGCCGCGCTGGATGTGCAGCATCAGATCGCCGCCGCTGATGTACTCCATGACGAAGTACACCCGCGTCTCCGTCTGGAAGCAGGCGTGCAGGTTCAGCAGGAAGGGGTGCTGCTCCTTGTTCGCGATGAGGAACACCCGCTTCTCCGACCGGATGCTCTCCACCTCGTCATTCTCGATGATGAACTCCTTCTTCAGCACCTTGATCGCGTACAGCTGCTTCGACGCCTTGGTTTCCGCGAGCATGACCTTGCCGAAGTTCCCCTTGCCCAGCACGGCCAGGAAGTTGAAGTGGTCCAACCCGATCCGTCGACCGTTGCCAGCCGTGTTGGCGGGGGGAGGACCTTTCTGTTCGTGTGGCTGGGGTGCCTGTCCGACAATCTGTTGGCCTGGTGGCTGTTGATGTTGTGGTGGCACCGGAACCTGCACCTGAACGGCCGGAACTTGGACTTGGGGCTGAGTGTAGGGTGCGCCTTTCGGTGGTGGCGTAGGTGCTCCCGTTTGTTGCGGCGGATACGGCGCCTGGGCACCATACCCGGAGACGTTGGCATATCGCGAGGGATCATAGGGTTGATGCTGAGATAGCTGCTGTTGTGGAGGCCGCGCCTGAGTGGGAGACTCGGGATATCCGGCATCCGATGGCTGTCCGTACTTCTGGTCCTGGCCTGACGCCGGCCCGAAATCGGTCGATGTTCGCCCGTATCCCGCGCCGCCGGCTGGAACGTTCGCTTTGCCAGCGAGTGCTGCCGTTGCCGCGGCCGCGGCAGATTGTGACCCCTGTCCCCGATGACCTGGTGGAGGTCGACCTTGGTCGGGTCCCGGCATACCGGGCTGAGCAGCGCTGTACGCAGCGGTAGCGGCGTCCACAGAATGTCCAGGAGCGCCATGGGGGGGAGGCCGTTGGCCTTGATCATAGCCCGCCTCCTTTCCATAAGAGTAGCGCTGATCAGGTTGAGGTCTATCAGTCGGCGGCCCATAACCTGCGGTTGCAGGAGGCGTTGGTCGTCCACCCGGACGCAAAGTACGGGAACTCATGGACGAGATGGACGCAGGTTGGCGTTTCTTTGCGTTCTTAATTTCGGCGAGGATTTGATTTGCGGCTTCCATCGACATGCCACAGAAGTCTGGGACGAAGTGTAAACATTGAACATGGCAGGTGAGGGAGCACTCTGGACGGGGAATTAGTGAACTGAAAATTTGAAATCGCGCAACAATAGCCATACCTGCGCATTTGCGCGACGCTTTCCTTCCCAGTGGAAGCATGTATCCACAGTGGCAACACCAGTTCGCTCCCATATTCGAGAAGCCCTCGAAACGGTGAGGAATGCGATGGTTGAGCTTCGCTTCATCCGGATCGGTCTCCGCGTTCGATTGCGTGATGCATTTCGTGACGACCTTTGGATAGCATTTCTTGTGGCAGGTGTATCTGCAATCGGAACATTGCATGCCGGCCGCGTACTTGAGGAAATCTCCACACAGCGCGCAGCGCATGATGTTGTAGAACTGCTGCTGCACAAACTTGTGGCCGTATTGTTCGTGAACATCCTCCTTTCGTTGACGAATCGCACCCTTTCGGCCCAGACCGACGTCGAATGGTCGCTTGTCGTTCGCGGTTTTGGCTAGGCGTCGTCAACATATTGTTCCACCAAACAGATTTGAATGTAAACATACCAAAGCCAATTGTGAGCTTAATACGACCCACAGGCTCAAGTGCGAACCAGGTATCGATGAAGATCGGACCGGTCTGAGGCATGCCTCCATGAGGGTTCACAGGTTGAGCTGCGGATGGTCCTCCATGACCGCCTTGGGTCGGCGGTGGGTTAAATTGTAGATCGGGCTGAATTTGCCCTTGCCCTCCGGTGCCCATTCGATCGGCAGAGACCCATCCAGATTGATTGAATTCCGCCTCGATCTTCTTTCGGCGCATCTCCTCAGCGATGTCGGCAATCCGAACCCATAACATTCCTATAGGCATGGGATGGTCGCTGCTTCGGTCATATACTGTCAATTCGATCTCATTCGCCTTGTCAATGTCGAACTCATGTGCTTCGTCGGTCCATCTATCGGTCCTGGTGGCTCTGGAGCGGCCCTTTATCACGTCTTCGACTTTGATGATCACGAATGTGTCGGGTCCTCGGCTGAAACGGCCCGATGCCGCATGGTCAACATCAGCAACAGCATGAATCCGAATGCTGAGGTGCCCCGTCAAGGGTTTGCGGGCTCCAGTAACGTTCAAGCTTTCGTCTGAGGAGGCATGCACGGTTAGCAATCTACAACGAAGTGCGCGGAGTTCCGTCTGCCTTACCATCTCCTCCATCCGCCCCTTCGATATCAACATGTAGGTCTTCATATCTCTTCAGTGCCTGCTTGAGTAGCTGGATCTTTTGGTTGCTCTCCACTCTCCTGGCTTCGGCATCGCTTTTGCTCTTCCGATCCCCTTCAATCTGATAGAGCCGGACCATCTTCTCGATCCCATCTTTGTATTGCTTCTCCACGCTAAGTTTGAACTCTAGCTGCGATAGCATGAGCTGGATGCGGGGGCCAAGGTGAGGGGTATCGTATTTGATCAGATCTAGATAAAAAGTGTTGCGTCAGCTTCTGGGCGATCGGTAATCCGCCGGCGACAAACATACCGAGTTTGCTATAATTCGGCCGAGCCTTCGGCGTCCCCGTCGCCGGACCGGGGCGAGAATAGGGAGCAGATGGCGGCATAAGTACGTCCCCTCCGCTCAGTTGACTATAGTCGCCCGGTGCATCCCCATACCCACCACCTTGTGGATGTCCGGGAGGACCTTGCTGTCCAGGCCCTCCTCGCGGGTCGGCATACTGATTCGGTCCTTGACCATCGCGACCGCCCTCTCGGTTCATGGACAAGTTGTCCATATCGGTGCCCATTTTCCTCATCTGCAGCTCGCGCATGCGACCCTCGAGGTACTCGATGTTCCTCCGGCCATCGCGGATCTGCGCGTCGAGTCGGGAGAGCACGGATGGATTGTTGGTGGACTGGCGGATGGTGTTCGCGCCCTTGATGAGCGCCTTTTCTCGGTCTATCTTCCTTATCACCTCCGCCATGACCGCATCGTCGCGATCGCCCTGGTGGTCGCCCATGGTGGTAGATTGCGGCGTGGAGGCCGTCTAGCTTCCGGGCGGGATTTGATATGGGTTGGAAAGGTTAGGCCTAATAGGCGGTGGTGGAGCCTCGCGTGCTGGAGTCGGGATATCTGTTGTGCGGCACACACGACAACGCTTCGATCGCTTCGACCGGGTGCGAAGCGATACTGTCGGCTTGCAATCGCAGAGGCCGCAGCAAGGACAACTGGAAGGTTATTCACACACGTGCCACGACTTCAAAGGTCGCTGAAGGGTTTGGCTATGCCACGCGTGAATGGCGAACGGTAGTGTGAGAGGGTCAAGCTATCAATTGGAGGAGGGTGGGATACGGTCCACGGTTCCGAAAGTGATGCAACCCCGATGCAGCTCCGCCACCATACAGTGTAGGGCTCTCCTCCTAGTGACCGAGAAAGTGGGGCTGCCCCTAAATGTTGCAGACACAGGCGGTCAAAAGCGAGAGAACGAAACCAAATATACCGGAACAGGTAGCCTGGATAGTAGGAGAGGGAGGACGGAGAATAGTGCAGGCGTTGTTGGTAGTAGGAAGAGACTGGAGAGCCCAGGGAAAGCGAAGTGGGTGAGGGACGATAGTGCTCACTAACTACTCCGCCGCTCCGGTGATGTGCGTGTGCGGGACGGATACTAAGATTTTGGCGGGGAAGGAAATCTTAGATGCTTAGTATGCCCACCACGCTCAGCTTGCTATGGTATGTAAGTAAGCCAGCAATGGGGATTCGTCCATCTAACATAAATACACAGGTTCCAGATATCCTGTGGGCGTATGTGCTACAGGCAGCGCTGCTCGAAGCTTTCACTTGAATGCTCCTTGTGTAGCGAGGCATTGTCTTGATACTCGTCGGAGCCTATTATGCCTAAAAGACACCGGAATGCAGCCTCGCATATTGATAACTGTTGATCATCATCACGCCATTGTTATCTTCGGTCTGTTTCCCTCCCTTTAAAGTCGAAAAGTCAGTCATCATAGACCACTTCGAATGATTCTAATCGGATGGGACGACAGGTTTGGTGGTGCACGCACAGGTCGTTGAGCCTGCGATCCGACGAGGTAACTACGAGTCATCAATCCGTCCCTCATGCATGCATTTAAAACTGTTATTTTCTCTTTGAAATGTCGGCGCCATATTTTCATCCCATCCTATTCGTCATTTCAGGGTGACAATCAAGGCATAGTTTGAAACAGCCCGGTTCACAAAGTCCTTTCCTCCATCAACATATACCCGAGACAGCGGTTCATGCCTTGCACAAGGAAATCCTGTGTTTTGATTTTCTACCGCGACTTGTCAAATGATCCAAAACTTGAGATAGGCTGTCCGCGACTCATTTACGTCGACAATAGCCTCGTGACCATTCATGGATAAGAAATGGACGGCGTGGATAGATTGGTGGTCGAACGCGCAGCTCCTCTCCATAGAGATGAGAGAAAAGCGATATGTTCCAGGCTAAATTTCTCATGACATGAGATCTGGTGGGCATATTGAATTCAACGTTGAGTTAAGCAGTGTGGTAGTTGCTCACCGGAATGCACCTTGTCTGTCGATCCCATGTCGTTTCCCATTATATGTCATGATTGTTGACCCGCTTTTACCATATTCTTCTTCTCTTCCGTTTTTTATTTTCAGCTGCAGAGCTCCTGTTCGTCAACTGGTTTGGTGTTCTCGGGTCTTTCAAGTGTTGAGGTATAGGATTGGTGGTCGTCCTCGACAATGGCTATTAATCCGGGGTGGATTGACACCATGGAATGCTATTGTCGCCCAACCGGGCGAGATGAGCAAATGTGTCTGGATTGTGGAAGGTATACGCCACAATATCGGTATCATTAGGAAAGGCTACTCAATCCCAAGTTGTATCTGATGTCTGTCGGATCAAGGAGGATAAGCCATGCTCCACAAGGCTTTCGAGGAAATCTGAATACGGTCAGCCAGGGCCTATAAGCCGTCATCCTTCCTTTTGGAGATGTTCTCATGATGAATCAAATGGACATCCTAATGTCCTCGGAAGGCAGGCACTCCCGTTGCGTTGTTGATTTTGTCCAGCTCTGCGTTGGCGTCTGACTGTGTCGTTGCAACCCTTCGCGGCAGGTACATGGAGGAGCAATTGCCGATGATGTGGTCCTCGGCGTAGCGTCAGCACCGGTAGCATTTGAGCTGTCCACATCATTCACATCGAGCCTACCCATGGGAGGCTGGCTTGGTTGGAGTCTTGCAGAATTAGAACTATGAAATGCGGAGGTAAGTACTGTTGTTACCAGCCACCTGCGGAGGGGCCGGTACAATTGCGCCACGATATTATTAATGATGAAACCTAAACTATGGTACTCCAGACGCAAAGGTAGCCTTAGATACCTCAGGCCACCGTTCGGTGGATCCTGGTATCCCCCGAAGGTGATTGGCGGAGCCAGCCTGAGGCGGAAAGTCCCGCTTTGGCGAACCTTTCCCGCCACCTTATATGTGGTGATGTATGAAAGTTATCTTGAATTGATTGTTGAGACCAGACATATTCACAATACAATACTAATATCATTTGAATCGTTAGATCAAGCTTTACATTATCTATTAGTTTTTGAAGATCATCGAAGATGTCTCCCTCCTCTAGTTGTGAAACTTCATAACTACAGTATGCCTATCTAACCTTAGAATGATCATACACTAAATGATAAATAGTTTCAGACGCAGACGATACATTATCTGAAGACGAATTGATTGAAGAGGCCGAAAATACTCCCTCCAACTTTTCCCTTCCGTTCACCGATGATGGTGCCCTGAATACTACACCGAAAGCTCAAAACAAAGCAACTCATACCTGCTATGCCGAAATCATGTCAATGATGAAGAAGGGACATTTTACTAGGAACCAGTTCCTCCTTTTTATGATCGATAAGCATACAGGGCAAAGGCAGACTGGGAAGCATCAACTTGTTGAAGGGTTTCTTCTTGATCTTCTCCTTGATCCCGATACGCAACGCCATATCATTAAGCATAGGCCTAAGCGTATTCTTTCTATTCTTCGACACATCTTTACCTGCATCATCTCAGACGAATTTGAAAGCCTGATGCAAGACGAGTCTCAAGTTTTTGGGGCATGGGATGCTGATAAGGCCCCTGGGAATGTTGGAAGCATGCATCAGATTGTCCGACATAGGGCACCATTATTCTTCTCTATTATTGAGTCAGTTGCCCAGCCCCTAGGCAAGGCGAAAAAATCTGGCCAGAAACCTCATCATGGACTTACTACAATGATTGCGTCCTCATTGGCCTTTTCCCGGCATAAAAAGCTATCAAATAATCTTCCTAAGAGAATTGGGCTTACATTACAAGCTGCAGGTCTGTCTCGCAAAGGTCTGAAGTATCTCCATGCCTTTGGGATGACTCCTACATATAATACGCTTCGAATTTCTACTCAGGAGACAATCGGCACAGAAATGGTATTTTTCTACAATCACGATACTATATTCCAACTTTCTAACTACATCTAGCATAGCCTTAAACAGTTTGCAAAATATCCTGGACTGGCCGTTGCAATGGACAATTGTGATGGGCATGAGCGACCATCCCATCAGCGGATTGGGAATACAGGCGAAATGTTCAGCTATACATCTGGAATTGCAGCAGTCTGTCCTCGGATACCTGAAAATGGCCTTTTACAGACAATGCGGAGACCATTTACCCTCCTGCCTCCAGAACTCTTTAACCATGATGGAGTCCAATTACCTAATACTTCAGGTATCCAAAAACAGAATGCCTTGTTCCTAATCCGGCAGGCAATTGAATTAGCCTTCCCTGATGTAACTCGACAATTGAAGGCGAGACGGATTAAACTTCCTGAGTTTCCAATAATCGATCGACTCCCAGCAGAGAAGACAGTGAAGAATAACCTTGGGCCTATACCAGTCAACCAGTCTACAACAAATGGGAATCACCAAATCCTCGAGAAGATATTCTTAGATTTTTTTAAGTTTAATATCGAGACAGACTTCACTGAACGCCTCTTCCTCGTATATGGAGATGTCAAAATAGTCATACTTCTCCGGAGCTGTATTAAAGAGCGTGCCGACTCTGAAAGGCCCTTTGATGCTTATAACTGACTACATCCAGTCCCAGCCCTTTGGCATACACGTTTGAATTTCCTTTATCTTATTACCCGCGAGTTCTATGGCATTGAAAGCTGCAATTTCCTTACATCTACTCTTTGTCACAGCGCGACCTTCCTTAACCGACGTGGCTTTTCTCGCGAGAATGCCTCATTCAAGATCATGGAAGAAGTAATTACACATAGCTTTTATGCTAGAGTTATTAGCTTCGTGATTGAACATGTTACAGGCAGCTTCTACCCCCCTAGCATTGAACAGCTTTCAACACATCTAGGAGGTCTATCACCAGCTCAATTCCAGTCATGTATTGATATGGTTTACCAACAGCTCTTCAGTGCTGACGCTCGGGCCCAGTCCCAAGTCCTTTCTTACGAATCAGAGACGCAGACACTCCGGAACTGGCTATCCCCTACAGCATACAAGCCCATCTCGGAAACAATCTCACCCAAGACTTTCAAAAAGTATGCAGGATCCTCACCTCCACAAAAGAAACTCAGCGAGATCGAGCGTATAAACCACCTTCGATTCATTTCAATAGTTGAGGCCTACCTGACCCTCCGATATGCAATCAAGCTTGGTAATATTGGTCAACTCCGACGAGCACTTACACAGTGTGCCATTATCTTTGCAGGAGCTAAGCGAGACCAATACCGATATGAGATGCTGCTCCTCTTTACCCAAACGTGTACTCAAGCCTCCGACAAGGATTTGCAGGATGCTATCCTAGCTGGGGGCTTGATTAATAATCATGAGAGGAGTCTAAACTCATGCCATGAGTTTGATCTTGACGTGGAGCATTTGAATCGGAATATCAAAGACTACCTATTAGCCCATGGGACAACATCGACATTTGGCATAGAGAAGCTTTTCTCCCATGGAGTATGGGCTATGTCTGCCACTCAGAAGATCTCTAAATACCTAGAAGGCACATTTAAGATCAAGATCAATGACTCCCATTCTATCAGCTCAGTACAGCGGCATATCATCCATCTTGCATTCTCAATCTATACTGCTCGGAAAAAGGAGGACAATGATGAACACGATGCTTTATTGCTACCATATGATCCATATAAGATCATTACTCGGAGTGGGTCATATAAAGGGAAGCCAACGAATAACTTTGTACATGGGCAATACTTTGAAGCAGCGCCACTTCTATCCCTTGGGCGCTATGAACTGTTACCATACTTTGAGGAATTTAATAAAATAGTTTAAGTAAACTGAAGAATTAACTAAAGAAGCTATTGTCTAATGGCTTATATATGAATCACATTCATCGTCATATGGTCAGGTAAGAAGTAATATCAAGATACTATCCCTAAGCATATAAATTGGACTGCTAGGGCTGCCTGCTTGCTTTGAATTTCTCAGTCGGCTTATGACTTCGCTTCCCATAAGCCCTTACTATCTCTTCATGCTTTGCTGGAGTCTCATCATGTTGATATTGATCACCCCTATTTCGTCGGAGAGGGAGGATAGTATGATCTGTAGTCATCGGCTATAAAGGCACTGGTTGGTTTACCAACTTCTGCCCTTGCTGCCGTCGCTTAGTTGGTGTCAGATCATCATCACCAATAGCAGGCATTGGCATTGGAAGTTTAAGGGGGCTGCTACCCTCAGGGAGGTTCGAAATATCTGGAAGAGTATGCAGCTTTTGTACTTGTGTAACTTGACGTCGTTTCGGGGATTTTGGGTAAGCACTAGTACCTTGTGGAACTGGAGGTTGCTGATGCTCTTGTATAGGCTGAGGAGCATCATCGACAGCTGGGCAAGGCTTTAAATGGGGCGTAAAGGTTTGATTTCCAGCATCAAACAATAAGGATAGGTCAATCACTCTATCTTGTGACCTTTCCTGCTCTTGAGCTTCCTTTGCCAAAGCCTGCCTCCTTTTTTCTTGGATCTTGCGCTGTTTCTCCTCTTTTAGTTGGTACTGAGCATGTTCATAGCTCTCCAATGCTTTGCCTAGGCTTATCAAATGTCCATCGTCACATATCCATTGGTTTTGTGGTAAAGCCTTACGAATTTCTAGCAAATCTCCAAAAAGAAGGATATAATATCCATCTGGTTTCTGTTCCTTTGGTATCCTCTCCTGAAGCTGATTGTATGTGTTTGCAAGTATTGATAGTTCCTCACGGAAGATCAACCATTGCCAATCTGGTGCATAACACCTGTCCATAGTTTGATATTCCCTTTGCGCCTCTTTATAGAAGTAGAGTTTAAAGGATCAACTAATGGTCGAAGCCTCTTTGTAGCCATTGCTTTGCTCTGGCTAGTCTTGGTTTGTGTATCCAAAGTAGATAGGAGTTAAGGGTTACAACTTCCACAGCATGTTATAGGGTCGCGTTCTAGTGTTGTGCAATCGTAGTGTGTATTAATTAACTCCCGGATACACCGTTCACCATTGGTATTGCAGAGCTGGTAAATGATGTTAGGGAGAAGTCCACGTCTCTCTGCCTCTGATGGTCTTGCTTTCGATTTCTGGCCTTTGGGGGTCTAGCTCAAATGGTCTTCGCGAGATGAGGATCCTTTAGCTCCTTGTCCTATTAAAGGCTCTTCCTCGTCATCGTTATCATCTGAAGTAGATAAATTGAGGTCTCCTGGATCTCCTCCTTGGGGCAAACCCCCCTGAGTAGTCTGGTGTTGATGCTCCTTTTGTATATCTTTTGCACGAGTTCGGTGCCCTTGGTAAGGCTGTTGGAAGAAAAGGATGGCAGTCCCAGCTGGCACGCTTCGAGCAGCACGCCCAAACCGTTGTAGGATGAGGTTGATCAGATTATCAGGGGGGATTTTCCATACAATAGATCTTGTAATATCTGGAACATCGCAACCATGTGCAAGTGCATCTGTTGAAAGGAGGATCCTAATAGGGGAATAGTAGAATTTTGAGTATATCCCTTGTTTCTCATGTTCGCTTAGGTCAGCATGGTACTGTGCCACTGTATCATTCGCTAAAACCTTAGAATATCCGTATTCTTGGAACCATGAACGGATTATCTTAGTGCAATCCCGGATTTCGCGCTTTGCCTTAAAAAAGATGATGGTTTTATCAATTTGCTCAGGCGTAGGTATAAACCCCTTCCCTTGACAATGGCAAGCACCACCACATCCTCCTGATAGGTCTTGTTCCCTGTTTGCACAATGTCGAAAGGCACCTTCGAGCAGGAAATTTAACCCGAGAAATGACTTCTGTGTATGTATAGGGATCTGCTTGACGATATAGGTAAGGTCCTCTTGGTTGGTGTCTGTTTGGATAACCTGGACATGGTCTGACAATTCTAGAAGCCCCCGGACATAGGATAATGTTAACCGGTCCAGAGTTGCGGTGGTTCCAAACCATGGAATGTCTTCAAGCTCCCGTCGGACAATACGCAGTTCTGTATAGGAATGGCGGAACTTATCACCCCAGTCAAAAACTAGGTGAAGCTCGTCAATGCAAATAGAAAGCAGATGGGACCGAAATAGCCGATCCTGGATAAGGATACGGAACCTCTTGCCAATCAATTGCTCTGGTGAGGTAATAATGTGAGTGTAAGCACCTTTCTGTACTTCTTGAATCGCTCCATCATTCATGTTTGATGCATTTAAGAAGATAGGTCGGGTTCTAGGGATCGATGAGATCTTCTTTTCTTGCTCTTTACCAAGTGCATCAAGGGGGACGATCACAATGACAACAGATCCTCTAGAAAGGCATGGCAGTGCTTGATGGATTAAGCTCTTGCCAAAGGATGTCTTTGCCGTTAAGATCAGGTCTCTCTGTTTGAAAAGGAGGTGTGCAATACACCGTGCCTGGTCATCCTTTGCTTCGAACTCAAAGAAGGACTGGATTCCTTCCTTAACCACCAATATTTGATCCTGCCATTGTGCCTCCATACACCGTTCCACTTTCCTTTGTATATCCTGCAGCTCCTGCTTCTTAATTGGGTCGACTTCAGAAAATAGATTGATGTTGGTTCGCCAGTCTTGCTTTGGTTTAGGCCCACGTTTCTGCTTTGGTGGCATGAAGAGAATGTACTATACTGTATAAGGACTCTGGATAATAGGGGGATTGACTTTGATGGAATATGTATTATAATTTAAGGATTATTGGAGCAAGTTTGCTAGCGTTTGAAGGAATAGAATAGGGATAGTTCAGCTAAACTCGAGTTAATCTCGATATCCAAAAGGGGGAATTGTTTTATACGTAGATATCCTTACAGAGAATGATTGAAAGTATACTTTATATATGTTTTGGATGGATATATGGATCTTAATGGTGTATATTGTGCATCGGGAGTCGAGATGGATGGAGATATGCTGAGAATCCTTAATAGCCACTAGTGCAACTTGACTGCAATTGATCTCAGCCCCTAGGATGTAGGGACACTTTAAAAATAGATAGTCTGAAAGGGAGTAATCAAAAGTATAGTATCTATATGTTTTCAAAGGCCAATTGGTTGTTGAAAAGCAGCAGTATGGCCTTCAATATGTTCGCTATCGTGATTTTGGTTGGGAAAGCTTCACTAAACCCTGATATTTTGGCTCAGACGCTGTTGGTAGTGGCGCCAAGTCTTCGGATCTTCCTTGTCACGTGCCTGTCAGTGGCTGGGGTATCTGAGACTACGTAAAGGCATGAATCAGGAATTCGGCATAACTACAGTGATTACCTACGGTAGTTAATAGAACTGTGATTACCAAGCAGAACAAGGCGTACCTCCAGTTGAGCAGATTCCACGTCAACTATAATATCCGTACTATCTAAATGGAATAATAATACCAGTGCCAGACGCGTAACTCCGAAGGGATGCAGTTCCTTGTGCGTTTCACAAGTTTCCTAATTACCTACCTACTCTGTTTTCTGCTCTTATTACCGCCCAAGACTTGGTAATAACAGCTAACAATGGCACCATGAACCAGTTGTCATTACCAATAAAGGTTTTGTAAGCACCCCCTTCCAGATGTGATCTCGGTTTAGCAAAGATCCCAACTGTTGCAGGGCTAATTTCCCATACCTGCCCCTATGATTATCACGAATCAATATTAATAATACCAGCTTACCTGTTATTCCCCTTGCGCGGACCATTGGAAGGAATCTCACGATGGCCATCTTGGCAACTTCGGACCGAAGCGCCTAACACCGCCCATCATCACTTTCGCCAATATCTCGGCTCGCTCACTCGGACGAATTGTAACGGCCGCCATGGAGCCCACTTGATATCGTGGCTTCATGGCGCAATCCCCTTACTCGGGTACATACACCGAGGAGGGGGAGCGGTGCCGACGAGCATACAGCTATGTACGGGAAGTAATGTAATCAGTCTCCTTTGTCTACCACATCCTTCCAATTAGTTAGCGGGGCAAGCCACTACGCAACGGTGTTCTTCAATGTCGGATCTTCTCCTCTCTGTCTTACCCCTCTCTGGTCGATTGCCGGGACTTTGAGAACTATATATTGCGGCTTGATCCTCGCGATATCCTCCTCGTCAGACGTCAATCCACCCTATCTAAACATCAAACAAATACTTACATCTTCACACTAAAGCCGCCATGCCTCCAACACTGCCAGGCCGTCTGGGTGACTCCAATCTGTCTCCCAAGACCGACCCTCGCACACATGCCCGAATCGTCGAAATATTGGGCCCATTTGGGGCCTGCGACCTCCCTCCTCCGGTTCCTAAAATGGACATCAATGATCCGAAATCCTACGCCGAATGGATGGTTCAGTCGGAGGCGGGACTGAAGCTGGTATACAACTCCCCTAAATCGCTCTCCGTCGAGCTTCCCCCTGTCGAGTCCTCCTCGGTCACGATCAAGGGGCGCAAGGGCAATGACATCGCACTGCACATCCAGCGGCCAAAGGGCGTCTCGGGACCTCTACCAGCGGTGACCTATATCCATGGAGGCGGTATGGTCATCAATGAAGCCATGCTAGACCCTCATGTGGACTGGGCGAAAGCCATCGCGGCTTCTGGTGCCATTTCCATCATCGTGGATTTTCGAAATGCCCTCCCACTGGATCCTTCCACCTCGTTCCCTGCCGGACTGCATGATAGCGTGGATGCCATCTTATATCTCCACTCGCAGCGAAAAGAGCTCGGGATCAGCAAACTCATCGCACAGGGAGAGAGTGGAGGCGCCAACCTCACCATCGCTGCCGCCCTGTCCCTGAAGCAGGAGGGCAAGACCGACGTGCTGGACGGGTTCTATGCCCTCGTGCCGTACATCTCGGGCGCGTACGGCAAGTCCGATGAATGGAAGCTAAAGCATCTCCCCAGCCTGGTGGAGTGCGACGGATACATGCTTGCCAACGACGGGATGGCGTACATGGCGAGGGCCTACGAGCCCACCGGAACAGCGGAGGAAAACCCGTTGGCGTGGCCGTGGTGGGCGACGGAGGAGGATCTGAAGGGGCTTCCGCCCGCCGTGATTAACGTGGCCGAGTTGGACCCGCTCCGAGATGAGGGTCTGGATTTCTCGAGGAAGTTGCGGAGAGCCGGGGTCAATGTCGAGGCGAATATCAAAGTAGGACTGATGCACGGAACGGAGATTCTGGCGCGCGACGTGCTGGAGACGGAGCATCTGGCAGCTGCGAGAGATATCGTTAGGTTTGCGAATGCGCTTTAGGCCCTTCGTCTAGATTATTCGGATTGCAATAATGTTGGATATCTTTACTCAACACCCCTGCACTAGTTAGTGATATATCGTTCATACTACCTTAACTGGGACTGGTCATCTCGAGACACCACATACTAGGCTCGGTGCGGTACGCTGGTCTCACCGTCAACTGTAGTGAACACAATGTTGTGGTGATTGGTGAACACGATAAGTTAATTAAAGGGGTGTGATGAAATATGACAAGACACTTCTCGTGCTACTGAATGTTTTAGTGTTGCTCGGAGGAGCAGACGTGATTTCATGCTGCGCCACTGTCCCTGAGACCTCCAGACGGTCAGCCACAATATCAATTTGAGGTGACGAGACCTGGAAACGCGCTCTGGAACTCGACAAGTTGCAACCCCCAGATCACTCTCTTATCTCCCCTTACGGCGACGACTCTTACTCTTGCCAAAAACATGAGTATTCCCATATTGCGACTGCAGAATCACCGCGGAAAATGCATCTCGTGAAGCCATTATGGCTTACCCATGGAGGTGATACCCCCGATCTCTCCGCAACGGACATGAACCCTTTTGTTCGCGCGTTGATGGCTGACCCCCAATCTAGGCGAACTCAAAGATTTCGAAGTCTACAGCTGCCATGTCTCTGCTGATGGCAAACGGCTGGTAACAGCCGCCGGAGGTACGCGTTGTTGTGCCTCACTTATAGAGGTCCCGCTAACCACGACTATATAGACGGCTTTGTGCGAATCTGGTCGACGGATGCGGTCTACAAGGTCTCAGATCCAGAATATACCGGGCCCAAACAACTCGCAGCGATCAGCAATCACACGGGGACTATCCATACCGTCCGCTTCTCGGGGAACAACAGGTATCTTGCGTCCGGCGCAGACGATCGCATCGTCTGCGTTTATACTTTGGATCCGAATCCTCCTCCAGCGGCATTTGGTACGTTAGAAAGGCTTGGTGCAGTCCACAACCAGAACGGTGGATTGCTTATCAAATTGGACCGCCGTGTTCGTTATCAAGATTGCATTCACTAACGCATGGTAGGGTCAAGCGAAGAACCACCCGTGGAGAATTGGCGCGTCTTTCGCCGATTGATCGGACACGACAACGATGTACAGGACCTCGGTTGGTCCTACGATTCCTCGATTCTTGTCTCGGTCGGACTCGACTCCAAGGTGGTGGTTTGGTCCGGACACACGTTTGAGAAGCTGAAAACGTTGGTACAACATCAGAGTCACGTCAAAGGGATCACATTTGATCCCGCAAACAAATACTTCGCAACTGCTAGCGACGACCGAACAGTCAAAATCTACCGATTTACCTCCCCAACTCCGAACTCGACTGCTCAAGACCAAGTCAATAACTTCGTTCTCGAGCATTCAGTTTCAACACCCTTCATCTCCTCCCCTCTTACGACATATTTCCGAAGATGTTCTTGGTCACCAGACGGGAACCACATTGCGGCAGCGAACGCGGTGAACGGCCCAGTGAGCTCAGTTGCCATCGTCAATCGCGGTAGTTGGGACAGCGATATCAACTTGATTGGCCATGAGCGTCCCGTGGAGGTGTGCGCATTCTCGCCTCGAATGTTCTACCGAGAGCCTTGGACTGCCGAGCAAACCGCACAAGGAAGTGCTCCACCAGCAGTGACAGTGATTGCTTGCGCAGGTCAAGACAAGACGCTGAGCATTTGGAACACGAGCTTCGCACGGCCCTTTGTCATTACCCATGAGCTCACGCAAAAAGCCATTTCAGACGTCGCCTGGGCTCCGGACGGGGAAACTCTGTTTCTGACAAGCCTTGACGGCAGCATTCTCGTTGCGATGTTTGAGCCCGGTGAGCTGGGATTCGCCGCGCCACTCACAGAAATCGAAAAGAGCCTTTCCAAATTCGGGGCTGGCCGAAAAGCTGGAGTCAGCGAGGGTCCCGAAGCTCTTCGTCTGGAAGAAAGCAGCAAGGCTGGGGAACTCAAGGGTGCCCAGGGCCGAATGGGAGAACTCATGGGTGACCCGGGATCCCATGTGCCCCAAACAAACGGCGTGAACGGCGTGGCTAAGACGAATGGCATCACTATCGCCAACACACCCGGACCGAGCACAGGCTCACCTGCGCCACAGCAACCTCCTCAGGATCCTCGTATCGAGGATCTAAAAAGCCGGATCACATACACCAAGGAGGGCAGAAAGAAGATTCGACCGATGCTGATATCAACCTCCTCTTCCCTAGCCGAATCCTCTCTCCCACAGACTCAACTAGTATCAGGCTCAGCCCAGAACGCCAGGAGTGACGCCCCGCATCAGATCCTCGACCTATCCAAAGCATATGATGGATTCCCCAAAGGTGGATTGACCGGTTTGCTCGTCGGCAACAAGCGCAAGTTTGCCGAGATCGAAGGGGATGAGGAACGAAGAGTGGAAAAGCGGCTGGCAGGCGCTGTGCGGGATGGAGGGGCGCCAGTTGTTATGAACAGTGGCGACGGATTAATTCCACCTAGTCTTGCGACTCAGGCGGCAGGCTCCATTGCCCCTGGCGTCCTTCGGCCGGCCATGATGAATCCAAGCTTGTCTGTCAGCCAAATCAGACTTGCTGTTCCACAAGTTCGCGCGTCAATAGTAAGGACAATGGACGGCGCCGATCCCACAGCTACAGAGGGCGCAAAACCTGCGGATGATTCTGTCAGGTTGGAAGTCAAGAACTCGTTTGCGCCTTCACGGACGGGCAGGGCACAAGATCGAGATCCAGCTCGGGTGGCCTGCACGAAATCCGACCAAGCACTCTGGCAAGACTATTTACCTAAACAAGCTCTCCTCACCACCGGAAACCCGAACTTCTGGGCCGTAGCATGCGAGGATGGATCAATCTACATCTGGACTCCCGCAGGACGCCGGCTATTGAACGCACTAGTGCTCGAGTCGCAACCAGTCATCCTAGATTGCCGCGGTTGGCACTTGATGTGCATCAGCGCAGTTGGTCTCGCGTATGTATGGAACATCAAGACTCTCTCCGCCCCTCACCCTCCCGTATCCCTCGCGCCCGTTCTCGACTGTGCCATCCAGTCCCAAGGACCTCATCTCACGGGTTCCCCTGGCATCATCTTCGCACGACTGAACTCCGAAGGCCGGCTTGTTGTCGCTCTCTCAAACGGGGATGGCTACACATACTCTCCCGCAATGTTTGTCTGGCAACGTCTTAGCGAGTCTTGGTGGGCAGTCACTAGTCAATATTGGAACACCACCGATTCGTCCATTGGCAAGTTGCAATCGTCCTCGCCCTCGAACGGTCAGGCGAAGAACGCCGAGTCATCGGATATGTTGGCTCCTGAAAATTTGTCGGCAGGTATCATTCCACTTCTAGAGCGGAATACTACGAATCACACATTGTTGCGTGGCCGCGCATTCTTCCTCCAGCGGTTGATCAAGGCTTTACTTGTCGCAGAAGGCTTCGAGGGCTTCGAGGCAAGCGCTTCAGTCGCACATCTAGAGAATCGCGTTGCCGCTGCTCTGTCGCTCGGTGCTAAGGACGAGTTCCGAGTCTATCTTCTCATGTATGCACGGCGGTTGGGCGCCGAGGGGCTAAAAATCAAGGTACAGGAGCTCCTTGGCAGCTTACTCGGGGATGGCATCGATGATCTCGACCCAAACGATGTGGATATGGCTCAACCAGCCGAGAAAGAGAAAGGGTGGTTCAGCACGGAGCAAGAGATCTGCGGATGGAACCGGCGGCAATTGCTGAAGGAGGTAGTCTTGGTTCTGGGTAAGTTGACCTATCCCATTTTAATGACCGTTTGAAACTAACATGCATGATAGGCAAGCATCGTGACTTGCAACGGACGACTGTTCCATTTGCCCGACTGTTAGGCGTTATCGATGAACAGGCTCCAGCATCGGACGAGGCGATGGCTGTGGATACTACGACATAATGGTGTATAACTCGGCTAGGGGTGTTTGTTGAATTTGCTTTGGGTATTAGCAGGTGCACAGGGTGTCGACAGCGTCATCCAGGGCGTATACTCTATTCTGTTCATGTAATCCTAACTCATAGACAATGGATCTAGTCGAGTCTGTAGCCGACAGGCCAACTAATTAACACACACACGGTGACGAGCCGTTGCAAACCCCCAGGGTCAAACCCCCTAGAATCATTCTCTCGGCCTACCTTTCCCCTAGACAATCCCAGCCGCACGGCTCCTTACGAAATATTATCTGCTTGGACATTTCAACTTCGTACTTGTGCAGCTAACGTTAAGTGATTGCCTTACGGGGGAATTGCCCATAGATCGCTTACAAGAATGGTTGATTCAGAGAATAGTACCAGGGATCGAAAACCGAACTACGACTGACAATGCCGTCGACCACGGTACGACACGTCGTGCTGCAATACGGTGCTTCAATGGTACTACTCGATCTTCATTTCCAAGTCTTCATTTCTATTCCTTATAAAAGCGACGAGCATGGATTTGAGTTTGCGAATCTTTTTAATTCTCAATTTGAATCACGGTGAATTGCATGACTGTTATTGAAGCTTATCATCACGATGAACCAAAACAAGGTGGATATGATCCCTTTCAATATTAAAAATACTCTCTCACGCTCAACCTAGCTGAATCTAGAAGATTTGAACGACGACGTGCTTTGCGTGGTCGCCGATCACCTTTCCGGCAATGACTTGGCTACCCTCCGCTACACCTCTCGTCGCCTTGCTGCCGGAACCGCTCGTTCCTTCAGGGCTCGTTTCGTTGTCCATCGACGGCTGGTTTTCAGCGAATACCCTTTACAGCGCGAAGTCCTCCGCTTAATCAGCAGGCCGTATCTAAGAAAGCAAGTTCGTACGCTCACCATTCAATCCCATCACTGTTGGTGCATCACAGCCTGGTACACCCAGACTATGCCGTCCCTGGTGGCGCTGTTGGAGCTTGTAAACCCTCGTACGATCCGGATTCAGCTCGAACCATCGCGATCCGAGTGTCCGCTGCTGTACACTTTATCACAGGAATGGGAAGTAGGGGTCAAGCTCCTGAAGGCAGCCGTTAAGGAGGCCAGCGGTTGCCAGTCAACAGAAGTAATTGTGGAAGAACCGTATATGCCCCTATTTGATTACAATACCCGCTATGCCGAATACTGACTACCAAATAGGGATTGGAAGAATATTATTCAACCTAGGTAAGCCGGACGACCGCTTCGGACCTCGAAGTGTATAGGACTGACAAATAGGCTAGATGGACGCGCCCTAGGCCCGGGATGTCTCTCCTATCTGGTTTTGCTCTAACCTGGTTCTTCAGGTACGGATTTTCTTAAATTCACTACAATTCTCTAATCAATTTTTGCCTAGCAAACAGTGGGAGGAATCCATCGAGCTGAGGGGCAGAGATCACCTGTCTTGAGTCGATTGTTTCTACCTAGCGTCCGGTTGTAATCGCGGCTTTTATGGATATCGGTTTAAGAGCGGCTTAATTTCTCATTCATTTTCTGCCGCATACCATCATACTTCAGTGGTAACTGGCAGACGCCACAAGAATCGCTCAAGTTGTAAGAATTATGGCACCAAGTCCTTTCCATAGCTGCCGAGCCAGTTAACAAATACCACAATTAGGATTGAATACTATTGTCGCCGTAATCTATGCCCGCATGGGTTGAAGCCATTTCAACAGAACATGAATACGATGCCTCAACTGCCTACCGTCCATTGTTCCTGGACAAGACGAGCACAAAACAAACCCCGAAACCAGTCCAAATTGTCCAAGCCGCAGTTCAGTGGAAGGTGTTTGTTCACAGGACCACAGACATTAATATTATTGCGTGTCTGAAGGTTTGCTGGGTGAGCAATGCGCATTTGCCACTGAAGGAAACTTCATTGATATACTATGATGTTTCCTGTACGCGTCAGTTACGCCGATTCAGCATTCTTCCATCCTGGACAGCAGCACTCGCCTTCGGTATAAATCAAGCTTCAGGTCCTCGGAAATACCTCGAGATCTTTCTCTTTCTCCAAGTCTGCAATCATGAACTTTAATTCTCCCCTCGTCCTCCGCCTTGGTTACAGCCACAGAAAGTTATACTCGGCAAATTTGACTGTTCATCCGCTCGATAGCGCTTCTCAATAATTCCACTGGTGAAGCCGGACTCAGCCTCCGCGCCGGTATATTGCCAAAGATTATTTCGCGAATTTATGCATGCGCTATTATAACAATTGTCTATGTCAACAAATACGTGGCCACCCGTACCACTTGGTTCGGCAAAAATTTAGTTGAGAACAAGATCAGAGTCTGGGCAGCGCAGCACATCCTTCGAAATCGTATCGGAACCCCCCATCCTAACCACCCATGCGGACAATTGCCCGGAGGAAGATATAGAGGCAGTGCAAGAGAAGTGCAACGACTACTAGTACCGGCATCTCCCAAAAAGATACACTAAAGAGTAGATCGGGGGTGCCAGCAGCATGAGGTCCAGAGGTGAATGCGATATCTTGAGGAGCGGATAATCCTCCAGAAGAGGGACCAAGCCCTCGTTGTTTCGGCACCGTAAGTCTGGAACCAATGGAAGGTTATCATAATGATTACTAAACTGCATATTAGGGATTCGGAAGCGCTTCTGGAGGGTGCAACTGGTGGACGCACTGATATGACGTGGTTTTCCTTGCAGCATATGGCCTTTGAACGCAAAGCACCCTTGGTTTACTGTAATAATCTAGAGAGTTCCGCCTACAATCTGTACATTGCAAAGTGCCGAGACTCAGATACGAACAGTTCTGATATTGCGCTAAAGGTAATTGGGTTGTTGTCGCCAAAATGCTGCCTTCAACAGGAACGGAACCTGTGCCACTCCCTTCAGACTTTGTCCTCGGGACGGACAACATCATGCGTAATGTCCTCCACGGTGGTCTTCTCTCCCCTTTTCTGAGCCTCAATCACCTCCTCAACCTCCCTATCCAGCCTCGAATTGCCCTTGGTGGTCTTCCACGGCTGGGGTCCATCCTTGGAGAAGAGGTGCTCGATTTCCTCGATGGTCTTTCCACACGTCTCCGGATAAGCAATGAAGAAATGACCCGCTGCGGCGAAGCACAAGACACCGAAGATGATGAACGTCTTCCAGAGAATGTTTCGGAATGCCGGTGGGATGAACATCCCTAGGGCAAAATTGAATAGCCAGTTGCCTAGGGAAGCGATACCCATCCCGGTGGCTCGAGTACCAAGGGACCAAACCTCAGCCGCGTAGATCCAGCACACGGGCGCGAGTGTGAGAGCGTAGGCGATGATCAGTAGGTATGAAAAGGCAATCACAGTACTGCTCGCTCCCCCTGAAACCTTCATCAGAACGTTTAAGTTGCCGCCAACACCCTCGGGAACGTAGGTGTAACGGGCTCCCAGCACACTGCCAACAACAATATGGCAGATACCCATAGCAATTGCGCCATATACCAATAGCGTACGACGGCCGATCTTATCGACGAAGAAGAACATTATCGAGGTGAAGATGATGAATAGCGCGTATTGGACTCCAGAGGAGATGAGATTGATGTTGCCTTCCAATCCAGCCATTTGGAAAACATACACGATGTAGTATGTCATCACGTTCGCCCTTATGAATAGTCAGCATGGGGATATCGACCATAAGGACAGATAAGAAAGACACGGATGGATGAATGGAGGGGTTCTGGACGATCAGGCATAACGTCCTAGTTGAATGGGCCAAAATGTGCCCTTGAGGAAATTCAATACGTACCCGCTCATCTGTTGCCATGCTTGCACGGTGAAACCGGCAAGAGTACGTTTCCACATCCCGTTCTTGACAAACTTCCGCCACCCGGCTTTGCCCTCCTCTCTTTCTGCTCGCAGCACGGTCAAGATCTCTTCGAACTCCGCAATCACCAGAGGATCGTCGACACGACCGTTCGCCTGGATCTGGGCCAAAACAAAGATCGCCTCCTCAGTTCTGTCCACTTTCGCCAGCCAGCGCGGTGAGCGAGGTAGGAAAGGAAGTCCGATCATGAGCATGATGCAAGGGACGAACTGCAGCCCCCAAGCAGTGCGGAAGGAGGCTGGTCCATCAATAAAGGAGCAGCCGTAGCCGATGAAGAACATGATGAGAATGCCCCATTCAATAGCCAACTGCTGGATCATGATGATCGCACCTCGCTTGTCCTTCTTTGCGACCTCAGCGAGGTACACGGGGACTTGAGAGCTGGTGATGCCAACAGTCACTCCATTCAAAATGCGACCAGCGATCAACATCCCTTGGTTGGTAGTAGCAACTTGCACGGCAGTGCCGACAAGCCACCATAAACATGCGAACATGATTGAGTCTCGACGGCCGATCTTGTCAGAGATGGGGCCGGCTATGATGGATCCAAGGACGGAGCCAGCCGCAAGAGCAGATCCAATGGCGCCCTGTTGGACGCCATGCGGGTTGTTGAAGTAATCGATGTACTGTGGTGTGATGACGATGGCGGACATGGAAGAGATATCGAAACCGAAGCTTAGAAAGGGTCAGTTGAGCATTCACAGAGTATGTCTTGTGTATTCATACAGCATCCCGCCCATGGTCGCGACACATGCTAGGAAGTAGATATTGTAAATCTTCGGGAACTAGGACGCGTCAGTATACTGATACTGTGAACGCGTCGGTCCTCCATACACTTGGTAGTTTGACCGCCATCTTGAACCCTTCGACGGCTGCTCGCCTTCTGCTATTACAACTGTTCGATGTTTACTTCACCTCTGAAGCACAACTTTAGGAAAGTTTAGATTGTAGACTCCGGCAAGACCAATATAAGAAGTCTTCGACTCCTCCACTTCCCCGCGGCTTCTCCATGGAATCGTCGCCCCACGTTTGACCCGACGGAATGATTGAAGACGGGCGAGGATCTGCAGAGACAGGCCCTTCTTCATCTTAGACTTTCCAGTAGGATGGTTCTCCAAAACGATGCAACTCCATCTCCCCCGCATCCCCATGTCCGCGAGTCCCGGAGATGATCCGTTTCTAGGGGATAGCGCTGGCATAGCGAATAGCGGCGTCCCAAATACTAAAGTGGTTTCCTTAGTGGTTGGTAGTCTTGGTACCCAGCGCCTGTCCTTTCGGCTTTCGGAGACATGCCGACTGCTGTGGATGAATGGGCGACGGTCCTACATCAGAAGATTTATGACGTTGCATCGGGCAAGATATCGATAGGGAATTGGTCGAGACTCTAGTGGTGTCCAAGACCAGCGCCGTTGACCAGCAGACGCTAAAATCGAAAGACATGCAGCCCTAGATTTGGCGTAGCATGCCGAGGCTTTTAGCCGATGATGGAACGGTCCACAAGCTTCCGCCAATCAGCCACCGAAATTGCTTTTATTTAATCCCCCAAGAAGGATTGTAGAATACGAGAAAGTCTAGAATACCATACTCGTCAGCCTTATCAGTGTCATAATTAGAGCATTCAATTGCTCTTAATCAAGAAGCGCTGCGTACTGCAGCCAAGGTCCCTTTCCCACTGACCTAGACACCTAAACGCTTCAGTAGCCTCAAACAAATACTTACTACGGGTCAGTCACATGAGGATACTAATTTTCCCGCGAAATATCTCCGTGATGCCGAGCTTGGCACCCTGAATTCCCGATGATCGGCTGACCCTGGAGATGCTTCCGAAAGTGGAAATTCCGGTGGTCATTTACCCGGAGTGTGGAGACTGTGGAGACTGGGGAGCTGCCGAACTGGGGATGAACTTCTCTCTACTGAGCTGCAATTCCGAATCCATCACAAGTTCACAATAGTGAATAGCCATTGAAGAGACAGGCATACGTACCACATGTAATTGGCACCATCCATTTCTTGCAGTGGCGAGGGTACGCTAATGCTATACACTTGATGGGTATCATGCAAGTACCATCAAGATTAAATGGGGTGAACATGAGAGAAGGAGCCTAACCAGCCCATGAACAATAAGCTTTGACCCTAAACATGCGAGGCTTGCAGCTGCAGCCAGCGAATCCCGAGACCTCTGCAAGCGACTAAATTTGAATCCCTGGGGACTGGTGATATAGGCGTAGAGTTTTCGGAAGTGTCGTAGAGGCGTGGGCAAGTTGTAAACAGCCGAGTTAGAAAAGTTCCCGACGTGGCATCTTGTGTATATGCCGAAGAGGCCGGTTCGCGGTTGAGCAGCGCTTGCTTCTAATGCCATCTTCCCCAAATCGGAAGACCACCGAAGTCACTGACAGTCGAAATCACAGATAGGGTGCGTTACGCTGCTTGCAGACGAATGCTGATCGAAATTGATAAGAGGGGTATCTCGAAAAACGCTGGATAGCTCATCATAAAGCTAGACCGGATCCATTGACCGTCCATCGATACGGGGCCAGTATCTCCTGCGCTCGGGTCTGCCCTTCATTCCGTCCGCCGAATCCTCTGACCTGCCGAATCGTCGATCGCATCACTTTGCAAAATTTCCTCTACGCCAATATGTTAGTGTCGTTCAACGGCGGCATTTCGGGGCACGTACCTGGTATTCGGTATGCAAGGTCACCACGCACGCCTCGTGGGCTCTCGTCACCGTCTCACACGCCGTAATCACACTCATGCTGGTGTTGTCTCGAAGTTTGTCCGCGATCAACAGCAATATGAGGCTGCCCTGAAGCAGCTGGATCCCGAAGAACCACGGCATAAAACTCAGATCCGGATCGTACTGGAGGATCTTCTCGGTCGCCTCCGCCGCCTTGATCCCGTGCGCCGCAGCGGCGAAAAAAGGCTCGGAGAATACCCACGGATCGGCTCCGTTGAACAATGAGAGTGGATCCCATTTGCCGTTGACAAGGATATGCAACGTGTTCATCACCTGTGTCCCGTAGGCGATGACCTTCCGCGTGTGCAGATCCGATTCCTTGGATCCTGACTGGTCCCCCTCTTCATCCAGGATGCAGAACCGCTGGGTTTCGAAGATCTGGAGACTGTCCCCATAGCCTTTCAGCCGCTGGGTGATCTCCTGCGCTTGCTCATCGATACCGGCGCTGGTAAGCCGGGGCATGAACCGCGCGTGGTTTCGGGCATAGTTGAGGTCGATGATTTCGCCGAGGATGGTCATGAGCGGAAGGAAGAAGCCGAAGATGCTGTGGTCGGTGCAGGAGACCGGAGGGCCTAGTTCGCGGGGGATGAAGGGCGTGGTATATTCATCGCCACTTTGCCAGATCGTGTCGTCAACAGGCTGGTAGAGAGCGTCGCATTCCGCGTCGAGGAGAAAGAGGGGCTTGTTGTAACATAGTGATAGATGTCTATCTACGGCAAAGAGAATCCACCAGGTCCGTCGCCGCTCCTCGCGCTCCTCTTCGGTGATGAGCGACGACTCGTGTTTCGGCCCATCCTCGACGACTTCCCGGTTCAGGCCGAGTTCCCGTGCGAGAGACCAGGCAACGTTCCACCATCTGATGCTGGATGCCTTGAACTCGCTGGCGGAAACAACGGTGGCAAGGTGGATATACGTAATCACATCATCCAGTGTGGTATCGGCGAGCGAGCTTATATTCTCCTCCCTCCCTGGCACTGGAGAGCTGAGGAAGCCTCCAGGTAACCTCTCCTCAAAGTACGAGCCACTCACCGGGAGTAGGGAAGTCCGGTTTGGTCGCAGAAGCTCTAGAAACAGGTCTAGCAGCTTCTCTGTGAGTTTTCTTCGCGCATTTGGAGGAGATGATAGCTCGGAGGCATCACTGGTATGCGCGCCGATCCAGAGAAGACTGACTAGCAGTGCTGGACTGCATGCCCGGGGGTTCATCGGGTGTAGAATTGAGCCTTTGCGGAAGATGTGGGCGATCACATAAGGCGAAGAAGGGTGAAGAAATCGAGGGGACATGCTTCGGAAGTATTCGTCGAGGAGGTCGCATGCTAGGGTCGCTGTCATGAATGATTGTATAAACGGCCAGCACGGCAATAAGACAGGGTATTTGAGATGTGGCATATCATGGTCTTGCCGTACACTTCCCATCCCGAATGCATCTTGTGAAAAGGCAAGAGAGATTCCCTGCTGGTCCTGAGGCCACATGGGAGGAGGTGATGCGTCAAACATGGGGACTTCTGCGGCCTTTTGCCAATCGAGTTGGGCAGGCGGTGATTCAGATGATTCCAACCCATCAGGACCGGAGAAATTGTAGAGATTGGCATGGCTGGGTGAGGTAGCTGTCGTGTTGTGGTCCATTAGCTTGGTAGGCGGCGACATTCCACTTCCATTGACAGCAGTCGAATGACCAGAGATAGACTCTGGGTTGGCGGTTGACGACACAGACGGTGATCGCTGCGGAGATGCTGGCGTAGCAATCGATTGACTTTGGGATGTCGTATGGGCCTGGCTAAGCTGCTTCTCTTTCTGTGTCCTTCTCCCCCGCTTCTTGGGCTCTCTGTAGTATCCGCACGGCAATGAGAGTTCTTGAATGGTTCCAGATCAGCATGTTTTCAGGCATAATTGTCAAGTATAATTACCATTGCAGTGCCGGCAGGGAAACTCGCCATCGCATTTTGTTCTTAGACGGTAGCACTCGTCGCATGCCTTGCTGACCCTCTGCCGCTGGAGGGAATGAGATCTAAACCGGACAGGCTTTTTGATTCCCTGCAATTGTTCCATTGTGGGGGAGGCACTGGAGAAGGTCGACGGCCGATCAGTCAAGAGTCAAGACGGATGGGCTGCACGCTGCAAACACATGCGGTACGTAGTTACGCACCGGGAGCGGGAAAATTGGGGAAATCAGGACCCCGAATGAAAACGAGGAAGTTAAGAATCGACTTAGCACGTTTGCAGGTTCTCCGCACTATGTGGTCCCCACGATATCCCCGCCTGCAATGTTTGGATGAGACGGACTGGCGGAGCGTCTAACAGTGGACGGAATAGTGCCGAAATGTCTAGACTCGAGAGGGAATCCGCTTAGGACTTAGGGCGGTCGGGAGTCAGAACGTCAAGATTCAAGAAACGCGCGGCGAATCGACCCTGACCAAGAAAGAGGGGACATTGGGTACTGTGTCCTAGTGACCACCGGCATCGCTGTCACAATATGCGTGCATTACTCCCGTCAAGGGTTCATTCGGAGTCAATATGGCATTCAGTATTCATCTTAAGACGCGCAGCGCCTGTTTGTCTCAGATGCCGTGACTCCGTCCTTACTGCCCAGACGCTACCAGTATTAGTGAGCAAGCCGCTGATCACAATTCCACACGTGAAAAAGTTTAGTGTCCTGGAAGTAATACTCTAGATATCTGGACATTTGTGAGAATTGAGAGCGTTCAATAGCCGGGCAGATATAGGCAGAAGGAGCCTCGTCCGGAGGAGCCGAACCGTGGTTGTCCACCAATCGTCTGGTGCGATGAATGAAAAGTTCGATTCTTCGACCTGGACTCCTGGAGCGTCTACCCAGTCATTATCGTCTTTTGGCAATTGGCAAGCAATATCCTTGCTCCCAGCGAGTAGGCACCTTAGTCGCCGAGCGGGTCGCCTGGGTGAAAATGAAAGTCCTGTATGCATCATGCTGCTTTTGGTATTGAAGGAGGACGCTAGATCCAGCAGCTTTTCATGATTAAAGATTGGATTAAAGAACTGCAAAGGGAACGTCCACCTCATATCTTCCTCTCATCCTCTTCATCCGTGGTTCGTATCAACGTTCCTACATCAACCGAGACAGTCGACGGAGAGGCATTGTCGTGCAGCGCTCGTACCTCCTCGAGCTGGACACATTAATATACCATAGACGACGCAGGCGTGCCTGGCTTGATTGCCCAGAAGGTCCATAACGCTTGAACTTAAAATCTCCCCTTGTGCTCACCGACCAACGAAAAATCCGTGTCTTCGTCGGACATTGGAGGCTCAGACCTTATTTCGACCACGCCAGGTAACTGAAGGTACTCCCTCCTTATACAAGTTGAGCGACGAAAGAGCCAAAAATGGAAAGCCAGATGATGACCATAAAAATCTCATACAAAGCACAGCGGGAGGCTTGTCCAGCTGTGTTGGACGTATTTAGTATTATTGGCTTCGCCCCCCATCCTGAACGTCTCTCGTCGCGTTTCATTCCTCCTTCAAGTTTCTTGAATATAGTCGTTCATTTCCTAAATCCAAGTCTTGTCTCGGCGTATGAAGACTAATCTTTCCTAGATTTGGACCGCGAAATAATGCCGAAGAATCATGGACAGTACACCGTCCTTAGAGCTGAGTTGGTCCATTTTGAGTTCGATCCGCCTCGTGAGCCTGCTCACCAGTGCGCCAAAGCACATCACTTCCTCATCTTCAGGCTACTGATGCTTGCCATTGTCAGAACCTGCGCCTTGATTGCAGCCTTCCGAGTCTTCATTATTGATTGGTCCTCCGGGCGTTGGGAAACAAACATAAACTGCTTTCATACCGGCTATTTAATCGCGATTGCTTGTAGAACAGTAGAGCGCGTACTTATTGCCGAAAAGGTTGCTCTTAGCGTATTGCGAATCCCGATGTGTCTTTGAAGAGGGCGGGTGTTTCGTTTGGGGAGATTCCCTTAAAAGCACGGGAAGTAGACTGGCCACACTGGCCATAATTAGTATTACTAGGACTTGCACCCACAGTTTCCAGGAGGCTGAGAAGGGGACCGGAGCGGCTGGAGGATTCGATCAGGTCGTTTATGCTTTGGAACGACGAAATGTATACGTAAGATGAACTATTGACATGAACAAAGCGCCCTTGTGAGCGGAAAACAACAGCATGGAAAGTCCTTCTATTTTGACCGACTACAGTCCGAAATCTTATAAAGATTTCTAGAAGGGAGATCTAACGCCACCGACGCTGGTACTTCTATTGACAACACTCTCACGACCATCTAGGTCTAATATTCCCACCTATCCTCCTCCAAAACTGATTTCTTCCCATCCACCACCCAGCCAACCCCCCCATAGTCAAGCCCGACATCATAACCACTCTCCATAACACCATCCCTTGCCACTTCGCCCGCGTTTCCACCTCGGAATACCGCATATTCCCAAAACTTACCCTAGCATACTGCGTTGCCCATCCAAGACGTGGCACGTACAAGCTCAGCCACTCCTCGACGTGCTTCCGGAACAGGTACCAGCGGGATCGGACGTCCGCACGCATTTCTTGGTAGTTGCGAATTGCCAGGTCGTTGATTGCAGCGGTGTCCGGGTGGCGTTGAGCGGAATAGGCGGCGAGCGCAGTGCTGCGGGCTTGAGCAGAGGAATCGCCCTTCGACGACGAGGCGGGCGTCCCAGTCTGCGATGCAGTCGCAGAATATTGATCTAGGATCTCGAAAAGCACGCGTACGTCTTCCATCCCGGTGTTCATACCTTGACCGTAGAATGGGACCATGGCATGAGCTGCGTCGCCTACAATAACGACGCTGGAGCCGAAGTGGTACGGCGTGCATTTGATCGATATCAATGGCAAATGCGGATTCTCCTTGTACTGCCTCACCGCATCCTCTTCCGTGATAAGATCCGGGATGATGCCAGGATAATTCTTCTGGAAGAACGGGATCACTGACCGCGGGTCCTGATCTAATTGTTCGAACTTCTCGGCCTGGAGGAAAAGCGTGCACGTGAAACTCGTGTCCAGGTTCGGGATCGCGAGGAACATGTGCGACCCGGCCGGCCAAATGTGGAAATGGTTGGGTGAAATCCGGAATCCGCCCGTCACCGATGGGGGGATCTGAAACTCACACCAAAGGGTGTCAATGTATTCTTGCTGGTAGTTCAATCGCGCGAACTTCATCAGATGATACCGCACGGCGGAATGTGCCCCGTCCGCTCCGATCATGAAGTCAAAATCCACTTCCGCTTCGTCATGCGCTTGGCTCGTCTCGCTGTTCCCGTGTGGAGTGCGTCGCTCGAACCAGGCCTTGTTCTTCCGAAAATCGGCACCAACGAGTTTGTGGTGGAAGAAGAATTTGACGTTGGGCATCGCCGCAAGGACATCGAGGAGCCTCTTGTTCAGCGCTCCGCGGTCGATGGCACGCTGGACCTGTTTTCGGTCAGTCGAATTGTTTCGAAACGAGTTTGTAAACCCACCCTCCCGTGGGCATCATATGCCTGCGCTTGGGAATACAGCTGGCCTTTGTGCTCTCCATGAATCATTCGGCCCTCAATGGGGATTGTAATATCAAAGATCGACTCCCGTAAACCCGGATAATTGGCATTTCGTATTCCATTAATCCCTCGTTCTGATATGGCCAAGTTGATAGATCGTGTGAAATTCAAGGGTATAGTCCGAGAGTCACGGAGGTCTGGATGAAGGACTCAGAGCTGGAGATGTAGAGGGTAGAGGCATTGAAAACACAATAACATAGATGGACTGAATAAAAACATAACGGAAATTCCTGAGTCAACAATAGAGTGATTCAATTGCAATGAAAGTATGTAACGACTGACCTCCACGGAGCTCATACACCTCGACGTCCTCTCCTCGTTGAGCGGCATATATCGCTGCTAAGGCGCCTACAGGACCGGCGCCAACCACAATCGTCTTCATCTTTCAAAGACCTCGACGCTCAGATATTATCGTTGTCACGGATAGATCTACAAGTCATTCAACAACTTGTAAAAGGAGGAGGAGGCATTGTCGAGGTATGACTCGGTTGACACCATTATCAGCACTTGGTGTGTTGCCTGAGGCACCGAGCGTCCAAAATCCCAGCCACCTCCAGTCCGATCTCATCCGATCCGGATTCCTCTCCGCGAGTCCGACTGTATATAAATTCTTATGGACCATCGTAAAAGCAGTTCGATATTGATGAGAGTTATTCATCCGTGTGGAAGAACATTACAATGATTGATTCCATAGCTGTGCGATTTCGTCCCAGATTCGTGTAATGTTTACACAATATTATATTACTATATTAGAGCGCATATGCATAGCGGTTCATCAAGGCCGCTCATATGCGGTCATGCCTCATCTCATATCAACAAGGGAGCACATATTCGGAGCCGGTCGAAGCAGGCGGGCTCCGTAGCAATATCAATGGTCGTGTTCCGCAGCACAGCAGCGTATTCGTGACCAAAGCCTTATTAAACCAGACGCCGCATCCCCCCCTTCATTACCATGGATCCCAATGCAGTACATCATGCCACGCTCGTCCAATTCATTCGCCCTGCGTCTCCACCGGCTTTCCTTCATTCACTGGCGTCTGAATTCTCTGATTCACCGCCGCCAATTCCGCCCCCTGCCCGCTCTGCCCTCGCCTTCTCCCGCCAAACAACGCCGGTAAGTGGCCATGTGCGGACGCCGGCCGCGCTTCGTGGTTGGAATGGCTCTCAGTGGTTTCGCCGAACCGGGCGAAGAGCCCTTTTTTCTTCGGCTTCGGCTCGTCGTTGAGCGAAACGTCTTCGAGGGTGTCTTCGTCTGGTATGGCGGGGTGGGGTCGGCGTGGTTCGTTCGTAGGGGGGCGGGGGACGCGGGGGAAGGAGAGGGTGCGGGAATCGAAGCTGCGGCGTTCGTTGTTGGGGATGGGGGAGCGGGCGGAGATGTCCTGTACGTCGGCAAATTAGTATGGCGCATTGGGATGAGGATTGGAGGTCGGGGGTTGCACGTACGAATGATCGTCGGTACGAATCGAAGGATTCTCGGGAGATATTGAACGGCTCCTTCTCGCTGAGCATACTTCGATGGTTGGACGAGGAGGTCGAGACATTCGAGCGGCTGAGCCAGGATCGTTTCTGATCCGGAGGGGATGGCTACAAAAGGCGAAAGTCAGGATCCATACAGTAGATACAAAACATCTTGCGATTTGCGCGGGATTGGCTCCTCATACCGGTAGATAGACTCCGCTGTCGTTGATTTCTATCGTGTTGTCAGATCCGCCCACATGCAATTTGGTTCACCCCGCATCGCAATGGGTAGATTCTTCAACGAACGCAAGGATCGCAGGTGGCATACCGCTCATCTTGTATTCCGTCGGCTTCTTAATGTCCAACGGGTTCGGCGACGGGCGCCTGGATTCCGGGTCGCCACCGTCATGCCCAATTGGCTGGTTCTCGTCCTGAATATCGATGGCTGGCCGGCGGAAAGGGTTGCGGATAGGCATGGCGGGGAAGGGCAGAGACACGCAGTCGTCGATTGAGGTGGTTAAATCGTTCAACGATCCCCTAGAAATGTGCAACGGAGAGCAATGTCGTGTGCGACAGGACTATGTACACAGTATGGGTGAAATGGCTGAGAGCAGTTTAAACATTGACAGCGCAAGTCGCGAGTCGCTGATTATACGGCGATCAGATGGCGCAGTTCCTCGATCGGATCAAGATGGGAAGATGCAAGGGCAATCGGAATCATCGGGCACCATTAAGGCTCGGCACCAGTGGAGTACCGCAGTTATTCCCACTTGCCGCCGGCTCCGGTGGTCCCATGGAACTGAAGGGTTGTGCATCGCCATCAGCATATCGACGTATCGTCAATGTCGGAGATTGCGCCTCGCTGACAGATGTCAACAAACTTCAGCAAACTTCAACAAACTCGCCGAGTATTTGTATACCGCAAATAGAGAGTCGCTAGCTGGTGTTTTAGACATTATTTCGTCATATTTCTGCCGTAGCCCGTATCCCACGAAGGCGCGGCGGCGTGGGTTGGAGTTATGAAAGTGGAGGGAACCTCGGTGATCTACATCCATGATGTCAGGTCGCAAGAGAGATCTTCTGCTGCTCCCTCTACATAAAACCGCGTAGTTCCCCTCAAGGAGGAAGTCTTGCGTCATTAATGGGAACGATGTGCACTTCATTGACCATAGCCCATCGGAGGAAGATGATCGCTCTACATACACCAGACAGGTCCCCTGAATTGTGATAGAAGATCGCTCAGGTGACACTGATGATGGGCGTCTAATTGAAGGGCCATAATGTCTGGATTCCAGTGTTGACATACTATAATTCCATCGATGACCGAACCCCTTAGTATCTCCGTACAGGCTAGGCGCGTCACTGTGTATCTCAGTTCTTCCTCTCTGCTTTATTAGCGACCTTGCGAATCGTCCTGATATGATTGGAGGTGGTCCTACAGCATCCACCGATGCCAGAAGCACCCAGTGCTACCCACTCTCTAACGTTCCGACCCCAAGTATCCAAAGTTGCAGCATCATTTTCGATCCAGTGCCTCGACTCTGCGTCCCAGGCTTCCCCTGAATTGGGATACACGAAGACGTTCTTCGACGTGTTTGGCACGATACTTTTCAGAGCTGAACCCACCTCCTCAGGGGGGATGCAGTTCACGCCAACAGCGATGATCTGTTCGTTCCGTTCTATTGGCGGGAGAATCTGGTCCCAACATGTGCCGTCTGCGATCATCTCAGGGTGGCCAGGTCTGGTTGTAAAGCTCAGCCAGCATCTTGCCATTGGAAACTCCGTTTCCAGGAGCCCAAGCACTGCAGTCGCTTCATCCCAGTTTGGAAACGTCTCTAAAGCAAGTAGATCCACTCCGGAATCGAGTAGAGCTGCAATACGCGGACGATGGAAGTCCATGAACTCTGGCCATGGCAGTTCATAATCTCCGCGATACTCTGCTCCATTAGCCAAATATGCGCCATATGGACCGACACTTCCAGCGACCAGGAGCACAGGTGCAGGTATCCCCGCTGCAGTTAGATGTGTCTGTGCATCTTCTCTTGCCGATTTTGCGAGCTCGGCGCTCTTCGCAATCAAGGAAGCGCTTTCTTCTGGTGACAGCCCTTGGTGCTTTGCCAGACCAATTGGCGATGCTTGGTAAGACGCGGTCGTGACAACATTGGCTCCAGCTAGGTAGGCCTCGAGATGAATCGAGCGGATGAGGTCCGGATGGGACGTGGGGAGGGGTGCTGACCATAGCGGCGTCGATAGTGCGGCAGAACCGAGAGTGCTCTCCAGGCGGGTGGACAAGGCACCGTCTAGAACAAGAAGTTCGGGGAACGACTCCGGAATCTGTCCACACGTGGACTTAGCTTCGATGTCTCTGTCCATGCTCCGACATCCACATGGCTGTTCGGGCGGTTAGCATGGTTGATCAGAACCCTGGGACCGATCATACGATTTGCAGCAAGTCTGGACCTAATTTGGAGGGGGACTGGAAGTCGTAATTTATCAGGTGTGCTGCTTAATATATGGGTACTTGAAGCGCGCCCAGCGGCGAGGAAGACCAAACGACATGAGATGCAGTGGTAATGACGAGGCATCGGAAAGCAGGAATCTGACAGAATTTGAAAATGGCAACATTATGAGCGGAAAATTCTCATGACTGTTTGTATATGGCAAGAAAGAGACGTAGTGAACGATGGAATAGATTCCAAGTGTGCTCTGGAAACTGAGAAATCTCGCGGCTTCATTGCTGGAGAAGATCCTTGTGACATACCTATCCAGGAAGTGGAAATGTAAGAGGCACAGTCTTAAAATGAGTGCAATATATCGTACATACGTTGAGAGAAAGAATGAAGGATTTGGCGCCGTGGAGATGGTGTTTTCTATCAAACGGTCAGATCCGAACAAGGGGAGGCTGGAGAACAATTTCACGATGTCTATTATTATTATGCATGAACTTACCTATGAACGAAACATTAGTGAGTACTCCGTAGTAATAAGGCCCTTGTAGTTTCCTACTGTAGTGTGCGTATAGTTGATTACTACGATTAACTACTCGTACCGCGCAACTACGTGTAGGTATGTATAGTGTCGTCATTAGGTAATTACAATATTACAGGTATTGGACAGACATGTTGTCGCAGGCCAAGGCATGAGCTCTACAGCTAGGAGTCCAAGGCTACAAACTGCATTAATAATCTTGCCGTGACTCTCGTAACTATAGATATCTGTAGGGGATCAGGCATTCAGCTAGAACACAGAACTTACACACAACACACTATGGTATACAAACAACTTCGCTGCTGGAACAACAGCACCTCACTCCCAACCATTTTAGCACATCACATACGACACATGTTCTTAAAAACACTAGATGGTCTTTGAAAAGCTTCCTCCAAGTTCTTCCTAGACTATCGACGTGGGCGCGGCATTTCTATCGACTCTTTTCTACTAGTTTGCACAGTGTATCTGGCCATCAGTTCCTACTCCACAGGATTTTCCCTCATTCGAAGCAGCCGCAGCAACTGGTGCACTGCTCAGATTCCCCCCAATACCATAAGAGCCCAGCTCGTACTCCAGTCCGAACCAACAAGAGACTTCTGGAGTATCTAGTCATCCATCCCAACTGCCAACACCCAAGTCGATGTTCACCTGTTATAACAGGGGCTAGCACTCTCTCAAACGGAACCCCTAGATCAATCCAGTTGCGCCAGCTGCTCCCAAGCCATGGCTTATGTCTGACATAGTAATTCGCTCCCAGCGCAAACACATCCAGCTGTTTAGAGCTGCAGCTTACAACCTTAGGTGAGGACCTTAATTGCCATCTAAGGTCCACCTAGTCGGCGCCCCAAGCCCTCCCAATCTAGGCATTGTGAAGCATCGAGTCATCCGACCCAATCCCAAACATATCAATCCTGCCCGGGACACATGAGACAACCGCAGGCCTGCCCTTGAGCTTCCCGCCGATGCTAGCCCATTCCCCGTCCCAATGCTGGCCTTCGTTCTCGCCCTACGCTTTATGCGCCATCCCATCCGATACGTTCCGGGCAAATGCGTTGAGCCTCTTCTCGCCCCATGTTGAGACGGCAGGCGGCGACCCGCAGTTCTCGCCTGAGGTCCACTGCCCGTCCCAGTGCTTGTTTGCACACAGCTTCGTGTACCTCGCACTGTTGCCTTGTTCCCCGAAGACATCGAGGCTACCTTGGGCCGAGGACACGGCGACGGGTGGGCAGGTGAACACCCTACCCAGGTCGACCCAGGCCGCGTCCCACCCGCTGGCGTTGCCGGACTTTGACGAGCAATTGCTTCGAGCTACTGAGCTTCGAGCTACTGAGCCTGAAGATGGATGTCCGCAGCGTGGAGCTCCAGGACGCCATTGTGGGGACTTGCGGGCAGATGGTGCCGCGGCAGGTGCTCGGCGGCGATGTAGCATCGGGGGCTGCAATATCGGCGGTGGCGGTCCATGTCACGCTGCTTAACGGGGCTCGAGAGGTGACCAGGGAACTGGCAAAGATTGAGTTCGATTATTGACGGCTCGATTTTTTTGCAGTATAACTCACCTTGGGCTCGAGTGGTCGCGCCCGGCCCGCGTCGAATCTGTTCCGCCCACTGCACCTCCGATCGTGCCAGCAACAGCTACGAGGACTAGAAGGGCATTGAGCAACCACAATAGGCGTCTTCGCGACGTACCTTTTCCCGTCGTCGGCCGTCGCGATTGTCGCGCGACCATCATGCTGTTCAATGTGATCCACACTTGCAGGTACAGCCTCTGGCAGGTTCAGGAGGGCCACCTCTATAGTAACCCTGGATATGAAAATCGCCGTTTGCCGGGGGAATCCTCCATTGCTGCCACGCTGATAAAGGCTGGCAGGGCCAGAAAAAGTGGTAAGATTGCGATCTCAACCTCATAAACCACAGCAGTACTCCTGGTACTGGACAGCAGAGCGGGATGCAAAACCGCTTCCCCTCCGTCGCGCCACTCAAAAGCTCATATTCCACATGTCAAAGCCTCACTTTCTGTGTACCCCGGTTTTCGTGCACCTTGACACGGTTGTGAATGATACGGAGTACAAGAACTGCAGTTACCAATTCTATTATTCTACACTAGGTATCTAGGAACTGGTATCTTTGCTGAATCATCCTGTGTATTGTGTACTTGGGCAGGTACCAGTTGTAGCCAAGGCCCCGAACTGTTGGCTCGTCCGGGCTCTAGCCTCGGTAACCCCCCTACCAGCAGGCACATCCCTCCAGTTTGCATCAAACCCTTCACCATCCTTCCCACTCTTCGGATTCATCCAGCGGTTCTACTCGCCTCCGAACCGCTCTTCGCCCCAATGCAATATCGAGATGCCGTATGAATGGCTAAAAAGGTTTGTATACGTATATTTTCTTTTTCATCAAATCTTATTCGACGAATCAAACGAGGGAAGCCATTCTTTTCCCCTCCTCGGACAGATGTTGCAATGACAGATGTTGCAATGACAGATGCTGCAACGGGATTCATGGCTTCAGCTTATTCTGCATTTAATTGATTGCTCTTATTGGAATGCCAAACCTAGGAAAAGCCAATTGCCCTCCTTGTGCAATATTGTGCGTACGGAGTAGAAAAAGACCGGCTGGCGGTTCGAGGCATTCCTACCTTTATAGCTGGCCTGGATAATTATTGTATAAAAAGCTCATTAGTTCTCTTCATTGGAGTCTATATCCTCCGTTTCATACTCCAAAAGTACAGCTCCGATTTCCTTCAGTCACTCCTTTCTGATTTGAGCATTGTTCGGAGAACAGTCTCCTTGCTGCAGGCAGCCATAAGGCCATCGTTCATCGTCATTCCTTATCTGCTGTATTGTTAACAATCCCCCCTGGTATCCACCATGCTAGGCTCTCTGCTAGTTGCATCTACCCTCCTTCCATTCGTCTTGGCTGGCGAATTATGGCAGCCGATACAGCGATCCCGTTTCCAGATCGTCCTGAACCGGCCTATGAAGGTAGACCCTCAAGGAAATGTCTCTCCGGACGCCACAATCTTCGATATCGACCTGTTTGACAACGATCCGACGACGATTGCCACGCTGAAGGGTCAAGGAAAAAAAACCATCTGCTACTTCTCTGCTGGGACGTACGAGCCGTACCGTCCAGATAGCCGTCAGTTTCAGAGAAATGATATGGGGGCCCGACTCCCGGAGTGGCGGGATGAGAAGTGGCTCGACGTTAACAGCCAGAATGTCCGCAAGATCATGGCCAACCGTATTCAGCTTGCTGCCGATAAAGGCTGTGATGGGGTTGATCCAGATAACATGGGTATGTCTTCCCACGTTTTCCATTACGACTTGGAGATATCTAACTATCACAGATGGCTACACGTATCGCCGCAACGGAGTGAGCCTCCGCAAAGCCGATACTGTCAAATACATGCGTTTCCTCTCCACAGAAGCCGAGAAGCGTGGCCTCTCCATCGGCCTCAAAAATGCTCTTGACATCGTCGAGGATGTTTTACCCTTTACCCAGTTCGCCGTGAACGAACAGTGCGCAGAGTACAAGGAGTGCGACGCCTATCAACCGTTTCTCGATGCTGGCAAGCCGGTCTTCCATATCGAATATCCGAAGGCCGCGCCCCGGATCAGTGGGAAGGATGTGCAGAAAGCATGCGAGGATAGATTTACTGGAAGTAGCATGGGAAACTTCTCGACCGTTTTGAAGAATTGGGATCTTGATGGATGGGCGGCGTTTTGCGATGGGAGTTCCGCCGAGACGGCCGTTTTGTAAAGACAATGGTTTGTTTATGTTCTCATTCTGTATTATTATCGCCCTTTTCGGACAGACAAACGGATATGATATGAGTAACTAAAAGGCGCACTCGGGAGCAGATATGATATGAATTTCATCGCTGGTATTTATCGGTAGCTGGAGTGCTTCGATTTCGAGTGATCTCATTGGATCGTCCCCCGATGCCATGCATCCTTCATCTCAATCCTCCCAAGTCCCAACCCTTTTCATTCATCTTTCATCATCATTTAATCCAGTCGCCACCGAGACATTTGGGAACAGTATTGATGCTCGCAAGTCCTTCCGATTTAGACATTCTACGCGTCTAAAATGCTACCGTAAGGCTCATAGACCTTCCCTTATGGCATCCGTTTCAAGCCACATGACGAGGCCTTGCTAAGGCTCTGGCAAGGCTGACCGCTGCGCTCTTGGCGACAAAGTCATGATCGGCGGAATATGGTGCTCTCAAACTCCCATTTGCAGTTAGACGCCGACCGAGAAGACCGATATGTGGGTATTCCCCATTGCAAATTCCAATTCCTGTAGACTGTTGTGCAACTATTCGTATGGTAGTATATACGCCTGGCAAGGCAGGAAGAGCAAGGTTGCACAGATGCACATCGATACTTGTTTCGATCAATTGCGATGTAGGATATCCGATATCACGTAAGAGCTCGAAATTCCAAGATATGCATTATTGAGGCACTTTGCGACCTTAAATATGCGACTCTGATGGACGTGGTGCTTGGCAATCACTGCTGCCATTGACCTTATCCATTTGTTATAAAGGGAAGTCGCCTCCTTGATCTTCTACGGCTATGGAGTCACTGCACACCCGTTTGTCGCTAGTCACTGTGGTATTCCTGTTGGTATATACTCTCTCAATGCTCATATCATCGTATAATTCGGCCCTGGTCTGCCTGGCCTTCTCCTTACCGACTCTTTCTTTGGCAGGTGGTCACCCTCATCACGCTCGCGAACGGTGCTCCTTCGGTGATCGCTGCTGGCCCTCATCCCAAGAATGGCGGACATTCAATAAATCTGTGTCGGGCCGTTTGATTGCAAGTGTCCCAGCAGCATTACCCTGTCATGACCCGGATTTCAACGAAGGTGACTGCCAAGCTGCCCGGACAGGGTGGGAGGACAGCTTTTGGCGGACAGGAGAGCCGGGCGCTTATAGCGCAATTGTCTGGGAGATGTGGAATGATTTATGTCTCATCAACGGCACTCAGGAAGAGAGATGTGGACAGGGCATCGTTCCGAAGTTGTCGGTTGATGTTCAAACGGTTGAGGATGTGCAGAAATCTGTCAACTTCGCCATGGAAAAATATCTCTATTTGGTGGTCAAGAACACCGGACATTGCCAGTGAGTTATCCTGAACAGTTCGAACGGCACCTCTCACATGTGGGCAGTTTAGGACGCTCAAGCGGAAAGGGGGGCTTCTCTATCTGGACACATAACATGAAGGGTCGAGATTGGCAAGACTCTTTCGTGCCGAAAGATGCTCCGGCTGGAACGAGTGGCATTCCTGCAGTCACCCTTCAAGCAGGAGAACAATGGAGAGGTATGCCAATTTATATAGGGCTCCGTTAGCGAGCCGCAAAAGCTAACCAATGCAGACATATATATCGATGGCTCGGAGCGGAACCGTATCGTGGTTGGAGGATCTGCAAGGACAGTCGGTGCCGCTGGTGGGTATCTTACAGGAGGCGGTCATTCTCCATTCGCCCACTTCTACGGTCTTGCGGTCGATAGTACGTCAATTCTCTAGGATCAGAGGCGTTGGAAAGACTAACACAGTATAGATCTACTGGAAGTTAGCTTGGTCACAGCCACCGGTGAAGCCAAAATTGTCAACCAATACACGGATCCCGACTATTTTTACGCGGTACGAGGCGGCGGAGGCAGTTCTTGGGGAGTGATCACGTCCGTGACATACAAAACTCACCCGTCCCCGTCCCACATGCACGTGGGACTTGTCCAGTTCAACGGAACGGACGAGGCCAGTCGTCGATTGATTCTTGAAAAGGCCCTTGCCGCCATTCCTAGCGTCACGGAAGGTGGCTACATTGGATATGGCGTCCAAGACCAAGGCTTTCAAGGTCTCTTCTCTCAAGCAAATGCTACTAACGATACTTTCACGAAGGCCTTTGCGCCATTTTTTGAGATAACCCAGCTTCCTGGAGTTAGTGGTCAAGTGTTTGGATTCAAATTGCCATCCTGGCGGGCCTACATCGATACTTTCCTTACGGATCCGAACATTGCAACAAACAATGTCGATACCACTAGACTCCTGACGAAGAAAGTGCTCCAAACGAAGAACAAAGAGCTGGTAGACTTAGCATTCAGTTACGAAGGGGGCTGTGGTTTCAATTTTAGTAAGCCATCCTGGATACTGTCGCACTGGACCACAACCATCTACTGAAACTAATCGATCAATAGTCGGCAACGTCGCCCAGGCTGAGCGGGACAACGTGGCAACGCACGACATCTGGAAAGAGAGCCACACTATCTTCAGCATCGGAAGTAACTACGAAGACGATGCTCCAACACCGGAGAAAGTTCGCAAACGACGCCAGACCTTAGAGATTAGCAAACGCTTGACGGAGATCGTAGGGGAGGACGGTGGAACATACATCAATGAAGCCAGCCCGTAAGTGAATCTGGGTTCCTTTCTCGTCCGTTCTCGTATTGGCTGCCCCAGCTGCATGCTCGTTAGCATTATGATCTCAAACAAATGAGTACCGGCGTGATGCCTAATTCGCAGATTGGAGATCGGAGTCGCTTGTTTGAGTGGTCTCCTACGGTGGACGGTTCCGCCTTGTCGTCCTCGGCTTTGATACTTGAACAAAGCTAACACCACGCTTCCAGGTTCGAGCCGGATTGGCAGAACGTGTTCTGGGGTGCGAAGTACAAACGCCTCTTGAAGATCAAAAGAAAGGTCGACCCCACCAACTTGTTCGTCTGTAACCGCTGCGTGGGTTCAGATTTACTGTTTGAGCCATGGTCCAAACTTTGAGGGCCATTCTCTATTTCCGCGAATCGGAGTCATGGTGATAAAAGGGCACGGAACTTCTTCCAGAAAGTAATACGAGTGACAGTTCGGTTGTCAACCCATCCATTAATGGCCCCTATTATGTTTCCAAATATGTAATCTAAAAAACCTTTATTATTGTTGAGTTTCAAGGGAGACGTCTGAACCACGGTGCCGTGAACTTTGCCATTTAGCTGGACTTGGCGGCAATGGCGCAACTTTCTGTCAGAGCATAGCGAATATTTCATACAACAGCAATCGACCTTAGCGAAAGGGGGATGCAGAAATGCCATCGAAATGTTCGAGTTTGTGGTACTCTTGGGCAGCAACACGTGCTGGAATGGTCAGGGGGCGTTCTTGGTCGCTTAAAGAGTCCTCCTGAAACCTCACTCATACACTTTCAACTTCAACTTCGTCATCAAATCAGCTCAGGACCGCCCAACTCCGTGTGCTAGCAAGCACATATTCCGTTTATGTCTTCACCCATTATGCGACGCATTAATGGCCTAGTAGGTTCCGGATTACCGGATATGAAGGATTGTCTGCATCAAACCGTCAGGTACTCTCGGCGGCAACGGTGAGAGGAGTGGGTGTAGGTAATGGCATCCCAGAACTTCAAAAGGGCTAGCTTTCGCATATCACGAAGTATTTCTTAATCACCAACTTCAAATTGCTTACGATTTTGGGTCTCGCACTGTTCTCTCTCCTTAACCTGTCGTTTTCTTTACTCCATTCGCTTCTCTCGCGCAGGTCGCCCGCTATACTTTCCTTTAGGCCAAGCCTTAATTGCCTTTGCAAGTCGATCTCGCGATTTATTTGTCATTTTTTCTACCCAGAAATCCATTATTTATAGTTAAATATGGCAAAGTATGCAGCTTTGTTGAGTGTTTTGATTGTGATGGTGTCCGCACGGTAAGGATTCCACATATTATGGCTTTGGCTAGTACTATAATGCCTCTTATCTCACACCTCTTCGTAGCTTCAATCAAGAACAGATCCCGATTCCAGCAATCCAAGCTGTCAACGGTGGCGACCCTGGTGAAGCCCCAACCATCGCCGGTGCAGCCATAAGCGACCTCCTCGGAGCCGCCAATGCTTGCAACAAGGTACGTACTCCTTACCCCATTCGAGAAGACCGTGACTAAACTTTTCTTAGCTCGCTCGAGGCGATCAAATCCTAGGCCAACTGGGTAATGGAGCTGATGCTGTTGCCGCAGCCCAAGGAATCGTTGGGGCTGAGAAGAACTTCAATCCCTCCGCAGCCGCTATCCCAGTCATCTGTGGAGACCCAGCCCTCCCGTCCAATCCGCTCATTCGCGGAATCACCCCATTGATTGATCCTGACGTTGTCGGCTCTGATATCGCAAATGCACTTGCAGCGCAGACTCTGCAGAATCCGCTCACCGCGAATGGCAAAAGCGTGGCTCAGTTGCTCCAGGAGAATGGGTTCTCGAATTTCACGGTGCAAATGCCCGATGAGTCAACTACGGCGATCGAAGCGCAAGCTGCTGGCGGAGAGGCAAATCAAGGCCAACAGATCAATGAAAACCAGAGGCTGCAGATCAATGGCAATCAAGGCCAACACAATGACACGAATCAGGGCCAACAAAACCATGGCAATCAAGGCCAGCAAAATGACAGGAATCAGGGCCAACAAAACAATGGCAATCAAGGCCAGCAAAATGACGGGAACCAGGGCCAACAAGGCCAGCAAACGGTCACCGTGACTGTGACTGAGACTGAGGCAGCTGCCTGCACAACTGCTGCCGCGACCGCCGCCGAGGCTACCGCCACAGCTCCTGCAGCTCCCGACCAAGCAGCAGGCAATGGCGGCAACGGCGGCAACGGCGGCAACGCAGGCGTCCAACAAAGCACCATCGCCGGCCTCGACTTCGGCCAATGCGTCCCAACGATGAAATTCGAAGGCGGGCTCGGGGGGCGCCCCGCGACGGAGTTCACCTTCCTCCCGATCGACCCGCTGTGCGCGCAGGGGCAGCAGGAGGCGCTCAACCCGAACATCATCACGAATCGGATCTGCGACCAGCTGACGAACGTGTGCGGGGCGAACGACGCGGCGAAGGCGGCGTGTCGGGAGGCGCAGGCGGCGATCGAGGCGCTAGGGACGAGGGATCAGGGGACGGCGGATGCGTGGAATGCGGAGTTGGGGTTTGGGGGTGCGGCGGGAAGGGTGAGGCGAGGCCGGATTATGAGGAAGCCGATTTCTCGGGGGTAGAGGTGGTCTGGCTACAGATGGCTCCCGGTGCGATAGAGCCGCGGAAATGACCGTGTGTTCGAAAGGAAAGGGGTTGTTGTTTTCCGACGGAAATCCAACAATGTAGGGTACCTTAGTGTTGAATCCCTGCTAAAGAGATGCTTTACATCATTCAATTGAAACGCATGATCTACAACTTCGGTGCCGTCGCGGAACGGCATGCTCTGGGTATCAATTTCAAAATTGGTGTACAGCTTAGGTAGGGTAAAGTATCAAAACGACTGAACCTTCGCTCTAAAAATGCCATGTGCCGGAAAAAAGAGAATACAAACCCTGGGTATCAACTTATGAAAATAAAATCAAGGGCCTTTGGCCTCGTATATCAGGCCATTGCAGCTCAACACCGTTCCAAGACCCTGGTGGATTTCGACCTGGAATGGCTGGAACGGGACTCTTTCACCATCGATGCTAATGTATCCGTCCTCCTGATTCTTCGGGATGAGGCGGTACGCGACCACCTTCTCGTAACTCACGTACTTTTGCTGAAACCAGGTGTCGTTCGCAACTGCTCCCATGCATTTGAATGCCTGCAGCCGCGGGACGTCGCTGTACATCCGCACGAGATCGATATGGCCGTCGTACGGGAGAGAGGCAGGGAATATTTTGGTGTCGGGAGCCAAGTAGGCCATGGTGCCTGCAATGAACATGGCCATCTTGTCTTCGGGATTTGTCTCCCACGACTCGGGGATTGGGTCATTGATGGTGCCAAATCGAAGCGGTGGAAGTGGTGCATCTTCCCCTACCGCCGGCCGCTTCCATGACTTCTCGATGGGCTGCGTGGTTTGTTCTAAATAAAATGACTTGATGTCCTCCTTATCCTTGATAGCTGTGCAGATGGCGATGTCGCAGGGGTACGTCGCCTTGCGGAGAATGCGAGTTACCATTCCGTACGTAAACCGTTCGGCGCCCATCCAGCGGAGATGCTCGGTCGCGAGGTCGGATTCGGCAATCTGGCCGTATGACTGCGAAAGGAAGGAAAGGGTACGTTGATCCCCCTGTGTGATGGACATCAGGTCGAGGGGTGTCCGTACCCCCTTGACGACTCTCAACGCAGCTAGGCTCGGGCTGTCTGTGCCAGCGAGATTTAAACTCATGGAGTTTCCGCTACCGCAGGGAAGTTGGACCACGGCAATTTTCGACAGCGCATATGCAGCATTTGGCTTCTTTGCAAGGCCGTTGAACACCTCGTACGGAACGCCGTCCCCGGAGCAGCACGCTACCACATCCCATGCCTCAACGTCGAGGGCTTGCGCGATCTCGACGCCATGTCCATGATATTCCGTTTGTTCCACTGAGATTGTGCAACTAGCCCCAGCAAAGATCGGCTCGATGTCTCGAAGGTAGTATTTCGCTGCTTTTCCTTGTCCTCCGAATGGATTGATGATGACTTTGATGCGCTTGTGCAATAGCGCCTTGCCATAAGCAAGGCTCAGGAGGCGAGCGACCCACGTTTCCACGTTGTCCAGGGCAGTTTTGTCAATTTGATATGATGTGAGTATAGGACGGGCCGTGGAGGAGGTGGGATGTACGGCGTAGGTGATTGTGACTTGGGTTGACATATGAGACACCCAAAGGATGTCAGAGTAGGGAATGGACTTCGTAGGGGAACGGGCTAGACACTATGAGCTCCTATGCGACCCAATGTTAGGCGCTGGATGTAATACGTACCGCGACGCTTCAAGGGTAAACCGCAACTGCTGGTCCTCTTTGTGACAGGCTCATCCTCTGCCAAATGTCAGAATCTGAATCTCGACTCCCAGGGATGGATTTATTACCTAGTACTAGTAACGAGTCTGTTCCCAAATTCAGAGTCGCGCCTTTGCCCGTCCGGAGCATCAAGGTAATGTCCCCGGAAGCATCGGGAGGATGCGCTGCTGCTTCCGGGCTGGATTCATGGAATGGATTCGCCATCGCGACAACCGGATGTATCAACACTATCCGTCTAGAGTAAAATGTCTACGAAGGCAAACATCCTCAAAGGCGATCTTCAGTCTTCTCCTTAGAAGGAGAAGGTTCTTGGAATCATCATAACTGGATGTAGTACCTCAGGACAAAGCGCTGCTGCTTACGAAATGGAAGTCACATTGGTCGTAATGTAACTTAGGATCTGTAATATGACCAATGAAAGATGATATATAGAACATCTCAGGTGACTAATTGTATTTATGCCTGAGTGCCTTGTGATCCATTCAGATTCAGGTTCCAGATGACCTGGATGACCTGGATGACCTGGAGTCCAAATGTGTTTGTGTTCAATTATCAGTTAGTTTACCGAAACTACATAACTAGTTAGTTACCGAAACTACATAGTTAGTTAGTACTGTAACTAGAGGGCGGTAGCAGTCGAAGGGTCGTATTTCATTCCATCAGACTGCAACCAGACGATTACCTCCTCCCTGAAAGCTCCAGTGCTCTGCTCTCGACTGTCACATTACACAAGGGAATCAGTTCATCAGTGTCTTGAGTCATTTCATTATAATCATGGTTGCTAAACCTTCGTCATCTTTTCGGTTAACAGGTGTATACAATATGCGCCTGTTGAACTCTCCCTCTCGTCCGCTTTCCGTACCAAAGTCTCATTCGCTGGCAGCTCCAACGCTACACAGCTCCACTCTAGCTGCAGCATCTAAGCAACCGTTGGTCGATTGCATGAACGCCAAAAAACTTGTCATCAACGCATTCTTTTTTCAGATCCAGCCTCCAGTTGACTGGATGGCGCGAACCTCGGATGCGCTAGAGGAGTCGTGCGACTTCCTTACATATATCCAATGCATAAATCGTCTCTGGTGTCCCGCTCCGCCCGTCTCTTAGTAGCGGATGCATTCATGCAACTTCCCTAATATGGCCGACCTGCATTAGCAGCAGCATCGACAATTCGCAGTGTCGCCACAACGACGACTTGATCCAGCGTCGCATCAGGATCTACGGCAAGCTTCAACGCTCGTATCGTGACTTAGTCCAGAGGGGTAGCTCTATTCGGTTTGGTCAAATGCCATTCCGGACGTTTCGGTCCATTGCTGTTCAGTCTTTCTTTCGAGCGCTAAGTGTAAATCTCCTCCGGAGCTTGTTCTTTGTTGGCGACATGGGCGCCTGGGCCTCTACGGGACTTCCCGGAGTCGAGGATGAGCTGGCGGTGCTGCTGCCGCTTCGAGAGCTTGAGCGTTGGATGGTTTCGTTAAGGATGTCGTCCAGGCTAACATTGCGGTCAGAGAATATGGGCGCGACTGACGTGTCGATATGTTCGGTGAACTTCGATGAAGCCATGGCGACTATGTTTGGAGGTTTCTAGCGGGTTGGAGGGAGTGAGAACTTGTTGGTAGGCGAAAAATTGTGACTGTGACGAGGGTTTGTATCAAGGATGATGTCTGATATCTCGAAGAAGTGGCGTGTATCTGCCAAACAACAGCTGATATAGATGGGGAGTCGGCTTTCAAAAGAGTTTGATTCAGGGTATAATTATGTCTGTATTCTTCATCTTCGGCATTCTGCGGGCTTGGGGATCACCAGGCATTTATAAAAAGTGCGGCCAGAGTGGCACACACGACTCACGACTCACGAGGGTGTCACACGCCCATCTCCTACAGCGTTGCCGGCGTCGCACCGCCGTCACCCTGTCGCGCACTCGCGTCGAAGAGCGAGAGAGGATCAGAGGACCCCCCCGGCCTGAGAAGCAACGGTTCATGATTGATCGGCACGCACGGCAGTGCGGCCAGAGTCGCCAGACACAGAACTCAGGGTCCAACCCCCAGCAAGACCCGAGTCTAGCCCTTAGCATGGGCGGGTCTCTCCGGAGGGCGGAGATGATTTGCGGTTCATCAGATCCCCGTTTTGGCGAGTCAGTCCTGGTTCCAAGAAAAATCTGTGGATGCTCGAATGCATACACTGCGACTGTCTGCGAGCTAAATCCTTAAGTTTAGTGGGGGAGGGTCGAACAATATGACAATATCCCTTGCAAGTTGAGATGGCGAAATGAGTTGGGCGAAACACGAAACCTGTTCCGAATCTCAAAAATCCACTCGAATGTCCTTGAGGGCGCATGGAATCCTCGTTAATGTTGCCCCTTCCAACGGTGGATCCAGATGGACCAAAATGCCCAAAACCGCGGAGGATCGACGACGACAAAAACGCTTGTCCAGTTTGCTAGGGGTCCTCGCAGCATCGGAACTGCGGAATCCTCAGGAATTTCATCCTGCATTCTCTCGTTGCGTGTGGAATTGCCGCAGACCTCACCTCAAACCCTTGACGGATCCCGAACCGTTGACTGTGGCGAAAGGGTCTCGTGCTTCAACAAAGCGGGCACGAGAAATCAGTTGCGCCGACTCGAAGCGGAGCGAGATGATTCGCAGAGCTCTTGGGCGATGTTGAATGTCGAGGCATTTCTGGCATTTTCCAAGATCCGGGAGCCGGTAGGACTTTTCATCGTTGTGGCTTGCAACTAATGCGCGATTAGGCTCAATTTGTGATGGTTGCCACACTATAATTGGCACTGGTCTCGTGCCCCTCATAATTATGGTGTTGCCTGTTGGCCTCTTCGAATAACAAGCCAACGAAAATGCCAGACACCAACCTTGTCCCGCCAACAAAAAGGTCCCTCAGTACTTCCGTTGAAGAACCTCCCCTCATGGTCTTTGGTTGGGAACAGCAGTGGCTCAACCAGGTCTAGAGCTTCACTGAAGCATGAAATCCATCCTATGCAACAGGTGATGCTCGACTGGAACTAAACTTGGACAATAGCTGATTCCTTGTTGTGATGCTTACGCGCCCCTCTAAAATTTCCTCTTGAATTTGGGTGGATTCTCACTTTTCCCAGACTGGATAGGTACATCGAACGTTGGGCAATATCATTGGTTGTAGACTTCCCGAAGAGAGTCTTTGTCGTCGATCTCACCACACCATGTATGATGCAGCGAGTTACAGACTACAGCATACCCTGGTGATCTTGGACAAGCCTCGTCTATCTAGATTCAAGCTCTTTCGGAGTACAGGGTAACCTTCCGGCTTCAGGGTCCCAGACGCTGTTCCCCAGGTTTCAACGGACTGGTATGAATCCGAGCATGAGCTTCATAATGAGTCCATATCGGAAGAGAACAAGTACCAGTACCATAGCACGACTCCAGTCCACGATTTCCTTTGTTCAGACATGCAAATGGGATTTAGCCATGATGCTGCGTAACCATCTCATATCCTCGATGACGACATTTCGGACTGCTGGTCCATTTTTCGTACATCCTTAAATATATTCGGTATACTTCGAACTCGACCGTATCGGAGATGATTTAATCAATTCCCTCCCCATTGTGGTTGCACCATGCCAATCCTAAGTCAGGGATATTCATGGGATTTAAAAGGAGTCTGAATTTAATCCTTTATCGTCACTATATTTCCCTGTATCCAGGCGCCGATTCTTCGGGTACGGATGACGGTTAGTGTCATTCTGCAGGAGTCCGTGTGCTCTATACCGTGAAGATGGTCCATGGTTACACGGAACTAATTCTGGTCATTTAGTTCCTGCGGTGGTTGATGTTCGCAATACACGATCAATCCACAGGAATATCATCTTCTTCTTTCGCTACTACCTCCACATGACGAGCCAGGGAGCGCAATCGGTCATTTGAACCGGGCCATCTTCGCCATAAAGCAGGGCCACGTCCACCGTCAGCAACCTTCGGAGATAAGCACGAATTTGCATGGGAAGCTGCTGGTCAAGGAGAGGAATCCGCGATTTACCGGAGCATGTTGATTGTGGCAGTCTGCAGTTGAGATGCCAATTAGTAGAGGTATTCTTTGCCGCGAAACTTGCCGGCTTAAGTCAAACTCGGTCCCTTGGAGAATTTAAGAGAACCTTAAACCATGGGTTGTAAAAGGATATGTCATAAATTTGAGGTCTACAATCATCACAATCCCGTCTGCATTTAAGACCGGATAGCGAGCCCCGTTGATATGACATCACCGCTGCCTCTTTGTACACCCACTCACACCACTGTAGTGCCCTGATTGACATTTCAAGCGAATTTCTAAACGATTGGCCCAGGTTAGATTAAAATGATAACTTGTGATATCCAGCCATCCAGGACACACTCTACTAATATAGCAAAGCCATATACTAAAGAGGAAATATGGTGATCGCTGTATATCGAAGCACAATCCTTCCTCTTCCCTGTAGAGAGCAGAGTCAAGGTACAAAGGCCTTTGTCGACAAACTCATTGTACAGCACTAAAACTCTAAAGTCTGGCTTCGTAGCATTTAACGCCTCGAGGATGTGGAACAACAAAGGTTGCATACTAACAATGAGGTAACAAGAGGATAACTAACGAAATACTAACTAACTAAATTATTGTTTAAGGACCATACCTAGTGATACCTTTATATCAACTCCTAGACTATAGACTCTGGAAGTGCCAGTATAAATTCCTATCAACTGCATATCCTCATCGACTCATTCAATTGTTTCTTCTAAAATCCTGGCTTAGCCACAGTGCTTACTCAACTCAGTCCAAGCAGTATCATAAAAACGATACCGATTTAAATTGTCGTGAGAAGGGTATCCACACCACTCTATTCGCCTGCGGGTTTTGACGACGGTTATTCCCGCTGAACAGTAATTACGAGTCCAACGAGCTCAAGTGGACTAAAATTATAGACAAGTGCTACTGCTGCCTTAAGGGATATAGGCGCAATGAGAAGAAGCACCTGAAGAATTGCACATACACTTCCTGATGTAGGTTAAAGACTAGTCACAAGAGATGAGAGGTGGAGGGATTGAAAATCAATAGGAATTCACAAATAATAGTCAAATCAGTGAGCATAAACCCTAATCCCAGTCGCCTATAACCTAAATTAATCCAATGGGAGTATCTATACTTCTCCATCCTAAATCCATTACGATCCATCATAATTGATGCGTGGTTTGTTTCATTGATTGGTAACTTCTCGCTTCCGCCTCCTAAATATCCTTCCCAGTCTCGAACTGCAGCAGTAACAAGCCACCAGAAGCCCGCCACACCACCGAGGACCGAAGCGATAATGATAGTCTTGATGATCTTCTTATGTGTCAGGCCATGGCTTTTGCCAGCGCTCGAGGCACGTTGCGTGGACGTGATAGTTGAAGTTGATGTCGCGGGAAGCGGGGGCTGGGTCACTCGCTCGCTGTTTATGAACTCGGTGACCGCCGTTTCGCTTGCATCCCGCCCGACTAATACGCCATTTGCCGTGATGCGGAATCCTGCACCAAATCTCGACTCCTGCCTGGAAGTGAGTGTTAAGACGGAGGGAACACTAGTCGGTCAACCAGATCGAAAAGGTCAACGTTCGACATCATTCTGATAGATTTATAGCACGATGGATATCGGTAGTCCGCATACATGACCGCGGTACTACCTCTGGTCAGCCGTGTGGATGCCGTCGACACGGTATAACCGGACGGGCAGCGGAGGAAATTGTTGCGCTCGCTGCGATACTGTTGAAGTCGCCGCCGGAGTAGCGGTACCCAGGGTTGCTGTGGGTGCGACACCGTGATCTGTCCTCGTCGTGGGTGCTTGTACTATTGATCCCGAATAGCATGAATTGTCCTTTCCAAGAACCGGGTACTAAACAATGAAGAAGTTCCTATATTCCCCGACACTGTCGATGCTCGGTGAACAAGTAAGTACTGGACTTCGCGAATACGTCGCGTCGACATCGGGACTAGAGAGGTGAGGGAGAAGTGTACGTCATTAGCGACTCAAGAGTGACCTATGCGAAGACTTGAGATGTTAATTAGTCGTGCGGCCCATTCGAATTTTTGAGATAAAGTTGATCTTGCGCCTCCAGCGCAAGGATAAACTCCTTCTTAGATATTGGATGCAATGGAGAATTCTTACTACGTATTCATCCCTTATTGAAAGGTTGAGTTGTTGAGGCTTTTACGGTCGGTAGGCCAACTGCAGAGGGCCGCGGAACTGATGAAGAGGATGTGGAGGCGCAGCAAGGTCCATCACCAGTCCCCCACATTCCTAGCCATCCAGAATCCAGTGCTTCGAGGATATTTATATTGTTATTTGCTGTGTAACACAATGCGTTGTCGGTTGTCTGTGTAGTGAACGGGTGATAGGGACGGGGGGATCACATCTCGCCCGTCCTCATCTATTACTGTTGACCGTCATGAGCGTCGACGTGTGCTTCAGTCCAAGTACCTCCTCCTTTCCTTGCAGCGCTCGCATGTACATCTTCTCTGCCTCCTCCAGCTTGCCCTGATTGGCGTAGAGCAAGCCCAGGTTGTGAAATGCCCATTCAATGCCATTCTGTGAAATGCCGCATTTTGATATTATAGATAAACACCTTGCTACATGCTGGAGGAGGAGTCGTTGCTGTATAACCCACCATTCATTTATATTATTTCCCGGAACGTGTAATCCGATAAACCTTAGAGCTAGCCTCACCATGTCCTGATTCCATTCTGGATTTAGTAATTTAGTACATGCATAGTCCATGAGTGTACACAACTATGCATTCTGCACCCTCCCGACTCCACTGAATCCCGTGAGAACGAGTTTGCTTCCACCAGTCCGTGGTTACACAACACTCGAACCGCTGCATCGAAGTTTGTTCGTTCTTCAGTGAGTTTTTGGATCCATTCTGGATCACTTGAATCGTCGTGACAGAGAAGCTCGAACCAGAGGTCCTGGTTGTCAAAATACGCCCACAGCTGAAGGATCTGAGCCGAAAGTCGGTTCTGTTGTTCCACATGCTTGTATGAGATATCCCATGTGGTGTAGAGCATTCGATCTTCGTACGAGTTTAGTTTAGGACTATTCTCTTTTAGTTTCAACCATGATTCTTCATATAGATGAAGGTACTCAGCCAAACCGGTCATCACTTGATCAAGATATGCTCCGGCGGTCGCAAGTGCAAGAGGAAGTCCGTCTAATTCTTTGACGAGCTTGATAGCATCGGGATCTGTCGTCCTAGTTAGTATCCTCTCCATAGGGTCAAAAATTACCTTACCATTGTTCAATCCTTCGCCTCTTGACGCGTTCCACAGGATCTTAAGGCAATCCTGCACATTCTACAGCTTTTGGACTGGGATGCCATGGCCAATTTTGACATGCGACGACCGCGTGGTGATGATTATTGATCCTTGATAAGATTCCGGGGAGTACTTCTTAATGTCCAATGCCGTAGGATCCGTGTTACCTAGTACCTTTGGGTTGTCGTAGTTGTCGTATATGATCCGCCATCTTCCGTTATTTCGAAGACTCAGCCACTCCTTGACGGCACCCACCAAGCTTCCATTAAAATCCACGTGCTAAGACGCTGAGCAGACGGATGCTCTTGCCGTATCCTCCGGGCGACTTTCGCAAAGTTTTGCTTCAGAGAGTCCCCATCTTTGGTGTTCAGCCATAAGATCGCTGAGTAGCTATCTCTGTATCGCTTTGTGTACGCCACTGTCAATTGAGTTTTACCGATTCCCCAAGACCATGAAGAACAGCAACACAACGGCTGCCATCGCCTCTGAGCGCCTTGCGTATCTCCATAAGCTCTCTTTCTCTTGCAACGAAGTGCTCAGTTTCAGCAACATCGAAAAGGCTGAAAGGTATCGTGAAGTCTTCAAAGTGACGACCTATTCTGGTCAGCATTCTCCTGACTTCATAACGGAGAACGCCTTACGATTCGATGTATTTTCGATCTCAGTATGAAGCCGTCGAAACACATTATCTCTCCCTTCTCCATAGATCGGTGGCATAGTTGTTAATTTAAATACTTTTGTTTCCCTTGGGAGATATTAAGTGAAGTGTTACTAAGTGCTACTGAACCTGTTTGGTACAGATCAAAATATCCCCGTTGTCTAGAGCCAAACCCTCACAAACGGGGTCCTGATCTGGCCTAGGATATGAAATCAAAGGCCGCAGATTTCTGAGGTTCTTTGATGCATAGATCGACCGAAATAGATGCAGCAGGTATCCACTCAAAAGTGCTCCAACCCATCAGGAGCAGCTTGCTCTCCGCAAAATTCAATCTTCTTATAGCCGGCCTTGTTCTTTCCCGTCCCGTTGATGAATTCTTCAAGCGTCACCTCCTCGCCATGCTTCCATGTATGTGAGAGTATGGCATACTTCTTCAGAACATCGTCGGTAGCCAAATCTTCCGTCAGACTGAGATGGCCGTACGGTAGCTGTCGCGCTTCAAGAAACGCATTGCTCTTGCTCGTACCTGTTAACGCCCCAGGAAGCCAGGATTCCGACAGTACTAGGCATCGCTTTTTGTTGGAGAATAGATGAATCATAAAGATATGTCGGTATAGACTTGAAAGTGCGAAAAAGGCTTCAGCCTCATTGTTGAATGTGCAGACTGTGGCTGTGTTTATACCATATCGAGGCTGATGGGCCCCTCCTCGACACCTCCTTTCTCCTCGCGATATTTTCTGACAGTCACTGTCATCGGCGTTTAGCGATGATAGTCCTCCGCATTCCGTAGTTGATACGATATCTCAACACCATCGTAAGTTGTCAAGGTTTCCAACTATAACTATCCCTAACTTACTTTTGTAGCCCATTGTAACCTTCAAGTGCCTGGCGATGCGCCTTTCGAACCGAAATCCTCACCTGGAAAAGGATGGGGCGTCTTTGCCACTAGATAAATTAACCAAGGAGCCATAATCTTGAGAGAAAAGTCACTTTTCGTCGTCCGAACACCGCACGAACGGATCGTAGAAGATGGAGGGCATTTCAACCTTTGACACCCAACTCGAAACCACAATTCCTGCAGCTCTGCGACAATGCTCGTGCACCCTTCACGCATATGACAGCAGGCTTTGACGAGAACTCCTTCGTCATTTCAAATGGGCCGCAGGTCAACAGATCTCCAGGACATGGCCTATTCCTCCTTCTCTCGCGCTTCAACCGCTCTTGTGTGCCAAACTCCAAGATTATAATTACCGATGGTGAAAACAGTGCAAGTTTGCGACTTAAGGACATCATCAGTAGCGAAGAGATCACTTTATATGATAATACAGATTTTAAAGGCAGGAATAGAGACGAGCGCCATCACGCGCTGCGTTTCATATGCGATTACAAAGCGTGTCCGTCAGGCACTCATTTCCAACAAGTCAGTGATATGCGACGGCCATTCCTTCGAGGCTACAGTACTTTACGCTTTGATGTAGATTTGAACGGAGAGAAACAGGATTGTCCCTCACCGATTATCATCGACTCTCAATTGAATAGCCATAAAGTACCAAGCAAAAAATTAAATGAAGATCAAAATGAAGTACCGGTATGGAATCATATTGACAACGGGAATATAAAAAAATAGAAAACGAGGGATAAAAAGAGCCGGTAGTCGAGCCTAGGTCGACAGTCAGATAGCGCCTGAACCGCAGCGACAACCAAAGCTGAAGACGACTCAATGCCTGCCCTGGTGGTTGTTCACGGGAGAGGCGGCATGGGTGGGTATTACTTAGGTATTGACGGTTTTCCCGGTCTGAGGAATAAAGCTACGGGCTATAACTAATTATATTTTAAAGTATGAAGGTGAAGGGTGAATCGAGTATTCACTTCGGGCCAGGTCAGGAGATTATACTAGTGCCTTAGGCAGGGACCGATGCGTCATTCCATGTCGGAGGCTCCATGTCATTAAGAATGCTAGGAACACGAGTTCAACTAAACGAAGCATCTGCATCAATTGATATTACAACTACTTCACCTTACAGACTACAACATGATCATGCCTCTGCATTCCTAACTAGGGATGGGATTCAATTCAACATAGGTATTGTAGGAGGACAGGGATCACCGGCAAAGAAGCGCTGGGTTGAGGGCGGGGATTGATTACCACAGTATCTCCAAGACGTCTTTAGCGCCACTCTCCACTGCTCATCAGTCATTAAAGGAGCGTTCATCCAGTCACGTATTCAACCACGTCCTCATCAATATGTCCAACGTCCAACGACCGGAACCGAAAGATTAATTACAGAAACCCGGAAGCATGAACTAGGCTCCTCAACGGACGACAGACAGCGCGTTCCATGCGTTTTGACGACGCCCCCTCGCTGCCCACAACAAATCGCTCGCCAAAAGATACGAGACTAAGCTTAAGTGCTGATGCCGAACAGGCTTCCGAGCAGGACGGAGATGAATTGGGCGATGCCAGAGATGAGCTGGGAGAGAAATGTTAGCCATTGCGGAGGGATTGCTGAGTTTCAAGAAATAGACTTACCGGTGCCAATGTCGTGACGAGATCCTTGATGGTATTGATGAAGTCCGGAGTGAGGATCGAACCAAGGGCGTCAGCCAGCGACTGCATAACCTCCGGAGTGATGATATTAACAAGAGGGCCGAGCAGATTGCTGATAGTGCCGATCAAGTCAACGATCTGCTTAGGCGTGGGATCCGCAAGGAGGATGGCCGCGCCGTCGATGACAACAGCGAGCTTGTCAATGGTTTCAGCATTGAGGAGCTTCCCAAGGGAGCCAAGGATGCCGGTCAGGTTGCCCAGGACGCCGCCGAGATCGAGTTGGCGGGTATCGAGCTGATTCATCTGGTTCATGAGCTCAGCGGGGATGGGGAGGGCGTAGGGAAGGGCGGCGGGTTGAGGAGCGGCAGCGGGCTCCGCGGCGGGGATGGCGGCGACGAAGGTGGGGAGGGCAAAGGCCGCGAAGGCGAAGAGCTTGGTGAAATGCATCTTGATATGTAGGGGTGGTGCAACGGTGAACGCTTGCGTTGGAGTGTTTTGGAAAGGGTGGGTAAGAGGACTGACTGGCAGACAGTGAGCGATTGATATCAAGATACAAAAGCTTTCGAAAGGTGCTCGAGATAGATTGGATGGTTCAAGAGATGGGGAGTGACATTGGAAGAAACCGTTTCAGCAGTCTTATATGGCAGACATAAGAGCTTTCTCATGGTAACAGCTGCCTCCGGCTAGAGATGCCATTCGGCACGGCATAGGACGCATTCCGGTTCCTGGAGGTACCGCACGGTGGGCGTTTTTGGGCATTTTCATGTGCTTTGCGCCTTTGCCGTCATCGAGATCGTTCAGTCTGATGGCTTAAACGGGCTTGGAGTCCTGAATTCTCCATCCAGCATAGCTCCACTTCCTCCTCACTGGTGGGAGGGGACGCACGGTTTGGGGCAAATCAAGCAAACCAACCCCATGGGGAGAACCCATGTGCTCAGGTGCCCTAACTGGCAGCCAATTCAAGGAAGGATAGTTGACGGGCGGGGTAAAAGCACGGGGAACAGGGTAAGCGAAAGCACTTTCATTTGTCAATGGGTCTGTGATCTGGACAGGAGCTGCTTGATATCGGATATTCAAGCTTTAGGTGAGGTTGTTTGGTAGAGCGGGTCAGTATGGACCATCTCCAATTCACCGTGCAGCTGATGCATGTCGAACCAGGAACGCGCCAGGGGTTAGGGTCAGGGGTCAGTGGCCTAAGGCTGCTAGACAGGAACGCTAGCAGCGATAGGGGTTCCTTGCATCCCTTGTGTTGTAATGATTCTGATTGGCCCGGATGCTTGGGTACCAGATCTTCCGCGATTTCGGTCATGGAGACAGGAGAAGCTCATCTTGAGTTCTTCCCTCTTCATCCATCACTGCAACTCCAACAAGGCTCCAGCCTCCATGGTATTTCCTTCAATCCCTACATACAAGGCTTGATCCAAGCTTATATCCGCATCCAGTTCCAGGATTCAGCCAATGACGTCAAAGCCATTGGTGGGAACTCTGTGACTGTCCTTCATGCTCATGAGCCATGCTTACTGCTTTCTCCGGAACGCTGATCTTCCCGCAAAATACCCATGGAAAAATCCGCGATGTATTACGGGCAACTTGGAACCGAGTTCCATACGAGATTGCGAGCACGGCATATGACCTAACAGCTTTTCTGTTCATCTGAATGACCAGGAGCCATCCAGATCATCCATGAACGTGTCGATGAACAAGGAATCCACCAGCATTGACTGACCACCACCAACTACCTCGTGAGCCAATGGGACCTCGCCGCTCGATCTGCCGTGAACCAGCTTTAAATCCGCAATTGAGGTTCCCTACGGATTTTGATTTTACTACATGAGCGCCAAAAACTCGCTAATCAGGGGATCGTATTGGATTATTGACTGAGTCTGCATATTCCATCACTTTCACATGGTTGCCGAATCTCTCGTGAATACCAGACACGGTCCACGGAGCACGGCTTGCCGAGTTTGGAGCTCTCCACAATAGTCCACATGCTTCTCTCCACACTGGGGGTACCCTAGTCCCTGCAGGCGACCGGGCAACGAGTAACTGGAGCTCTCAAGACTCCAACCCATTCAAAGACAGCTGCTACTTGGGCCATCAGGACGAGAATAGAGTCGAATCAGTGACTGTAGGATAATTGAGCATCGAATATTTGGCATTGATCTCATAAATTCACCAAGGCAAGCCCGTATGTGCATTTGTCCAGTAGCTCTTTTAAGTACATTATCAACATTAACAAACAATGAGCTTCTGCTCGTCGTGACTGCTTCGTGACAACTACAACAACCGCCATACCACTCGTCTAGAGACCAATGGCCAATCCCAAAATACCAACCATACCAGCAACCCCCGCCGCAAACATCCCATTGCCCATTCCCAGCGCCCCCGTCGGAGCCGGCGCCAACGCACTCGACGTACTCTCGGCCCCCGCGCCACCATCCGCACCACTCGCCCCGGCACCGCCTCCCCTCCCGCCAAAGGCCGACGGGATCGCGTTCGCGCCCGACTCGACAAGGTTGCCGGCGTTGATCTTGCTCTGCATGGCGCCGACGTAGCTCTTGACCTCAGTGGGTAGTTCGTTGAACCAGGACGGCGTGTTGCCGGCCTGGAACTCGGCGGCGATGGAGGAGCGGCCGGTAGGGTTCATGATCTGGCCGAGGACAGTGGCGGGGATGGCGGTGATGAGAAGCGAGACGAGAGAGGAGGGCGGTGCGCCGATGTCGAAGACGTTGATCGTAGTGCTGGGGTTGCCGAAGGGGGCGCTTATGGCCGGGTTGAGTTCGCCGAAGGCGGATCTGGGGACGAGTTAGTTGGGGATGGAAGATGGTGCGGAGAGGTCGTACATTTGTGCGAGGAAGTCGGTCGGGTTGATGGAGGCCGTGGAGGTTTGACTGGGAATCTGCGCGACTGCTGCAGCGCCGGCGAGCACGGCGTGGAGGAGGATAGACTTCATGATGAACGACTAAAGAGGATACGCTAGACTGCGAAGGAAAACAAATTGACGGTTCAGATATGTTCGAATGAGTGGACTATCTTGGCGGCGGCGATGTTTTGAAGATGAGCAGACTTGACCCTAAGAACGGAGGAACAATTGACTTGAAGGAACTCGACATCTAGATAAATCATGATGGTAGGGGTAGTATATTCATGAGGGGTTCCATGTGCACTCTGCCCCTCTACGGCTGCACGGGTGACGGGATAGTGGACTCTAGTCTCCAATACGGCCTTCCCCAGAGCTCTTCCGTCCATCCCAATGAACGGGCCGTGCACATACTTCCCCGTGGGATACAGGGATAGAATCTCCTATCCGCAAGCGCCCAGGCAGCTTGTGGGGTGCTTCGGAATCATGAAGGGCAAACTCACCCGAAGGCATTAAGGGCAGGTGAGCAGCCGTCAGGCGACCTATGTATCCCGAGCCAGGGACCATGTAGCCCGTTTCCCTGCCAAAAGACTCTGCATGGTGTAGCAATACTTCCTATCCGTGGTATAGAATGACAAAATACCGCCAAGTGGAGAGGACCATCCAAAAAAAAAACGCCATGACCTAGGGCTTGAAACTGGTCGTCTCTTTAGCAACATCAGACATGTGAACATGTCGCTTACTCTCCCGGCCACTGCCCCGCTGTAGAGAGCTACAGTATCATGCACGCATGGTGTCCCTAGTTGCACCGGTCAGCGTCAATCCGCCAGCAAGCGTACCCTCGTCAGCTGTCAAACTCCCCTTAGGGTGGTAGGTAACTGGCTACTTGAAAGTGAAATGGGCGCCATGCAAAGGTGCAGAACTGTAGTCCACAGACAGCAGGGGAGCGGGCAAAATGACGCGACGTTGAAAAAAGATGGGCTCGGGAGCCCGGATTCGATGGTTCCGAGCGACCGGGCTGGATCTAACTCTCCGCACCTCCACATCTTCGGTTAGCCCCGTTGTTCTGGCGGCTGGTCCGTCCGCAATCGTGCGTGGCTTGAACATGGGAGCTCGAACGCCCTGGCGTGGCCGGAGCAGGAGCCGTTGCGCGACTGTTGCGTCCGGTAATAACTGCCTGAAGGCTGAAAGTCGCGGGAACATGTGGGATGGGTGGAGTGGCTGGGATTTGATGTCACTGGTACAGGATCGTGTGGGAGGCATGGTTTGGGAGCGGGGAATACAGCGGGCATAAAGGTCAATTAAATTGGAAATCGCCTATTGGTGGCATGGATCCTGACAACGCGTGCCCACACGTTTCCGCCAGTTCCTTGCCGGCACATGTGAATTGTTGGTCAAAGGTGAAATCGGAGAGGTTAGGAAGTCAAAAATACCATTCTGTTGGTACGAGGGATATCTTCAAAGCTTGTTGTCGTGGAGATATCATCCTGGTCACGATCTAACCCAATGTCCAAAAGATCGATGCATCCAAACACCATAATCATCATTCCATACGGAATACACAAAACCACACACCTATATTCCCCCTGCCCATGTCTCATGTCGTCCTAAATCACATGGCCCATCTTGGTCAACCGTTTCCTCATATCGTTCATGTAGTACTTCTTGGGATACGTTCTGATGAACTTCGGCGTGAGCGGGTAGGTCACTTTCAGCGTCCCGACCATCAGATTGTAGAACGCCCGTCGAGACTTGGTGTCCTTGAATCCGAACTCCTCCCGGAGTGTCGGGGGCAACATGTACGTCGTGAAAACGCGAAGCAACGGCAGCGGAGCCCGTACCCATAGAGGAGCTACTTTATTCCACAGAACGTCTTGCGCGACGGCGCGAGCGTGGTCGTTGATCTCGGCCTTCGCGATCTGCTCGTCCCAATACCTCCAGAACGCGGCGCGGTTCGCCGGCCACAGTTTCTGGGGCACGCGCAGCGACGTGGCCAAGATGGCGTACTGTGTATAGATCTTATCATGCTCCTTCTCGGGGAGCGACCCGAAGATCTTCGTGTAGAGGTTGATGGCGGTGGCATACAAGGTGGCGGCGACCCAGAGTTGCAGATCCGGATCGTCGGCGCTGTAGTCCCGGCCTCCATCCTTCCCCTTGACGACGGTGTGAGCCTTGTGGACGAGGTTGATGATGGCCTCTTTTTCAGCCGGAGTGCCGAACGTCATGCAGTAGACGTAGGTCATCGTCGTCCGCAGGCGGTCGACGGGCCGATAGGCGAAGTTGCTGTGGTTGTTCACGCCAGCGGCGACGGATGGGTGAGCCATTTGAAGGAGAACCGCGACACCGCCGCCGGAGAGTAGGATGGCTTCCCGGACGATCTTCTTGATCTCCTTTGGTTGGTAGGCGGGATCCAGACCGCCCCATTTCATGGGCTCCGAGTCCTCAGACACCGAGTGGAAGGAGGCGTCGACATGTCCCTGACTCTTTTCTGAGGTCTCGGCCGTGAAGTTTCCATCGTGCTGGTTCACGCCGGGATGGACCTCATCTCGTGGTGCATCGTATTTCTCATTGAACTCCCCAGTCGCCATCAGGCTGGTGGGGTTCTCCGTCATAGTTTGGGTGGCCATGATGAATACTTGTGTAAAACTCAAACAATAAATAAGACACTGGACGAAATAAATGATGGTAATGGCAGACAACTGCTCAAGATATATCCTTTAAACCCCTTCTATTCATTCTAGAGAAGATCTGAGATCATAAGGTGGTGGTTCGACATATCCACAGGATGAAACAGCTTCCGGGTGAGGGAAGTCCGCCATCCGACAGCTATGTAAGAACGGAAGTCAAACAGCAAAAATCCAGTACTTACTTAGATCAAGGCCTTGTACGGGCAGTCGCCACTCCCACTGCTCGGAAATACGTGCTCCCCCGGCCCGACAATGTGTAATTCGCCCCGGAGGATGGAGCAGGCATACTTTATGTGTTCGCTCGGACTCACACGGCATTCCTAGGATGACTCGACATGTGGTCACGAGCTAAGAATTTTGAGTCAGCTTACAGTTAGTCTAATCCGAAGTCTAGGGAACCTTAGGTTACTGTGGTAAGTAATTACTTAGTAGTTAGTACTTACTATGGCCGTAGAACAAAGTCTTGTCTATCAAAGTGCACGGACAGTGGGGATTTGTCACAGTACGCGACCACCACTGGGCAGTGAGCACTGACAATGGGCGATCCTCCCGCCCAACCTCCACAGCATGAAACCATTATCCAACCTTCGAAAGTCGACGATCATGCATCCCCCCGGTCGTTCATTTCTGGGGCGGATGGCGGTACTTACTCCTTCCGACTCCGCTGATCTCTCGTCACCCATGCCAAGTTGCCAACCCATGCTATCGTCTCGTAAAACGCCTGCTGGATCGCAGAGGCTCTGGCTGCGGGTTGTCACAAGCCCCGAATTTGCCCAAAATTGGTGGTATCAATGCACAGACCGAGGCGGGGAATCTACCAGCTGCTGGCTGGAGCCCTCCAGATGGGGAAGATGCGTGTGACTGAGTGTTTGCAAATCGTCCTGTTTGGACTCTCGGTGCATCCTGGTTCCTGCCCTCGTGAGGTAGGGATATTATTTTTTGACCTGGGGAAATTCGGACTTGCGGGGAGATCTGGATGGTAGTAATCTATCTATCTCGCCCTTTCCATACGAATTGATATGTAATTGCCGCTACCAAAGGTCAATTCGCGCGCGAGCCCGATATCCTTTGAACAGCTTCTTGTCCCGCCAAGTACCTTCCGTTATTTTTTCTAATTTCTCCTGGTTCCGCGAATGCCAAGATGAAGGACGACTATGTTGGAGGCCAGTCTGCTAGGACTGTAGGCGACGACTATGTTGGAGGCCAGTCTACTAAGACGGCGGGCGACGCCAGTCATGAGCCGTATCTGGGCAGCAATTATGAGAAAGGCAAGGGTGCCTTGGGTTCCGACCAGCACATCGAAGACACAGAAGAGTATGATGAACCTCCGAAGAAGAGAGGTGCTTGGGCGAAGACGAAACGACATTGCCTAAGATGGTGGTGTTGTTATGCAATTGCGATATTCATAGCACTGGCGGCAGGTCTTCCAATCTTGTAAGTCAAGAAGATATTCGCTCTTTTGCTCCTCGTCGCGTCGCACATAATTAACAGTCGAACCAGTTTCTTGGTGATTTTGCCGGCAGTCGCACAGCGCGTTGTCGATGATGCAGACTTGCCAATATATTCCGCGAACATCTTAACGCCTACACTATGGTCGTTCGTAGTCTCGATCAGTGCAGGCCTTAATGTACCGCTGGGTCTCAAGGGAACGGTTCATCCGTTCGATCTAGCGCTATACGTCAAAGACCCGACGGATAAAGATAAATTCAATCCATATGTCACATTGCCAGTACCGGAGACAAAAATCGCCGGGAGTGGCACGTTGAGCGTCAAAGATCAGACCGTCACAATCCAGAACAAGACAGAACTTGTCAGTTTCCTCTCAGTGGCTGTGGAATCGGAAGATTTCGAATTGTCCGCGAGAGGGGAGGCTGATATCAGTCTGGGAAAGCTGAAATATCATGTCAAGCTCGACAAGACGGTGAAATTGAAAGGTATGCAAGTCTCGAACTATCAATTGCAGCATCTCTAAATCCCGCTCGCAGGTCTCAACCGACTTCAAGGATTCTCCATCAATGAAGCAGCAGCAGTTCTTCCACCGCTGGCGGACGGGACAAATTTGTTAGGAGATGTGACTATACCCAACCCTTCACTCGTCACATTCGACATGGTACGTATCATAGGTCTGGGCACGGCTTGTTACGGAACTGACAGAAATGTAGGGAAATGTCACATTGAATATGCTGTCTGGAGACCTCTGGATTGGAACCGCTGACATCCAGAATGTCAGTCTTAACCCAGGCAACAACAGTTTTAAGCTTCGGGGAAAGCTAGATCTGCCGACACTGCTTAAAAACCTGCCTGCCATCCTAACCACACAAATGGGTAACATCGGCCGAGGAGTCATCTCGCTCAATGCGAGCGGCAACAAGACCGTCTTCAACGGCGAGGGAATCGACTGGTACGATGCGGTGCTCAACAAGTTGGTGATTTCAGCAGAAGTTCCGATTCTCAAAGTCTTGACAGACACCGTGTCGCAATTGATTGGCGGCACTGACAGCCCATTGTCCGGGCTGCTTCCGGGCTTAGGAAACTTGGGAAACTTGAATTTCACAGAGGTCATGGCGCCGTTGACGAATATAACGCTCCCGTCAACCGCTGGCAGCACTCCGAGCAGGACAAGTGCGGCAGGTGGAGCCACATCTAGGCCAGCTTCATCACCGAGTGCCACGTCGGAAGGGGTAACCTCGTCGCGGACGACGGCGGCGGGCTCAGGTGCGACCGATCTTGCTGCTATTCTGGCTGGTTTGGGTTCTTCAGGATGATCGCTGGATACGCGGTGTCCTCTCCAGAGATGAGAGCCACTTACACGACTGATGAAGTCCTCTGAAGATACCTAATAGTAATGAGATTATTGCGAATCAAATCTGATTTGACCCGCCTTTCGCAAGTAGCATTATGACGCGTTCTATATGAGGTTCAAGCAGTCTAGACGTACCAACTTCGTCTGACTGAACTGTCCTATCAAGTGAAAATGAATCCAGCTATCATAATCCGCGTTAGCTTAACGTTTCAAGACTAATACCTGACACTCTAACTAGCCTCGCATTACTAGCATCACGAGCACCATCGGAAGGGCAGCGAGTGGATCGACACGTGATCGGAATTTTGATCCGTTTATCTTGTCCAGAATCGCCCCTCGGATCGGGATTCCCAGATCCTTCCGGAGTCTCCACGTCTGGGGGAAATCTCCACGCTTCGCAATAGCATCATATGCCAAGTTTTCGCATCCTGCCTTAAGGGAATCTTTGTCCATAGTGTAAATAAAATAATTCGACTTCTGCGTAGGATTTTTTTTTCCTTCTAAACTCGTTATGGCCACCGCAACTCAAACGATCGATAGCCGTGCAGATTTGGTAGCGGAAGTCCCGAAGACCATGGAAGCGGTCCATGTCGAAGATGTCTCTGTGGCCGAGATAGCGGATAAACTTGAAAAGACCGATATCGAGGAAGACAAGCCTCTAAAGACTTATACCGAAGCCGACGTTGCGGTGCACAACAAGCCGGACGACTTTTGGTTGATCGTCCGAGGAGAGGTCTTTGACATGACGAAATTCCAAAATGATCATCCAGGGGGCTTCAAGAGTATGTGAACGGCGCCATCGAGGAGATCCTTCCGATTCCTTGAGCATCCTTCTCACTCTTACTGTAAAAGACGCATCGCTAACTTCTGCGCAGTCCTTAACGGTGTTCGCGGAAAGGACGCGACAAAGAAGTACATGAAATACCATCGCCTTGGCATATTGGCGCAATATCGCCACTTAGTCGTTGGGAAAGTAGTCGCGGGTGGGGAGAAGCCAAAAGAACCAAAGAAGCTATTCGGATTTATCAAACGGAATTGAAGGAATTAGAAAGAGTTCCGCACGATGACACAGCGAACAGGAATGACTGAATATGAATGCGCATATGGGGAAGGCGGTAAGAGGGATTTGGATGTAGTTGAATTCAGCTTGGAGCGGATTTCGGATCGGGGAATTTGAACCGATTTCCCTTGCTATTGCGTCGGCTATCGTTCAATAGAAAGGGCTCGTAACATTCGTAATCCTTCGACAACACCTTGATCAGCACCATCTGCTCCCCCATAAAGTCTGAAAGCTGTACGAAACTTCTCAAGCCAGGTTTTTTTGTCATAGCCAGCCTAGCGATACTGGCGTTGCTTTCCGTCTGAAACAAAGTCACTTATTGCAACATACTCTTTGGAGAGTATCTTTCCAGCATGAAATCGTCTAGTAATCCCTCTGCTAGTAAGTATACAGTCAGGAGATTGTATATCAACCTAAATGTGAGAGGGATGCTGAAACCTGCTGCTTTCTTCTTGTGTGGTTGAACGGGGAAAGGCTCGCTGGAGATGACTGAGTACTGACAGAAGGGTGAAATAATGGTTTCTGGTAACTTTGTTTGAATGCTATACAACAGCTATGATAAATGCTACAAATACCTTACCATGCTCAAGGCGCCTCAAGCATAGCGTATTACTCGATAACTAAGATGCACATTTAGACCTTTCTGTTTTGATTAGTTAGTTAATATACCAGCTATCCCCTTGATAGCTCCAGCGCTGAAAGACTGGGGTGTCTTACCAGGGGCTCTTACCACGTGACCGACTACTTCCATATTGCCCGCCGCAGAGATATTAGGAAAGTTTAAGCATAGTTAACTACTATTTTTTACATTTTATTTTTAATGCGATATTTTTACTCTTTATTTATAAATTTCTTCAATTTCCGACCGAAAATTTCATGTCATTAAGGGATTGTGCGGGCGAATCATTCGAATTTGGTAGTAGAAACTGATTTTGATGAGGAAGTTGAACACTGCAACGACGGCCGTCAAAGGGAATGTTCATCCAGGCGATCATAGGTCAACCAAGCTCACCAGGGGCTTCTAGAGATCTGTGAGTGTAACCGAGATATTATTTTTACAATGTAATTTTATTCGTAGGAATCCAAGTGGTTAGTGGACTAGCATAGAACAACTCATAAGACTCGCGAGCCCGTTCCAATTTCAGTTCGCGGTTTCGGTTCAGTGCAACCAGTCGTCGCATTGCCTAGCACCAGATCCACACGCAGCACACTAGTGTGTGCCTATCCTGGCAGATGGTATTTCAACAGAGACTTGCCTTCATATCTAGTAGAAGCTCTCGAGCTACAATTAGGTGTTACGAGACTGGCAGGCACACTGACTGGGAACCTCATATTATCTGAAGAGGAAGAATGGGGCAACCAAACCCCGACATAAAAGGAGCATATGGACAGCAGACGGCAAACCCCGAGCTACGCAGCGCCTTGCCCAAGGATCGTCCACCTGACTTTCGGTATCAACATTCGACGAGCGAGAGATGAACAAAGGAAATATCTGGGACGGCGGATCGCCCTCCCACTCGCCACATATCGATCACCACGATCCAAAGGACTACCACGAGTTCCACGGAACACCCGATGGCGGAACTTAGGCAATAACTCTCGTTGCCCTATCCGCGGCGGTCCTCGATTCATGTTTCGATGCATATATTGCGTCTACCAAACCGCCATCGCCGACATCCCGCACCGTCTCCGCACCATGGAGAAAATTATGCTTCCCGTGCCTGGAGTTCCAGGGATTCCCTACCAAACGCGGTCAAAACGAATATTGACCTATCGGCCCTCGACCAGCATTTTACTACAGTTCACCACGCTAGCATCGTGGCCTGGTACCCGTGTAAGGTCTCACCTCAGAACCCTCATCACAACTCCCCAGATTATGCGAAAGAAATGGTTGGATTCTCACCTTTGGCATCCACCGGCAGCCTACAGAAACGAAGAATCTCAATTGCCGACTTGGCTGAGTAGCGGGAATGCAAGAGGGTGTATCTATGTCTCTAGAGGTAAGAGGAGCCAAAACGAAGGCGGTGTTAAAGAGCGTTTAAGGCCTTGGAGGTATGCTTCAGGGAGGAACTGTGTTTCGAGTCCCGGAGAAAGTAGACGGGCTCATTATACTATACTACACGAATCCCAAATGCAAAATACCAGTTTCAGAATATAGACCGCGATCCCAACGAACTATACACGGAATCGGTCCAAGGCCGATGCATTGCGGTCCAACCTTTCAAGCAACCAATAATAACTTTGTCATTGCAGAGTTTGGGACCTTCGGTATGTCTGCAGATCAGCGCTATGTTCATCGTACCAGGTCCATGATTCCTTCGATGAAAGACCACTACGACGACAATGGGGCTGTCCGGGCGGAAATCGGCATAGTGTCGAGACGTTGGAGAGGATGGTGAACAGAGGGACCAACATTGCCATGTGTGCTACTTAGAGGAGAGTGGGATTATCGAATTCAAATAGGCTGCTTGGAATATAATCTCACCTGCCTGATTTTGATCGCAAATCACGAAGACAAATATCATGATCTTCAACCAAACTTGACCGTCCTCTGCGAGGTGCCAGCAATGACTTGGTACTTACTGTACTTACCTTGATATTTGTCCACTCTACCAGCAGAACAAACCCATTCATAGCCTGATCCATAACTCTGCGAGCATTCATAACGAGAATACCGACTCCCTTCGCTCTCCGTCGCGACTCTCATTGCGTGGTCTGGCCCAGCGTAGTTGGGATGCCGCAATTGAGAACAGGGAGAATTCCACCATATTAGGAGTGGATGGATATAGCTGGGTACGCAGGAAGCCGTCCAATAGATAAGCGCATCAGCAGACGAGGAATGATCAAGTTAAGAAAGAAGAGCTGATATTAACTGCGTAAATATCTATCCTCCATCTACTCTAAGCAGAGCCTTCGCGGCTCCACCATCATCTATATAAAACAGAAAACTCCCCCGCCATGGATCTAATCAATGATACTGCGATGGAAAAACGGGATGAATGGATCGATACGTAGAGGTATGTCTCCCGAATAAACAACCGAAACGGAAAGAAAAACAAAACGCCGATCCTATGCATGCAATCTAAACTCCTCGACCATCCCGTCCCTTTCTCTTCCATTTCCATCATTAGCATTAACGTATTCCGCCTCGCTCACGGACGCCCGTCTATGAATGCGCGACGCACACTAGCATCACCGCGGCAGCGGCCGCCATCCACACCGTGATACTGGACGGTGCGCTTCTCGTGGCCGGCGAATTCGCCCGCTGCGTCCCGCCGCCCGTCACGAACCCATCAGGCAGCTTAACAGGGCGGGTGCCGAAGCGGGCGTTCAGCGAGACGATGACAGCCTCGCTATCGCGCAGAGAGACGGACAGCGTGCTGTCGGTTCCGACGACGGCGTCCCGGTTGGGGGTGGAGCCGACGGGAGGGTCGGCGGGGATGAGGGTGCCGTCGACGTCGGAGAAGATGAAGCCGTTCCAGTTGGTGTCGGCGGAGGACTGGGTGTCGGCGCCGGCGGCGGTGAGGTAGGAGAGGTAGGCGGGGCGGCCGGGATTGTCGGGGAAGGAGAGCTGAATGTCGATGGAGGGGGGGGACGGGTCAGAGGCGAGGGCGAGCTTGGAGTTGAGGACGACGATGGCGGTGAGTTGGTTGGCGGAGTAGACGCCGTAGGCGCGGAGGTACTCGCCGTAGCCGGAGGGGGCGTCGTTGACGGAGACCGGGGCGATTTGCGTGGTGCCGTTGCAGTGCCCGAGGAGCTGGGTGAACGCGGCGAAGGCGTAGTAGGAGGGCCGGACGTGCGGTTCGGTGGCTTTCTCGGGGTGGGACATGGGCTGCCAGGGGGATGCGAAGGAGTTGTCTGTCATGTGCATCTGGACGGACGCGATGTTGAGGGTGGCAGAATAGAGGAAGAAGTTTAACGTCCAGATGGTGGCGGCGAACGTGTCCGAGATACCTACCTGGCCGACGGGTCCGACGGAGGCCATCTCACGGAGGTGATAGGGGATATCGGGGTGGTCTTTCAAGGTGTCGCCGATCTCTTGGCTCCAATGCTTGAATTGAGTCTCGGTGCTGGTAAATTTGGCCAGATAGTCCATGGTCAGCTCCATCGGCGACACGCTGATAAAGTAGAAGTAGTCGTGCTGGTTCCACGCGGACACGAAGCCGTCCGTTGAGCCGACCGCGGAGGAGGACTGATTGGGCTGGAGGATGCCATTTTCGACCAGAACATCGATCAGGAAACTGGTGCCGATGGTGCTCGCAGTTGCGGCCGGTTCGAAGAAGGCCTTGGGGAATCCGCCTGGTGCGAGAACTTTGTTGTAGACCACATTGGCTCGGTCCAACCACTCCTGGACGTAGTCTGGACCTCCGTAGCTGGGTTTCCGGAAACCGTTCTGACCGTACAAATCCGGCTCATTTCCAATCTCAAAACTGACCAGCTTGGTATTCGACAACCCATCCACCGCCGCTTGTGCCATGTCCGTGATCCTTTGCTGCCAATCCACGAAATTATACGCCAGATTAAGACCGACAGTGATGGGTGTATCCTCTAGGAACCGCTCAATCGCCTTGAAGTATGCTGGTCCGATGTAATAAAGATCCGTGGGAATGTTCCCTTGGCCGGTGGGATTCTTGTTGGTGTCCATCCGGAATTCTTGAAAGTTGGGGTCGTAGAGGAAATAGTCGCCGGTGTTTCCTCCAAGGCGAAGCCATCCTGGTGCACCGGAATAGTTGGCCAGATTACGCATAAGAGTGAGAGAGAATTCGTTGGGTTGCTCGAATCCAGTAAAGGAGAACACATTCGATGGCTCGATGCCGAAGCCTGTATATGAAGGGGAGACGACATTGGAAATGCCTTTAGCCCCGGATGATCTGGCTGAAGGCGATATCGAAACTGCTGATGCTACTGTGGAAACACACGATAACAAAGCGACTGAAAGGCCAACGGTCGTCATCCTTGGTCGATGGGAAGCCGTACGAACGGCTCGCCCAGGGCGAGAGTGAGATAGTAGCTTCATCCTGGAAACCTTGAATCCTTCGAAGTGGAGGAACGCTCGAGCACTCACGGGTTACACAACAAAACGACGGGCAAAGCTCATTGCATGCTGGTCAAGCGAGGGGACCAAAGTGAAAGAATAACGATCAAAGGAAAATTAACAAGAAACTGGAAATCACGAGAAGCGACTGAAGCGGTTTTCAAACCGATTGTGAAAACTGCAGAGTGATGTAGGTAACTTAGCGGATGGCGATGGATGATAGTGGAGCGTGAATGGGTTTGGGGGTGAAAGTTGGCATTCTGGGCGGCTGGACCACTGCCATCTGGTGAACCAGCCGCATACGGGAATATCGGACCCTCCACGTCCTCCAGGCTCCAGGGAGCAATGGGAACTGTGGAACGGTGGAAGCCGAGAAGACACCGTGCTGGGTACGTCGCACTTCCAATTCATCGTGGTGAGTGAGTGGACGGCCGAGGAGGTTGGCGGAAACAAGCGGGCCCGATATGGGGCGCACTAAGCCAAACTTGAGGCGTTGAGCGCTTGGTGGCGGCCAATGGTGATGCATGCACTTCATTCTGCATTTCTGCAGCCCCGATGCCGACGGAATGCCCACGGAACGAGCGACAAATCCAAATCCAGATCTCATTGCGCACAAAATAGAGATGGCAGGTGACGGTGCGCCCGTGATGACGAATTGACGACTGTTGCCGCTGCAGCAAGCAATTGGGTTCTGCGATAATTCTCGTCAAGCCGGATTGTTGTTAGTTCCCAAATTCCCAAGCAGCGCTTGTAGAAACGGTTAATATGGGACTTTGCTGGAGACAGTGAGTACTTTTTCGTCTGTTCCAGCCGCCGCCCAGCTCAGTCCTATCATAATATGGAACCTCTGCTGTGTATCATTGCAATTTGGGACTTTGGGAATATATTGGATGTCGTCATATTTCAATCCAAGCCCAATCAATCAAGATTCAAGGAAGCTGGAACATGGATGAGGCTCAAACAGCGACAAAGTCTCGATGTCTTGCCCACAGCGCTCGGTCAATCCAACAGTCCTTTAGTCAAATCTGTTTTGTTCGATCCAAGAGTTATACGAACGATTGGTAGGGAACTCTTCATATTATCAGATGGTGAGGTGGTATTTTTGGTGATGATTGCGCCCGTTGCGGAAGTCCGGAGTTTTCGGGGATGGAAATTGGAATGCACCTGCCGATTATATTGTGGATGACTCAGCTGAAGAATGTGGCGCAATCTGCCATGAATTCGTCACCTCCCCCCACTTAATTGCACTGCAACTCTAACATTCTTCATCTCCAGACAACAATAACACCTCCTGACTCTAGTATCCCGAGTAACCCGTGCATTCTTGGCCGGTCCATTATCAACTTAGTAAATGGAATAATTACGGAGTACGACTGAACGAGGCGCAGGAGCTCTCCTCATCTCCTGCCCCTGAAACTCCCTCCCATCATTTCCAACTGGAATTCAGGTGAACTGGTGCGGCACGTGTTGCTCGGCATGGCAATTCTGATCCCCGCATGCCAGCTCTACCGTCCCAAATCATTTCGCTTCGATTCTCGATGAGGACATCGCTGCTCGGATTCCCGGCGTGCCGGCCGTCCAAATATCCTCGTGATCATAGGACGACAGGAAACATAAACAAGCGCAGAATCGTGTCCTCGATCGTCTATCCCGCGTCCCTCGTGTCCTCAGCAGTTCAGGACCGTCCCATTCTCGCAGCTCACATGCTACGTGCATAAGTATGGAAGATTCGAGGAAACACTCCGAACACTTGTGATGGCCGGAAATCGGATCATGTCGTTCCAGGCGCGAATCCAAGAGACCCTAAGCAGGGAAAATTGTGACTCGTTTTATATTAGCACCGTGGGCAATCTTGACAAGTAATGCGCCCCAGGGCAAATAAGTCCTGGCGATATCATGCAGCGAGTCAAGTTGTGGCTAGATCCATCAAAAGGTAGCGGTGCCACACCTGCTGTGGCACACGAACCTGACAGAATTAACGTCCAGCAGCTTCAAATCGTGATTTCTACTTGGTTCTGTTGATGACATGCTGGCTTTCAGTCGAATTAGGCACTTAGGGTGCCTTAAGGAACAGACTAACTGTATGATGTGTTATGTATTGAAGGAGACTCTTTCGGGTTCCAATCTCCAAGTCAATAATGCTATGCCCTGGGACAATACCTCGTCAAGATCATACATACCACAGCTCATAGTCATCTTACTCAAGTGGTTCATTCTCGTTGTATTTCATGTTCTAGTTTGCTCTCAGCAATTCAGTGTTATCTCCGACCATGACGATTGAAGCCTGTTCAGCGTGCGTTTCGTGAGCCCGTTCAAAATGGTACCGCAGTTAGTAGTGGTACCCGTGACAGGTACTACTTAGGTTCCTGTTCCGAGATGACTGCAGACTATATTGCCATTCAAGCAGAAGAGGAAGAAGGGAATATCATGGGATCCATTTGATTGATGATGTGAAGTGTTCACCACAACATTTTCCCGGAATCGCGAAATGCAGTCATGTGCACTCTACCGTTTGTTTGCTTAAATAGCATCGCACACAGACTTTCTGGCAGCTGAAGTCGTACAATAGCGATTACACTTCCTCGTGACTGAGTGGGATCTACTGGTAATTCAGAATCATCCACATCAAGCTCTCTAATCTTCCTCTATCATGGCCCCACCCCGGCTCCTCGACCTCCTTGTGGTCTTCCTCGCCACGGGGATCCACGCTTACAACGCGGACAGAAACACCGTATACCCTCCCCAATGCCAGGCCTCATCCGCTAATGGGAATGGAAGCGTTCGCTATCCTAACACCCTCACCGCCACCGCCAACGGTACCGTCGCCATCCTCCCCATGGCCCTTCGCGACATCGAAGCGCGCTTCAACCTCCCCGTACTGACCCGCGCCATCCACGACCTCCTCCCCGACTTCCCCGCCGACCAATACCCCGCCATCGTGAACATCCAGGAATTATCCTGGTTCCAGGGCAAGTTCTGGGGCCTCGTCGACGTGAACATCGATGGCTCTGCACTGCGGTTCGAGGACGGAAAGGTGCGTGAAGCGACTACTATTATATCCACCTCAAGCCTTGACTAACCACACGCAGCTCATCTCCATTGAGTTCCCCTTCCTGGATCACCTCCACGATGGGCACACCTCCTTCCGCAAGAAATCCGCCCTCCTCGTCTCCCCCAGCCAGCGCTGGACCCTCCTCGGCCCATGGAACGACGACCTCCGCATCCTCGAGACGGACTTCGACCCCTCGTGTGGCGCCTACGCCGACATAGACGGGGCCTTCCACGTCGACGCCCCAGCGCAACCCCTCTTCCGCTTCCCGCCACCTGGTTCCCCGATGGTCCGATCCATGTTCGAATCCGTGTTCCGAGAATCCCTCCCGAGCGAGGCCGTCCCGATCGGATTCCGCCCGTTCGCCGACGACCTGCTGCGGTTCGTCACGAACGTCACGAACCAGCCGGAGTTCGGGCCCACGGGGGAATGCGACATCTCGAAGCATCTTTACACGACGCCGCTGTCGGCGATGGGGCCCGGGGGGCTGCGGATCATGCGGGGGAATGTGTCAGCGGGGGCGCAGATGGTGTGCGAGGACAAGGAGCCAGAGTGCGCGCTGGGGGGAGGGGGATTGTTTGACGGGATTGCCTGTGTTGCGGGTAATAAATATGATGACAAGACGCCTGATTGCAAGGGCTTGAGGGGGTGGGAGGATGTATATGGGTTGCAGGGAGCGCACCTCTTCGTTGAGTATGCGCCTGTTCCGTGCAAGGAGTTGCAGGGCTATCCAGAGACTGGGATCTGGGGAGACTCCGACGCTGAAGGGACTGATAATTCAGATGCAGATTAAGCATATTGAGCCCCACGCTCGATGAGTCGAGGCATATGTCTACGCCTCAGGGTGGATGGGCACGAATTCAAGTGCCTACGATTGGTTGATGTCGGCACTACTCGTCATGCGAGGGCGTGGATAAGAATAACGAATAAGAATAAATCCACCGGACATGCATTGAACGCTATGCTGCTGACTACGTGAAACGCATTATATGAACCCTCACACCCACCAAACGCCAACCCTCTCCATCGACCCCTCTATCACCGTTTCAATCTCCGCTCCTCACACCCCACGCAAATCGGCTCCGTGCCATCACTCCTCACAAAAAACCGTCCATCCGGAAAAGGCGCATTACACTCCTATATCCTCGTTAGCCAGCGACCTCCAGACGAAGACAGGAGTCGTCACATACCATGCAGCAGAAGCAATCGTTATGCCACTCCGCCCCCAGCGCGTTGATCACCATATCCGTCACCGGGCGCCGACACTTCCGACACTTCGTCGAGTACCGGTTCGTATGGCAGTTGACGCACCACGCGTACCCATCTTTCTCCACGAACGGCGTCTTCGCGTCGAACGGCTATTCGAAACCCGTCAGCACACGTCCCCGTCGCGTTGTCGCTTGATTTTGGAGGGAAAAAAAAGGGGGAACTCACATCGCCGCACTCGGCGCAGAAAAAGTGCCCGACATGCCACTCTGCCCCACACGCCACCACCACCTCCCCCTCAATCGGCGTCTTGCAACTCTTGCACCGCGGACTGAACTTCTCATGAAAGTCCAAATGGCAATAAAACCGCGTCCCCTCGTCCCCATCGCGAGGATCCAGATCCAGGGCTTCCCCCCCATCCTCCTTCCCCTCCAAATCGCCGCGCTGATATCGCTCGATCCGCTCCTTCCGCGCTGCGTCCGGCTCAGGGTAGAACGCTACGCATTCGAGCAGCTCGCCGCAGGCGAAGCACGCGAAGCAGGGCGGGTGGAAGCGCGAGCCGCCGGCGGAGATTACGCGGCCAGAGATGGGAAGAGCACAGGTGGTGCAGAGGGCGGTGGTGGTGCGGAGGGGGCCGGCGGGAGTGATGTGGGTGGTGCGGGGTTGGGAGGAGCGGTGAGCGGAGGGGTTGGGGAGGGCGCGGGGGGAGGAGGAGGTGGAGATGGTGGGGGTGGGGTTGGGGGTGTCGTTAATGGCGATGGTGGGGATTGGGGGGTTGGAGATGGAAATGGAGGGGGTGTCGTTTACGGATATGGAGGGGATGGGAGGGGAGGAGATGGAGATGGAGGGAGTCTCGTTCACGCTGATGGTTGGGATAGGCCGGGTGGAGACTAGTGGTGGAGGAGTCCGATCCTCACTGATTGTCGGAATAGAGGGAGTGGAACTATTCACGGATATCCGAGGGAGGGGCCGAGGATTGGATGGAGTGCCACTGACAGCATCATCGACTGCGATCCTAGGCGCAGTAGAACGAGACGCAGACGATGGGGCAGCCTCCGTCTTGCCGATTTCAGGGAGCGTGTTTGCTCTGGGAGGGCCTTGGAATCTCGCGGCGACTCCACGAACGGAGCCTTGATTGTTGCTCTGCCTTTCCACAGGACGGGTCCCAGCCGTTGGCAACGACCCTCTCCGTCCTGGGTCAGTGTTCGAGGACTGGTTTAATCGAGCAGCACGGCCAGTTGTGCCGCTGAGCGATTGTGCCTGATCATGGAAGGATGGCCTCGCATCGGTCGCGGTCTCTTTTTTCCTCGGAACAGTCGAAGGTTTCTCCTGTTGCACTTCGGGTTTCAGCTCGACGGTCTTCGGCTTCCAATCGTACTTGAAGCTGACAATGGGGCGGTTGGGGTTGTCGGAAACGAAGGACGGTGTTGGAAGGTTCGTGCTTCGGTCACTGAGTCGTTTTGACGTGGCCGCTCGGATGTCATCAGAGCGTTTTTCTAGCTCTTCCGGATCGGATGTAGGCTTGGGTTCTGGTGGAGCGTTTGTGATGCTACGTGAGATCGACTCAGAGGGCAAAACAGAAGTAGGGGGGCGTGATGATCTGGCGGTGGGAACAGGAGTTGAAGACTTGTCAGGGACCGGGGATGTTGTGGATTTTTGGGGCAGTGAATGTGTCGATTGGGTGATGGGAACAGGAGTGGAAGCCTTCTCAGGGTCTGGGGATGATCTGGTTGTTTGGGGCAGCGGCCGACTATCTTCGCTCTTAAGACCTCTCGCCCGCATGAATGGGTTCCGTCGAATCTGTATCGGGAGTTTCTTGCCGCTGTCCTCGACTTTCGGTGGCTTGTTTTCTTGCTGCCCGTTTCCCACCGAGTTACCCTTCGACTCATCTCTCATATGGCCGGAAATCTTCCGCAACAGCGACGCCCCTTTCGACAGACTGCCGTTCGAATAGGTCCGTTTCTGGAGCCGCCCATGGTTTGGCAAGCTCAGTTCCGGAGCTTTGGCTGGTCCCCTCGGGGTGGTCTCGTCGCTCCATGATACTCGCTTCTTCCCTTCCTCGGGCGCTGGACGTGGAGGGGATTCGGGGATCTTCAGTGAGGAATCGCTGGGCACTCGGCTGCTTTGCCCGCTGTTCGTACCGCTGGTCATGCTCACGCTCGTGGCGGAGCTGGAGTCAAACACTTTAGGGTGGCCGGATCGGACGCTGCTGGCCCAGCTCTGATTGCGGACATGGCTGCCCTTTCGGAGATGTTCTCGATAGTTCCGCTTTTGAGTGGTTCCATACGAATACGGTGCGTTTGGGTTCGGATTTGGAGTCGGGTTCTGGTGCCTCCAGACCAGTTCACTTGCCTCGTCTTGAGCGTCCGCGTGGATCTTCTCCTCCTCCTTAAGGTCCATATCCTCCAACGCAAGGCGAAGCGATCGTGCTTCAAGCTTTTCCATGAGTCGTTGGCCATTTTCGTGGTATGTTATCGCATCAACATCAGATGTTGGCAGGTCGTCGATTTCGATGGGCTCAGGGGTGTCTGCTCCAGGTTGTCTTGCCAGCGGTCTTCCGGCATGGAAACTCGCGATGGAACGTGGGCGAGATTTTGATATGGAGTTGGAGGGTTGGAGAGCGGACTCTGAAGGGAGGTCCACGATTTGGTTGAGGTTGCCAACGATGATTTCGCTTTGTGGGCGAGAGATGCTTGGAGGTCGTGCAGGGGATCGTGATTGTGACCGGATAGAGCCGAAGTGGGAAGGAGGTGGTCGAGAACCGTTTGGACGGGGAATGGGATTGCTACGGAGTTCGGATAAGTAGACACCTACAACAATAATTATTCATCAGTATGACGCTGAAGGTATTCACTATGATGCGCCTGTGTATTTCACCAGCGGGATATTCACGTACCAACTTGTTTGGCAGACATATATGAAGGCCCTGGATGGCCTGGAGGAGGCGATTTGCTCCTGAATGTATTCATAACGTCCAATGAAATGATATCAAACGGTCATACTCTTAAGAAACGTTGATTTAAATGATTTAAAAGTGCAACGAGAGGACGATGAGGATGCGATGTGTGCATCTCATTGATTTTATCCATTCTCAAGTGGAGCCATGATATGATAGTCAGGGCGTATTTTGTTTACAGTTGGGCGATTGCCGTAGCAACGTACCACTGTGTGACTCACCGCTCCGAAACGGTGAAAATGATCCTCACGAAAGCGACCAGAGTGCTATTCTTATGTTATCTCATATTAATAAGGTCTGCAGATGCAATACCTATGCTTCAAATCCGAGGGGAACAAACAGCAAATCCTCGTGTCTTCAACTTTGTCTGATGGAGCCACAGCATGGATGATGGAGGAGCGCCAGCCAATCGACGCTAATCCTAATAAGGTTAGACAGAGCAATCGACTGATTTTGAACGGAATCTTTACATAATTACAGTGATAAGTAATTGTCATCTTCAATTCCTTCAAGGCATATTACTACCTGCTAAGAACAACAGCGTACAATGACCCTGATGAAGCATTTAACCATACTTACGGAGTAGTGGTAATGTCATTATGGTTCCGAACTACCCTCTTCATAGTGACGGGATCTCCACTCCTGTAGTAGCTACGGGCAGTTACTGACTTAACTATTCCGTACTGGCCCGCGCCAACTGCTCCGATCGAGCTTGAGATAAGAGAAAGTGCAGTGGGTTGGTCTCGTATTCAGTATCTTTATATTGCCGTGTAATCGGCTCTCGACACATCCTGATCTTTTCACGGCTTTTCCAAGTCTCACTTAATATAAGTCTCGCTCACAATTATTTATCCCGAACCGCTCTTATTCAACCATGACTCTCGTTATCGATCCTCCGCTCCTCAACTCCGCTTGTCCGTGGGCGACCACAGAAGCAGACCTTCAAGGACTCTATGATTGCCCGCATACTGGAGCGATCACCATTCGTACATCACGTCTAGATGGCTTCGCTAATGATCCGAGCATTCATCAATATGCTTTCTTCAACCCCTCGTCTCAAACCGCCTCTGCGGATCCATCGGCTCCCGCGCCCGGAGCGGATGCCAGTATGAATTCACTCGGATACAGCCCTATCAAGCTAGAGGAATACTTGGGCTACATTAAGAATATTGCATCGAAATCCAAGCCGCAGACCCAAGGCGGTTCCGCAAACGAAACGGATCCCAAGCTGCAACCGATCATCATCTCGGTCACCGGCACTCCTGAGCAGGTTACCGAATGTTATCGCCAAATCACCGCCCTCCAGAAGGAGGTGGAGATTCCGCTCGCCATGGAAATCAACCTCTCGTGCCCCAATATCCTCAACATGCCCCTTCCCGGGTACTCGAGCGAGTCGCTGTCGACATTCCTCACCGCACTGGCCTACGAGCTGGAGAGGCAGCGTCGCCACCGAAAACCCGCCGGATCTGCCCGCTCCTCGGGCTCAGCGAGCTCGTTCCAGACGACGGGCGACAATGTTGCGGGGTGGAGACGGGCGGTCCCGATCGGTCTCAAGATGCCGCCCTACACGTATGCTGGACAATTCGAGCAAATGATCGCGGCATTGGCGATTTCGACGTCGCTTGCGTCACCTTGTCCGATCGCCTTTCTCACCGCGACAAATACCCTGGGATCATGCCTCGTCCTCTCGGAGCATCAGGACGGAAAGCCGTTCACGCCGGTATTGAATACAACCTCGCAAGCGGGGATTGGAGGGATGGCTGGCGCGCCACTCCATCCGCTTGCGCTCGGGAATGTCAAGATGCTGAGAGAGCTACTTGATACAAATCCCGACCTTGCTCATATCATGATCATTGGTGTGGGCGGGGTGTCGGATCGAGCAGGGTTCGAACGGATGAGACATGTTGGCGCTGGGGCGGTTGGTCTTGCATCGGCTTTGGGTCGAAAGGGCATCACGGTCTTTAAGGAGATCCTGGAAGGGTAAATGTCAAGGCTTCACTGAAAATCATCAACTTGAATCTGGATAATTCCACCATCGAATGTAACGTTCATTATTATTGATCCTTCTATATTCCGTCCAGCTTCGCAGATAAGATGAGATGTTGCCGAGCACGTGCAACACCACCATGCCCCACATATTCAACATCGCTGCCCTGTGATTGGCCCGAAAAGTTTTAGAATATCAGTGAACAGAATCGTGGAAAATTTCCCCAAAACCCTTTACCGCCCTAGATCCAAGCAAATCGCAAAAATGGCCGGAGTGAAGAGAAAAGTAGCTGCGGAAGCGCCGAGCGCCAAATCGACGAAAAAGCCGAAGAACGGGACCGTCGCCAAGAGCGAGAAGGCCGTGAAGAAGCCGCATGAATTGGACGACGACATCGTCGAGTCGGATACCACCGAGGAAGAGAATGGGTTCTACGGGTTCTCCGCCAGTGAGGATGGCGATCCGATGGAGGGCGTGACCGAAGAGCGGAGGCAGAATATCGCTGAGGGTAAGAAGGCCTTCAGGAAGGCGCCAAATGCGTGGAACGGACAGGCAGGGAAGCCGGGCACTGGTAAGCATTCTGTTCGTTGAAATGATATGGGACAGTAATTAACAAACCAGTCCATTCCGAGTCATCCAAGGAAGCCCACGCGAAACAAAAGGCCCTCGCACGGGAACGCAAAGCCGCGAAGCCCAACGCCGACTCGATCCAGCGCGCCAAGAAGCTGTGGGAGCGGCTCCGACGCCAATCGCACGTCCCCAAGGAAGAGCGGAAAGCGCTGGTCGAAGAGCTGTTCGGCATCATCACCGGGCGGATGAAGGAGTTCGTCTTCAAGCACGATTCCGTGCGCGTCATCCAATGTGCGCTGAAATATGCGAGCAAGGAGCAGCGGCAGTTGATCGCGGATGAGTTGAAGGGGTACTACAAGGCGCTGGCGGAGTCGCGATATGCGAAGTTTTTGGTGGCGAAGTTGATTGTCGAAGGGTGAGTGCCATATAAGATTTTCCAGCGAATAGACGACTGATGTTTTCAACAGAGACAGCAACATCCGCGAGACGATCATATCCGAGTTTTACGGTCACGTTCGCCAGATGATCAACCATTCCGAAGCGTCCTGGATCCTCGACGACGTCTACCGCGGGGCCGCCAACTCGAAGCAAAAAGCCTTGCTCCTCCGCGAGTGGTACGGCGCCGAATTCGCCCTCTTCAAACACAAAGATGGCGACGCGGCGCCCACCGCCGACCTCGCCAATATCCTTGCCGCCTCCCCCGACAAGCGTAAACCCATCATGCAATCCCTCTTCCACCTCATCAACCAGCTCCTCCAGAAGCAAATGACCGGCTTCACTATGCTCCACGATGCCATGCTGCAATACCTCCTCGCCCTCCCCCCGGCCTCCGCCGAGCTCACCGAATTCATTGCCCTCCTCCGCCCCAACCCCCCCGCCAAAAAGGACCCCGCCCCCGACGATGGCGCCGACGACGCCGAGCTCAACCTCCTCAAAAACCTCGCCTTCACTCCGTCCGGATCTCGCGTCTACGCCCTCATCCTCGCACGCTCCGCCGCCGCCGACCGCCGCCACCTCCTCAAGCCCTTCAAAGGCATCGTCGCCTCCATGGCCCTCGACCCCGCCGCCCACCGCGTCCTCCTCGCCGCCTGCACTGTCGTCGACGATACCAAGCTCCTCAACACCCTCATCTTCGCCGAGCTGCTCGGCAAATCGCCCACCGACGAGTCGGTGCCCACCACCGTCCTCGAGCTGGCCACCCACGAATTCGGCCGCATCCCGCTGCTCTACCCGCTCGCCGGCACCGCCGGCTGGTTCCTCCCGAAGCCCGACGCCGAGCTCGTCGCCGAATGCGTCGCCGCGAGCGCGGACACCAGCAAGAAGGACGGCGCGGTGCGGCGCGCCGAACTGGTGACCGCAATCTCGCCGTTCTTGCTGGCCACGGTCGAAGCAAAGGCGGCGGAGCTCGTGGCGTCGAGCTACGGGTGCCAATGCGTGCTGGAGACGCTGCTGTCCGCGACGGGGGAGAAGCGCGGCGCGGCGGACGCGGTGGCGGCTCTGTGCGCGGGGGATCCGAGTGCGGAGGGGCATTTGGTGAAGACGACGCATGGGAGTCGGATGGTGAAGACGTTGGTGCATGGGGGGATGTACGACAAGGCGGCAGGGAAGGTGGTGGTGAAGGATGCGGAGCTGGGGTTCGCGGAGCGGTTGTGGAAGACGATCAAGGATCATGTGGTGGAGTGGGCCGGTGGAGAGGGGGCGTTTGTGGTGGTGGCGATGGTGGAGACGCAGAGATGGAAGGGGAGGGAGCAGTTAGTGAAGGCATTGAAGGGGAAGAAGAAGGAGTTGGAGAAGAAGTCGAAGAAGGAATCGGAAGGGGTGAAGAAGGGGAAGAAGGGGGAAAAGGCGGAGGTGAAGGAAGGGAACGCGGGCACGAGGCTTTTGTTGGAGCGGTTGGATGCGAAATAAGAGCCCAGTGTGGCGTAGAATGTCACTATGCAATGGAATGGAGTTTGACTTTTAGTTGCGATTTACTGTTACCTTACATATCGTATCGAAGTTCTGATTAAGACATGCTTGTTACCCTTTCTTAGGCATCCATTCCATTGAGAGACCCCTCTTTGTATCGTTCCCGCTCATATCCTTCACCATGAGGATCATACCATGCCCTCTCCACATTGTCGACCAAGCTTTCGGCTAAGCTGATCTAACACTGCCGTTTCATACGGTGACCGGCCTATCATGGGCCCGCAACCCCCCTCCTTGCATTGTCGCGTCCCTCACGAATCAGCTCATCAATCGCACTCTCATCCAGCATCGGCGCGACCGTTCCTTGCGTGGCCGGACGCTGGTCACATCCCGGCGACCAGCTCGAGGCACCCAACCCAGCGGGCACCGACCCTCGCGGTTTGAAGCGGTCCGAGGAGCGTAGAACCGCAGGATCTAGCATCCGATCGCGAGACGTGTAGCGGTCCGAGGCGTGAGGGACAGTTGGAGAGCTCGTGCCGCTGAAAGGGCTCGAGAGTCGGCCATCCCGGCGCTCGGGTGGGTCGAACAAGGAACTGCGGGCGGACTGGATCCGTCCTTCACGAGGGGAGGCACTGCGGTCTCGGGCGTTGTTGGGACGGCTCCGGAAGACGAGCTCGGTATTGCGCTTGCCGGGAGGCGTGCGGGATCGATAGTGGGAAGCCGGCGCGGTTGGGGGGGGGGCCTTAAAAGCACCCTTCGGGGATGGACCATCCGTGGCACGGATTGAGTTGAAGTAGTCCAGGACCATGTCGCAACATTTCACAAGTATCTGTGCGGCCGGTTGGCCGCAGAATTTTGGATCATGGGTTGGGTTGTGGGGACCGTGGATACGCACATCATACAACTTCGTGAAGTTCGTTAGATCACGTTTGTAGTTGTGAACGAGGCCGAAACCCGAGGGGCCTTTCGGGATCGCGTTGAGAAGGTTGCTCTTCCAAGCATGGGTGTTGGCTTGTTGAACCTGCAATCGTGTTAGCGAGTGTGCTCGCAGGTCTTCAAAGATGTGTGCTCGTGGCGTCCAGCGGAGCAGTTCGGGATAACATGGTCAAGGTCTTCATTAGGGGAGGGCACTCACATCGAGCCTGTGCTTCTTTCCCTGCAGCGTATGGGAAGTGTCAATTGACATCATCACCTCCCAAAGCAATCCGACGCTTTGTACCAGATTGCAAATGGCAGCCTTGTTGGAGACTTGGTCCTGAATCGCCTTCGTCCGAGTCTCAGCTAATGCCGAGCGGATACTAGAAACTTCGCTTCCAGTCACGCTCATGGGCAGACGAGCGGTGCCAATATCGGCCAGGTCCTCTCGTGGAGTAGTAATATCCTTCAAGGCCTGGCGGATTGCAGGATCAGATTCATGCTCTCCTACAGCGATTATCGGCTTGCTAGGAACATGCAGCCAATTCAGCCTGCCTTCAAAATCCCCCAGCTTCTTCTTGAGAGAATCGCACCGAGCCTCAAGATTGTGAATCTTGTTTTTAAAAAGGCCATGTTCGCTGCCGTAACATGCTGGGTAATTGCCGCTGGTGTCACCGCGAAGCTCAAGACCCTGCGTCTTGCGCCAAAGCTGCGTACAGTCTCCCTCGACTGTATAGAGACGATCGGCTAAATCCTTCACCTTGTTACATACCCAGTCCCCGTCCTTCCTCAGAAGGCGTAAGTCGTGGGTAAATTCCTCTTTCAGTTTCCGCATGTCGTTCATCATCTGACCGTTTTCCCGCTCAAGGGCGGCAACTCGTTCAGCCATCTCCTTCATCATTCGATTGACAGTATCGGTGGAGAGCAAGGAGAGGCGGTCATTATTCGCCTTCTTTGGGGAACCGAACAGGGTCATCGATGTCTGGGCCTTGGATGGCCCCTCGAGGAGTGCTCTCGCTTTTTGTTCGTTCACTGCCATAGCAGGGCTCGACGGAGTCCTCTCCATGCCATTTTCCATGGCCTGGATTCGCGTGGAGTGGGAGGCAACGCTGCGCAGGGTGCGCTCATTACTGTCTTTCAGCGCTTTCACCACCGTGGAAGTGGACTCAAACGCTTTGACAATGCTGTCCTGCGCTTCCTGGATTTTATGGATTGCCTCCCACATCCCTGTGAGATCTCCGGAGTTTCCATTGATTCCGGCGTTCTCACCCTGGGTTGGAGGGTTCTGGAAAGGAGGGAAGCCCTGGGAAACGGTTAGTGATCAGTTGATGTTGGACATTGGGCCTCTGTCCACTCTCACAGTGAAGGGCATCCCGCCAAATGGACTCATAGAGGCACCATGCATTGCCATTGCCATGAATGGGTTGTTGGTGCCATCCCACCCGCAACTATTATCACTGGGAGGATCCATGTGGATCTCTCAACTAGACGGGTCAGTTACTTTGGAGTTGGTGCTCGTGGCTTGGGTTGACTGAGAAAACGATATGGATGATAGTAGAGAGAGAAGAGGGGAGGAGAGAGAAGAGTTGGAGAGACAGCGGATGAAAGTGAAGAAGAGCATGGGAGGAAGGTGCAAGTGAAAGAATATCGGTGTGGAAGTGACAGAATCTGATCGGGAAAGTGCAGTGAATCGCGGCTTCTTGCGCTGATGAACAAAATGAATGAAACGCGTATGCATCTGACAGGGAAAACACGTGAAATCCGTTGACACGTATAGACTATAGTAGACTGGGTACATGTCCGAGTATAGGATCTCGATGAAAGTCTATCACGTTTAGTTGATTCGATAAGGAATTGCCAAGGACTGATTCCTGATTCCTGATTGATGGTAGATGATAGATGATTGCTCCTTAGAAACCTCTCGCAGTGATCCCTCTGAGCGATCCCTCTTCTCGATTCCGGGTATAGAGAAGGAATAATACCGTACTGACCGGGTATGGACCTCATCCCTTCGTAGAAACAATCCCGTAGAACGCCATAACCCATCCCCGTCTCTCGTGATGCAGATATCAATCAAGTCTCCTCCTCACTTCCCGCTCCGGCTCCCCTCCCAGCCCAGTCACCGCCTCCGTGACCAATCTCCGCAACTCCGCCTGTCCCTCCTCGCTCTGGAAATCCTCCCTCGCCGCCAGCTCTTCGATCCGCCGACGGAACTCCGGGTCGGGGGAGAGCTCCTCCGGCTGCTCTGCCTCCATGGACATATTAACCTGCATCCCCTCCGGCAGCGGCGGTGGTCGATTCAACACCGACCCCTCCGTCCCCGCCAGTGTCTCCACGCCGACCCCCTCCTCCGCCTCCGTCACCCGCGTCTCCCTGCCCGACGCGCCCGATTCCCTGCTCTTCAACCACACCGCCAGCTCAGGAAACTCCCCTTCCTCCTCGATCCTCTCCCGCGCCGTCCGGCCCTCCTCGTTCACCCAGTCGGTCCGCGCGCCCAGCTCCTCCACCAAACACCGCGCGACGCGCAGCTCCTCGACGGCGAACAACGGCGTCTCCTGGTCGGGGTCGGCGATGTCGGGGCTCACGTGGTATTGGGTCGCGAGGGTGCGGAGGAGGTCCACGTGCCCGTATGATGCGGCGGCGTGCATTAAGGTGTAGCCGTTCGCGTCGGCGGCGGCAGCGAGGTCGGGGTAGGTGGAGAGGTGGGAAAGGACTTTGTCGGGGTGTTGGGGGACGAGGTTGAGGAGGACATCGATGGGCGCCATTTCGAAGGGTGGGAAGAGAGATATAGGATACTGGTCAACAGCATGGACGATGGGTCATGATTTCAACTGATTTTGGTGTACGTTTGGTGACGCGATGGGAAATTTCTTGTGGAGCCGATGTCTGGATGTTGGTCTGGCTCGGCTTGCCGAACCAAATTGTCGGCCCGAGAGCAACGGCAGGGATCGCTGAACTCACTTACCACTCAGAACTGTTGGATAACTCATATCACTTAAATACCAGCATATATGCGCGAAGAAGAAGCAATGATTTCATATCTTATCCCCCTATCTGTGAAACCCATGGCAAATCCATCAACTAGAAGTATACAATGACGATGAGTCCGCTGCAGTGGATGATGACAATGCCGCCCCGTGCATCTCAACCCCTCCATTATCGACCGTCTCTACTTTTCCCGCCCAAAATGCGTGACCCCTACTCCTCGGCCTCCATGCCTCCCGCTCGCCGGCCTTGAACGCCGGGTGATACCAACGCAACGCGAACCACGCGCTCGCTATCCCGAGGAGCGCGCCCGCAATGACATCGATCCCGGAATTGTTGTAGTCGAAGTATCGGGAGCAGGTGACGATTAAGGCGGTGCATCCGGTGGCGAACGGGGCGATGAAGAGATATAGCGGGGCGGCGGCGGCGGCGCCCGACACGTTGTGGGCCGGAAACAGCCCGGATTGGTCGTTGATGTGAAGGAAGGTGACGCCAAACCGGTAGCAGTAGTAGAGCGAGAAGTAGAACAGTCCGGACCAGGAGACTGATGCAACAGGTTAGTGAATGAGTTCCGCACCTGGGGTCGAGTGTGGGAATACAAACGAGTTGCATAACGGCTAGGAAAGCTCCTGAACGCGTCCCGCAGTTCTACATCTTGGAATTGGCAAATGCCTGGAGAGACGTAGATTTTATCTTGAAATAATCCCGTGGTAACCGTGGAGACAGTGTACTCTTTAATCCTCGATAGTTCCGGATGGCACCGAGCGATCATGTTCGGTCGCGGTTTGCCGATGCGTGTCTGGATCGCTTGGACCAAGACGAATCCAACGGCGAAGCTCATTGCGAGTCCGAGATACCCAACTGGAAACGGCGTTAGTACCTTCAAAAGCGTCAGGATTGAATCAAGTCGCACCATGCAAGTTCCAACGGAAATGGGGATTCATGAAGGCGTCTGACGGAGCCCATCGTTCCGTGCGACACCGCAGGCCCAGGACGATGAGCTCGACCATCAAGATGAGAACCGCCGGCACCGCGAGCGAGATGGTCCATAGCAAGTATTGGTTCATCGATTGGCCTAAGAATGGATATGAAATGGAGGGATCGTTGAGAGAGAACGGCCGAATTGCAGGCGTCACATAGTTGAGCCCGATCCCAATGCCGAAGGCGGATCTGATTCATCATTCTTAGCATCGGTAGATCTCACGGCGTAGCAAGTGAATTGACCGCTTACAGGAGAATAAGCCAGTCTGTCACGTAGGACAGATCGACCAGGATCCGACCCATCGACTCACGGAGGCGCGTCTGGATTTTGGCATTGAGGTTCCCAAGCCATGCACGGGCATTCTGAATCCAGAATATGCCTTTCTTCTTGATGTCGCCATAGGAGTCCTCAATCCATGCTTGGGCATTTTGCATCCATGTTTGGGCATTCTGAATCCGGAGTAGGACTTTCTCCTTAACTTTGTCCATAGTGTCCACAAGATATAGTAAGCTTTACCAAAGCGACTGTTAGCGGAAAGTACCGTTAAGCGATAGACGTAATAATGTCGGGTATACGACGTAATGGCAGTGATGAGGCTAGAATAGATGATTGAGAGGTCGGGTTCCGCCATTATGATGCGACGGCTTGCGACAACATAATCGGAAGCGGCAACCCAATCGATGGGGGGGCGATATCGATCTCCGGTCGTTCCATGCGTTATCCTGCGATAATAGCCATCTGCAGTGGTGTGGTCGATGCCAGCGGCAATCCTGCAATGCCAGTGGCCGTCTTCAATCACACTTTAAGTTCGTCCAACCCCATCACAACCCGTTCCATCATCTGGTGCGGAGTCAAGGTTCCCAGTCTTTGGTGGGTGGCTCCTTCCTCCCACTCATACTGCAAACATTCGAAAACCAGCCGATGATAGCGAGTGCCGGTTTTCGCTCCCAAGGCAGGGACCTCATTTTGAAGGACGTTGGCTTTAAATTCCTCTCGGGCTCCCGAGTACTGAGACTTCCATTCCAGCGTCTTCCACATGCCGATTTCGAGGAGCAATAAACCGAGGGCATAAATGTCGAACCCTTTGTGGAAACTCTTCTTCCACACCCCCATGGACTCAGGGTGCCGGTACATGAGGACCTCCTCGTTGCCTGTGCCATGCATCGGGTCGTAGATCATTTCAGTGAAATCGTGCTGACGAGACGAATCCAGTCCCAGGACATACGGTGCGGACAGATCATGGTGTCCGGACGTTGGCGAGCCGAAGAAGATGATGTTGTGACAGCAGTACGACTTGTGGAGCCAGTCGAGAGAATGAAATGACCACAGCGTCGTTGCCAGGATACTAGCCAGTCGGAACCGCACATCAAGCTCGGGTGCGCTCTTGTTTGCACCATTCATCATCGTATGAAGAGTCGGGAACTGCGCACGCTTCGAACTGGCCGTGTCGAGCGTTGTGAATACAACCGGGCACGCATGGATGATTCCGAAGCGATTAAACCTGGCGTCATCGGTGTATCCTAAACAATCCAACATATGCAAGTCCGGATTCCTCGAGTTACATGAATACAGCAACCGAGCAAGGTCGTCTATCCTTCTATGTAGAGCGTCACGAATTTCTTTGTTAAGGATACCCTTTTTCTCGGTATCGTAAGGGATCCAGTCGATGAGGATAGGAACATCCATATGCCTCGTCTGATTTGAACCTGGCGGGTGATAATTACCGGAGAGATCCAGCTTTTTGAAGAGGCCTGAGGCACGCTGTGGCTGCTTTTCGATGGGAACATCCATGCCACGTGCCCAGATCTGCTTCCGTGGCACGGACAACTGCGAAGACAACACTGGGAAAGGATGGCCCATCGCCATATTAATCCGCAATTGCTTCAGATGGACCAGATTGTTCAGGTATGGGTATGGACCATCCGTAGCCGATGCCAATATCTCCAAGTGTCCAGTATCATGGGTTTGAAGCAACAGCTCGCTCGTCCAGGAACGCCGATATAGCCCCACATGGCTGGGTGGAAACAGTTTTTCGAGCCTGTCGTTTAAGGCCCGAAGGTCTTTCAACAGCACTTCGAATTTCTCGGGGTCATCAATCACCCAATTGGCGCGCAATATCCAACCGTCTGGTAATTGATTCCCCGTATAATTTCTGGGGTCGGCCGCTCTGCTGTATAAATCCTTGTCGACAGATCCAGGCGACTCTTCCTGGAGCCCGTAAATGTCTTCCAACTTCTCGCAGTCCATAATGGTTTCCAACAGCCGACTCAATATCAATCGGGCCAGATCCTTGAGGCCTTCCGCACCCCATCCGCCAAACTCCTGCCACCGATCAAATTGATCTTTCTCCACACCCCATTGGCGGGCCCATGACAGGAGTCGGAATTCTTCAATCCGGATTCTTGCAAGCAAGCGCAAGGTATTAGGTCCGAGATTGTTTGATGCGGTGAAGGCTCGATAGCCTTTGACGCAACCGTCATAGAGCTTGTCGAGCGAGCCTGTGACGCCAGCGACATCAAAGGCGAATGCGGCTAGTTCTGTCATGGTTTTAGGACGGGAGGGATGCAGATCCGGGGACCAGACGTTTCAGTTGGTTTAAACAGGTGAGTAACACTGCCACGCGTGGTGCGAACCGAGGAAACCAGAGACTTCAGACGTAGAATGATAGGCGACAGGGGGAATGAAAAGGGCTGGACAAAGCGCAACGAGGCTATCAACCACGCTGAGTTCGTAAAGGATCCAGAAGGCAGATTAATCACGAGATATTAAGAGCAACGGAAGATCGGAATGCTCCTATTTTCGGGAGCTTTTCGTGGTGATTCACCTGGTTGCACTACTCCAGATGTGTTGGACGGACGATGCAAGTCGCGGGATGTCCGCTTGACGAGTGCACGCGGCTACCACGTCATTGGCGACGCTTGAAGGGCATTATCAAAAGGAAAGAGTTAGCCATGCCTATAATTATTGGAACATAGGCAAAGACTAAGACATCGGGATCAGAAAAGCGGCGACTAAGATGGAGGTCCGAAAACCTTCAAGGAGCACGCAGTTCAACTCGAAACAAACGGAGCCAGGCACCCCTAATCGTCGCCTTTCTACCTGAGGCGATTGTCCAATCAGCGATCTCCTCCAAGTGGCTGAAAGCCTCCTTAATCAAAACATCCATATTGAGGCTTCACCTTCCGTCTCCCCATCCTGCTTTGACATTGGCAATTAATATCTTGACCTAAAATCAGGTAAGCCTACAAGGGCTACAATCGAGAATAATATACTCAGCCGCGCGAGATGGATCGTACAAATATCCCTCAAGAGATCAGGTTGAGGCCGCGATCTGACCTTGTCCCTCCTCTTAACATCCCATCTCATAAAGCCGTTGGTTGATCGTTTCGTTTTGCTCACAGTCGTTACTCATCAGCAGTCCTTAGTCGTTCGTTTGACGTGTCCATAGCATATTTGAAAGTGTTACTGTTGGCTACTAGTTCAAATAATTCTTCGTTATCTTGTCAGTCATGAAGGCATCATGGATCCTGGGCGCTGCCCTCCTATCCCACACCGCCGTCGCGACCTTCTTGCCTCCACCTTGTGTCAAGAAATGTATCAAGGAGGTCGGATGCGATCTTCTTGACCTCAAGTGTAAGCGACGCTAACCCCGGCCATATGAGACGTTACAGCTCATCATATCACTTAGGCATCTGCAGCAAATCCGACGACTGCGACGCCGGTCCCAGCTTCTTCGACTGCGCCGAGAGCGAATGCGGCGACAGCTTCCGCAGCGACAAGATCATTGACAAGCTCCAAGGCCTCTGCGGCAAGAAGAACAAGCCCTTCAAGCACCCGGGCAACGAATGCCCGAAACCAAGCACGCCCGGGAAGCCGCCGCAGAGCAAGCCTCCATCCATAAGCACCAAGGAACCCCACCCGAAACCCACCAAGCCTCCCGGCTCGAAGCCGCCCCCAGAGACGCCGAAGCCATCCACCCTCACGCAGGTAACCGTAGTGCCGGTCCCGTGCGAGGCGTGCCAGTCGAGCAAGACCCCTGACGCACCGAAGCCGAGCGGCTCAGGGAAGCCTCCAAGTGGAGGGACCGGGACACCGCCGAAGCCGTCGGGCAGCAAGCCATCAAAACCGACTACGGGTCCGTCGGCATCGAAGCCGGCGCCGCCTAGCTTTACGGGCGCCGCTTCGTCGGTTTCGGTGGAACGGATGGGTCTTTTGTCAGGGCTGCTCGCTATGCTGGCTCTGTTCTAGTTGTTATTCTGGGGTATCCTAGTTTCCGGTCTGGCCATCGTGCATCTGTTTGCGTTGAGGATTGGGATCCTTGGCCGAATATAATGAGGTCAGTGAGCGGGTTGCCATTGGAAATTCATGGTGGAATTTACTACTATGAAAATCTGGGGGATACCGGGGTAATGAGATAGGTGTAATGTACAAACCTTCCATGATAACATACACAAAATTCCAAACGCTTGTAACTCGCACACTTCAAGGCTCCTTGACTAGGTTCACAGCCTTGCCACATTCTTGGTATAACCATTCCCCCCCTTCACCACCCCGTAGCATGGCCCACCCTTCCTATGCATCGCAATCAAATCTCCCGCAATCACATCCGGTCGCTCCCACGCCGCGAAATGCCCCCCCTTCCCACTCGTGCTCTCCCACACCACCTTCCCCAGCGTCCGCGCCCACGTCTTTGGGATCACAGTCAACTCCCGTGGGAAGTACGCCAACCCCAGCGGCACCCCTACGATGTGCTTCTCCAGTCGCGTCCGATCCGTCATCCGCGGCGTGCTCTGGTGCATGATCTCGTAGTAGATTCGCACCGACGCCGCCGGGCCGGCCCGGCTGAACCAGTAGATCGAGATCCACGTGAGGATCTCATCGTCCGTCCAGGGATAGGCGTCAGTCCAGTCGTGCAGCTTCTCGACGATCCAGGCGAGGAGCGCGACCGGCGAGTCGGCGAGCGCGTAGCCGAGCGTCTGGGGTTTGGTGGATTGCTCGATGAAGTAGCCGCGGCCGGATTTCGCGAACCACGCGGTGCGGGCGAGGCCGGCTTTGTCGGCGTCAGAGTAGGGGGTGAGGGCGTGCTGGAGCCAGAGGAGCGGGTTGGAGGTGAAGGAGGGGGGTTCGGCGCGGATCATGTTGATGTGGACGGACTTGACGCTCTCGGGATGGAGAAGCGACAGGGCTCGGGTGATATACATTCCCCAATCACCGCCCTGGCAAGCTAGGAAGAGTTAACGAAGCCGATTTGCGCTGGGACGAAATAGCATACCGTATTGGGTGTATCCGAGCGTCTGCATCAGCTTCTGGCATACTTCGACGTATTGCTCGACTCCAAACCCGGGCTTCTTGACCCCTTCCGAAAAGCCGAAGTTTGGCAGCGATGGCGCTACGATGTGGAATGACGGACCCTTCCCATCGCCATTAAGGAGCGGAAGTAGCTTCTGCACCTCGATAAACGAGCCTGGCCCTGTTGACAGATCAGCTCGTCTCATCCAGATCATCCAGATCAACGGGCTGTGACATACACCCATGAACAAACAGCAACGGCACTGCCCTCTCCACCTCGCTCTTCTGATGCACGAAGTGTATATCCAACGTCCCAAAGCCGTCCACCATGACCGGAGCCGTGAACTGCGGCATCGTGTTCAATCCCGCTTCCGCAGCCTTGAAGTCAAACCCATCCTTCCAATACTCCACCAACCTCTTTATCTCGGCTTGCGGGGCGCCGCGTTCCCATTTATCCTTTTCGCCCAGCGGGATCTCGCCGGGGAACGTCACGGTCGAGAGCTTCGACTTGAGCTCGTCGATCCCGGCTTCCGGGAAGGAGACTTGGAATGGCGCGGCGGACATTTTGATGCGGATTCGGAAGCAAGCTATCAGTGGATTTACGATGTTTTAAAGCTATCGCTCACGTTGATTTCTAATTGTTCAAGCTCCAACACGCTCTACAGATCATTGCTTACATAGTACAGTGCAAGTGTGATGGATACCATGACGTTCGGTACGAGACTGGGGATTGCTAATAGCCGGATGAGAATTCGGTACATGAATGCGGAGCTGCTGTTATGCCGACCTTCACCGAAGTGATTACTCATCCTTCCTACGACCACTTTCGTTCCTGCTCTCCCTTTCTTCACCTTTCGTTTCGTGGTAAACCAGCTAATTACTTTATCTCAGCAATCAAGACCATTGATTCTACAAAACAACACAGTGGCAAGTAGTAGTAATTTCATGCTCACCTTCCTCTTCGGCATATAGAGGCTACCACTAGAGTACTCCGTCACTACGTAAATACTACACTCTAGGCCAGTATATATACAACCTTCACACCTCTCTGGGGCTTATGTTCGGTCCTTGATATGCCGTTTGTTGGTCGCTTCGAAGAAGTTGGAAATATACTAGAGAAATGTAACAGGAAAGCAGGGAGCGATATGGGAAGGCATGAACACGTTCAGAGGAAAATAAACCTGTTACTGTCTCTGTCTAGTTCTTCAATCCTTTTGATATTGTTCGTTAAAATCTCCTCTTATTAAGTAGCGGATTGAAGATATCAGTAGCCCCGGACCAAAGCGGCAAAGAGTGTACTACCTTACAGTCCACCTTGCGTGTTGACATCGGCGCCCTTGCCGAGCAGCAGCTCGACGATATCCTTATCGCCCCCGAACGAAGCGGCCTACAGCGAGTTACCGTAGTCTCCACCTTGTGCGTTCACGTCGGCGTCTTTGCTGAGCAGCACCTCGACGATATTCTTGTGGCCCTCGTCCGAAGCTGTGAGGACACACAAAGAGGAGCGTAGTGTGATAGGTCACGAGTGGTCAACGAGTATCACTGGACTCGGCTGATAATCAATTGAGGTTTATGTATACCCATTTTCACTAGACTGATCCTTGAAGAAGGAAGAATGAGAGCGTTGAGAGGATACTATCCCCTCCCAGCCCCTTCGCTGGCGCTGGTGGGAAAATCTCACCAGCCCCTCTCTAATTCGATGCGCCTTGGCAGACTCTTGGTAAAGCAGATTTCGCTGCGTGAAGGAACGGGTCACCACTCACCAGCCTAGCCCAGCAATAGCCCAGTTTCTCTACGTGGAGGAACGAGCCACTCAGCCCACAACATCGCAATTTCCTTACGTATGTTATGGTCCCAGACCTGTGGCCTGGGCCCTTGGGTGTGGCTGGTGGATTGCATGGAGGATTATCAAGGAGCAGCCATGTGGGAGCTGTGTGTCAGGACAGCAGAGAGGAGTCGATATCTCGCGCACAAAGGCGCTGGGAGATTTCTTCCTTTTCTTTCTCTTCAGTTTAGATTAATGGAACTTGGTAATCGCAGACCTTGCGCATCCAGACCGTGTCACGTGCGTGTCTAGTAGTAAGTTAATTGAAGTCTAACAGCTTAGATTTCGCTTTATGATAGTTGTGCCTAAAATATAGAGATTTATTCGGCTGAAGTAGATAAGAAATTAGATATAGTTATCCTAATTACTCCATTCTAGGAGAGTCGCCAGTGAAGATTGAGTGTGAGGATGGTCAATACCTAATGCCTTTTCCTGCAACGCTAAGCATTCCGACATTAAATTAGTAGCATCCTGCTGCCGATCTTGACCTTTCCACGTAAATGCGAGGTTGGTCCTGCTGATCAGCGTGTCTGGATGCTCTGCGCCAAGCACCCTCTTTCTCGTCTCTATCACTTGCACCTCCAGCTCTTCGGCCTCCTTCCATCGGCCTTGATTCC